AAGAATATTAGTATATCGCAAATGATTCCAGGCAAGGCAAGCATGCGAACCATGTGTATGAAACATGCAACTGCAAGGAAATAATAATGATTGGTCTATCTTGCACAACGAAGTATGAAGGCTCCCAAGCCACCCCGAATTCCCTGTTCAGCCTCGCGCCAATGATGGACTGTTGATGACTGCCTACTGTTGTAGCCGGCTTTCGGAGGCGTCCCTTGTAGCTATTGATCCACGTCGCGAAAGCCCCGACCTTCACTGTGACTGGCCCCCTCGCGATCTTTGTACCACATACTTTCAGCTCTCGGAGTGCGGCTCGTATGTCTAGACTCCGCTAACCCTAAAAGGTAGGTCCACATCAGATACCGAGCACTTGGATATGACAGCCGGTGACTAGCATCAGTCGGCATGTGGCGCTGTCTAGACTCCGGGACCCAAACTTCTTCTGTCCTGCAAGCTCTTGTAATCTTGCAATTCTGACAGACTTGTGGCCCATCTTTGCTGGGCTTTTCGTGTATTCCTTCCTCGTCAGTTTGTCATTGCTTATGAACCGAAATGGCTTTGAAAGCCTCCAGATTTGTGCCGTGATTTTAGCCGAAGGCTGCTTTCATGTGGCGGAGTCCGGAGTGCAGTTCTGACAAACTCGGTGGTAACAGAAAGTGTCTGGACTTTTCTTCATCTTGTGCCGACACCATCGGAGAGAGTTGCTGCCGCGGCTGCATTGGCAGCATATCCAGTGCCCATTGAGTTCCTGAAGACGGCAGTTGCCGGAGCTGCAGTCAGGTGAGATGAGACATCCTCCCGTAGCGCACGGGTTGTCGAAGTCGATCGACTGAACTGGATCGTAGAAGACTCTCTCGCACGGAAGTCGAGTTCTGCCGTCAGAGTCCACGCCGGCATCCCGGCAGAACTCGTAATGCACGACATAATCGATCGGCCGAGCGCAGGGCTGGACATGATGATGGTGAAGGTAAGAGTAGGTACACATTGTTATGTCTTGCGACTTGCGCACTTGTGGCCTGATATCTACGTATCGATGTGTATGTTTCGAATCAATCGACTGGTTGAGTTGCTTTTGTGTTCGGTACTTTCAGACACCTCGTCCTGAATTAGGCAGTATCGAGCGATCAGCGGTCCGTCCCGAATAATGAAGTTCGTGATCGGATATCGAGGTGGCACAAAGTGGTGGGCCCAGGAGGAAATTGCTTAGAGCTGTTTGATTGGGCTTCCTGGTGTGATTATGGCGAACTCTCGGCGAACCAGGGTGAGCGGTTGCGATGAGGCCGGCGGCCGACTCAGACAATAAATAGATATTTTTGCCTGGCCGAGTCAATGAGGACAACCGGCCTGCATATGCAAGGCAATAATCAGCCAGGGATTTTATGGTAATGAGAATGGAGTGCTGAAGCTCTCAAATCGAGATTGAGGGGTCAGAAGCGAGCGTTTGATCTGTGGGCTTCCGGGTTGAGTTGCTCGGTGAGGGTTTCTTCATGTTTGTGAGTGGAGTATCAATGGTCTTATATGATCATGAGAGGTGAACATCTTATCCATAGTGTCTTCGTTATGGGCTACCACCGCGTGCCTCCGGCCTCAAGGATGACACATACTAATCTCGCTCACTCGGCCATTCATGATGTCGTTCTAGGGTGCCAATCACCACATCTTGCTGGCAGTCGCCTTGCCATAGACATGAGATGGTATGATTCTGGTACCAGGCTTCAATAATTGGCCGCCATTGTCAAACCCGTGGGTCGCAATTCCTTCCTGTTCTTCCGGAGGATGGCAAAGCACGTGGCGTCCGCATGCTTACCGGCCCTGCACCCGCAGACCCTTTCAGAACATACCACCAGTGAGGGAAAAGAAACCCAGACAAGGGGGCGCATAAATGTAACAACACGCGAGCTTTGGGAGGCCATCTTCCAGACTCCCATATGGGAGCCACATGTGATGGTCGTGGCAACGAGCCACAGGTGCGAGAGTGGCTCTTTAGGATTGCGTGTTTATCCCAGCTACCACGAGCGTTACCCTCCATTGCAAAGCCTCCTGTTTCAAATACCGGGCTTGCCATGGAATTCAACCAGTTTTCATGTGCCGATGGAATATTCCAAGGGCATTCTGGAATCTAGTTGGTGCGGAAGATGTTTGCTTCTGGCTTGAAGTTCGTGCGACGAAATGTACCCCAGAGTTGCCTTATCACACGACGTCGTTACTTGATATGTTATCACAGCTTATTCCCGGGGATGCTCGAGGTTTCAGTGTCAGTATGAGTCAGAAGATACTTGTGATGAGACTGACAGGACTTCATGTTGGGGATTGATTGCTGCATGCAGTTCATCGGTGATCACATCATCATCGTCTCGGAAATGGTACCCTTGCTCCCACGGTACGAAGCACTCGCACTCCGACCAAACCCGTCGTATGAAGACCGGAGCGGATAAGGAGAATCAGACTAATTTTCAGCTTTCAGGTCTTGATACTCTGACATCTTGACGTCTGTTTCCTTTCTTCGGTGTCTCAAACGTCGGAGAAAGTGAGACAGGCAGGTCACTTTGCCACTTCATAGCATCTCACGAACCCGGATAGATACTGACGGACTGCTCCGGATCATAAGTCTGATTTCTTCTCTCTGGATTCACAGACTATTCAGAAGACTGCCAGATCCAAGAAACCAGACATCAAGGTCCCAAGAGCAGTTTCGATATCTACGAAAAGTCAATGACGTGTGTAATGCTACTACGGATCCCATAAGGTCTATAGAATAATCGAGTCTTACATCAAACAATGCCGGAACCATTCTTTTCAATCAGTGGTTCAATGGTACGGTCGACTTCGGCTTTGAGCCTCTCACCTGAGCAGGCCTGACTTCTGCAGACGCAATGCATAGTCATGAGGTTCTGCTGATGGCCAAGGCATTTCGGGCACATCCGACGGGCGTTTTCCTCGGTTCCGGTGGTAAGGTAGACTAATCACAGAGCCCCTCACTCCACCCCCGTGGCTGTTTAGAAGAGGTCGCACAACAGAAGATCAGCACACGCCAAGAGCCTGGGCTTTCGAGTTAATGCAAGGGGACTGGAAGGGGACTGGGCTTTGAGGGGTTTGGTCAGTCGGTGAGCCAACAGCTGCATGCATTAAACTTGATTGGCCCTTGGAAACGGGGTCAACTCCTCGGTGAGCACATATTCAAAGAGCCAACGCCGCTTTGGGCGTTGTTTCCTCCCATTTCTTTTTCAATGATCTTGGTCTTGACCTCGCAGCTTTCAGATCGGTTGAAGAGCCTCTCAATATTTTGAACCGGCTGCGACCTCGAATATTCCCAGACATTCACACGGATCATATGACCACAAAGGGAACATTTGCCGGAGATATATCATACGACACCACACCCGCGTCCTGAGACTGGGATGCAGCTGTGGCTTCCCGTGGGTTGCACAAAGCTAGCCGAACGGACATTACGCTGCTTTCAGCTGGGCTTCCAGAATGCGCTGGTTTTGAATCTTCAGCTATTGCCATAAAAGAGAAAATATCGAGGGGGCTATGTCCATTGATGGCGTTGGAAGCTGAGCAATAGCTTAAGAATTATTCAGCGATTGAGAACTTACGGCCGTGTGATCAAAGGCAACTTAATCTTGCATGTCCATCACTTCCGAAGGAGGCTTGTGCCATGCAGATGCTTCGTATCACGAGGGCGTTTGATACTGAGTGTGGGTATTTACGAGGGGTTACACCAGGGGCCTGGACCGACTCCTCGGGACAGAACTCTGTTCAATGCCGAAGACCACCGAAAGATGAGGCTTTAAGAACGGACAATATTGCAGCGACCCGCATACCGGGAGACATGAGCCGGTGCCGCTGGTCGTGTCGATTACGGGCACGGCTGACTGACGCATCATTGGATCAGGCCTGAGTGGCCGGCGAGAGAAGTCTCGGAGTCTGCCTAAGAGGTGAACATCACATATCACAATTTAGAGAAATCCTTGAAGTAACCTTGAAGTAAGCTTCGCCTCTCGGGTGAATCTATTAAGAGCTTGTTCGCCTAGCCACAAGACGACAAGAGATAAACGACAGCAAAGACAAGGAGCGGGCTAAGTTGTTAGATCTCAATAATCAAACGAAATAACCTGGACCTCACGCCCGTGCAGCTGACAAGTCCTAATTAAATATTTGTCGCTTAAAAGCGTCGAATTCCCTATGAAGAAATTCTGCTGGGACTTCTGAGCTGGGGTTCGATGTTCAGCAGAGCGTCAGTTGGCCATGCTGCGAACGTCCTAGACTCGTTCGTGAAACATCTGCATTTTCCCGCTTCTTGGAATTCACGATGTCTTGCAATAGAAGCAGTGATCCTTTACATTCAAATGAAGGCCTGTCTGTCTGCTCTATATACGCAACTAAAATGCGTGTTTCGAACACATCCTTTCACAGAGGACGGAAACAAGCAGGATCAAATGATGATGCCTCTAAGCTCCGCATCATCTTTGCAACGGCCCGTCCCTTGTGCAAGGAAGAAGCAGCAATCCGTCAAAATGCAAGCTTCAACTTTAACCTCGTGATACCCAAACAAGTAGTGTATCATTGCTCAGTGCTTCATCTCGATTCCGGACCAGAAAGTAGCATCAGCTTATTTCAGGGTCTCAGACCTCCCGCATTCTTCGGATATTCTTCTGATTATTTAGGTAGGAGCCACTGCTCATAAGAATGCTAGCTGTTTCAACGACTAAGATTGCTGAATGTCTCAATTGCTTGGCAGCTAGGAAAACAAAAACATCATACTTTTAGCCTCCAGACTTCCTCCATCAAAAATTGGAACTTTAACAGAGAAAAGAGCCATGAGTGGCGCCACTCCGTTCCTAACATAAAACATGACACCTTCCACTTGACATATCGCAAGCCATATCATTGAAGTAAACTGGGCATGGTTCGTGAGACGCTGAGTGGCGCAATCAAGTGTATTTCTTTACGTTCTCTCCCCACGAGGGACAAGCCTTGAAAGTTACCGCGCTCCCACCATGAGCGAGTCCAAGGGACTGACGGTTTCGTGAGTGGATTTAGCCAACTCTTTTGAGCAAGTTCTCTAGACCACCTGCGCGACAGCCAGTCTGCCTCTCAAGCGTCGCTATGCTATCACTACGGCAAATCTGGGTCATCGCGACTGATGTTTCCCGCTCACTCTTTGGCGATCCCCTGCTAAGAGACGTATCACGAGGTCACACAAAGTTCGACTTGTCCAACAATGTCACCGCCGCGGATAGCGACCCTGGATACCCCGACTTTAGTCCCACTGGCAGCAATATTGAGAATTTCAGATGCCAGTATCCCAGTATGAAAGGCTGGCATTACTGTGGTGGGTCTGAAGATCAATCATGCTGGCTGCGGAACCCTGAGACTGGGGAGCAGTTCAACATCACCACTGATTACGAAGACTGGATGCCTTATGGTATTGATCGCTACTTTACTCTGGATGTCACAGACGGTTGGGTCAATGTCGATGGACTGAACTTCACTGAAGCAAAATTGTTCAACAACACCTTTCCCGGCCCTCTGATCGAGGCCTGCTGGGGAGACCGAGTCCACGTCAACGTCACAAATTCTCTGGGGTTGAATGGAACGAGCATTCACTGGCATGGAATCCGGCAAAAGGACACGATGCACATGGATGGCGTCAACGGCATTACTCAATGTCCCATCGCCCCAGAAGACTACTTCGTCTATATCTGGAATGCTACACAATATGGGAGCTCTTGGTACCACAGTCACTACAGTGTCCAGTACGCCGACGGGCTTCAGGCTCCTATTGTAAGAGTGTCTCGCCCTGAAGAAGGATGTTTTACTAACTTGCTCTAGACCATCCATGGCCCTACAGTAGCTCCGTATGATGAGGCAATTGAGCCACTCATCATCACTGACTGGTGTAAGTCAAGACATAGCAGAATTGTTTCCGACTGGTGTAGCTGACCCGCATGAATCAGTGCACAACGGTGCCTTCAATGCGCTTTACCAAGATGCCGTCTTTCCTGACATTCTCCTTGGAAGCGTCGGGCACACTGTTGGTAACATTACTCGATACAACAGCAGTGTGGAGGCGCTTCTGCCCGTCCAGGCACCTTATGAAATCCACTTTGATTATATGGACCCCAATCCTCTCACAAGAGCCAAGCGTTATCTCATACGACTCATCAATACATCCTGGCAAACGACCTTTGTCTTCACTATCGATAATCATCTCTTGACCATTGTTGAAGCTGACTTTGTCCCCGTCACTCCATTCAATGCATCGTCTCTGCTGGTCTCGATTGGGCAACGCTACAACATCATCGTTGAAGCCAGTCCTCTTGTCAATAGCAGCAACCCAGCGCAAAACCCTCTGCCGGGGGACTGCAACTTCTGGATTCGCACCTGGGTTGCAGGAGACGGCGTGGAATGCGGCAGGATCGGCACTACCCCAGAGTACTCACAAACAGGAATCCTTCGATACATCGCAGAGAGCAAGACAAGCCCTTCCAGTCTGCCTTGGACCTTCAATCAAAATTGTTCCGACACGGAAGCAAACTCCAGGCTGGATCCAGTCGTGCCATGGGCGGTGGGGCTACCGCAAAATAATAAGACCAATGACAACTTTAACGTGTCTCTGCTTCATGGGGAAGGTCCATATGGAACTTCATTCATTTCACTGGACCGCGCAGGGAGCGACAAGCAAGATCCATTCCAGACGGACTATGGTAACCCGACGTTTCTGAACCTGGCCAACGTTCGGGAGAAGTGGCCTGTCGGATGGGTCGTGGTTCCAGAGAACTACACTGAGAAGGACTGGGTGAGTCTATAGGAGAATGATGTATGTGTTTTTTCTTACTAAGTGCCGACATAGGTTCACCTGGTAATGTTCGGCGCAAACGACTCATCACAGGGAACCTTTGGGCCTCATCCAGTAAGTCAACCTTTCAAGAGACCGCCTATCTTTCCTGTGCTAGCGTGACTGCTTTTCCTGCGATTGCATACTCTACCTTACTGTCGTCGTCGTCGTCGTCGTCGTCATCGTCGCTACTATCGTCGTCTTCGATAAGAGTCATTAAGTGTACAGGAAAAGCAATCACTCTAGCACAGAAAATTAGGCGACACCTTGTTTGATTACCCAGTGCCTCGAAGCTGACACTATCTAGATCCATCTACACAGCCATGACTTTGCCATTCTCCGCGAAGTGGACGACGAGCTTTGGGACCCTGCAACATACGACCCCACCAAGAACAACCTGAACAACCCTCCTCGCCGTGACGTTGTTCTCCTCCCATCTCAGGGCTACGTCGTCATCGGCTTCAAGACAGACAACCCCGGCGTCTGGCTGATTCACTGCCACATTGCCTTCCACGCCGCGGGCGGGCTTTCGATGCAGATTATGGAAAGGCAGAGCGCAGCTAACGAGTTCTGGCCGCCTGGCAACTCGGCAGATCTGGATGAGGCGTATCGAGTGTGCGAGAATTGGAACAGTTGGGCGTACGATTGCAGAAATCTTTGGCCGGGAGAGGTGCCCAGGAAGGATAAGGATGGAAATCCGACGAACCAGACTCATTGGCCGGCTTGCGAGGATGCGGTTATGCTGCAGAACGATTCAGGGGTGTAAGCACCGACCGATTGGAAAGTTTAATGATTATAAGTGCAATAAGATGATGAATTTCAAGCGCGACATGTCACATTTGAAAGCTGCACCGCAACGAATGCTGTCCTGCGAAGGCTTCCGCGTCTGGTCCGGCTTTGCGCCCCACCTCTCCGAGTTTTGCGCCCGCTACCCCGGTCCGAGGGCCGGTGATCTGCATCTTCACTTTTCAGGGCTCTATTGAAGGACCGGGGGGATAAGAAGCCAAGCGCCAAGATTGAGAAATCCACCTCTTCCCTCTCCTATTGCCGGAATTTGGCGGCATCGAAGGATCCGTCCCAACGCTGATGCCTTGCGCCCGTCAGCACTTAGAACCTGCCACCAGCCGAATATCCTACTCTTCCCACCCATGAGGCCAGCGACTTTCGAGGCAATTGGCCCACAGCCAAGCCTGAATCCAATGTGCGAGATCAAATTCTCTCAGCTCAGCCTCCTCCCAAACAATTCTTACATTGCTGCGCTGGCATCTCTCAACCCCTGTGAGGCCCTTGTCACCGCGACCCAGAGCGGCGGTACGAGAGAAAGGGGCTTATCAACGGCCAATACGGAAATGGCGCCGCATACCCGGTGTAAGCATTGGCAGCCAGCCCGTCAGACGCCGGGCGCGTTCGCGTGGCTTCTTGCGCGGAACGTTACAGGGTTCATTGTCTCCGTGACTGGGTCGGTTCATGTTAGTGCTGAGCTATGCGCAAAACCTCATAAGGAAAGGGTGATCTGTTGAGAAGAATCAAGTATACGATCTGCCCTTTTGAATGAGTTAAAATGAAACTTATGCGTGCTTGAGCACCAGCGACAGATGGATGCGTTGTTCGACCTCGCTGCGGAGTATTATGAGTGGCTGCTGGCACAAGTTACGATGCGTCTTCGGAAAGATATAATCGCAACTACTCCGTCTAGATATTTTCATCGCTTCTGGCCACGAATCCAACTTCACTCGATCAAACCAACAGGCACAATGACAGCAACAAGACATCTCACAACGTCACCGAGGTCGTTCCACAGATTCGCCGACCTTCCCGCTGAACTCCGTCTCAAAATATGGGAAGACGCATCGACAGGACCCTCAATGCACGTCTTCGACGTCTGCTTCCCATCCTGGCGCGGCGCGGAACGCAGCAAACGCACGTTCCAAGACGTTGACGGCCACATGTCGGAAGCGAATCAGGCGCGCTGGAGCAAATACAGCCAGTGCGTCTTCCTCGATGCCTTAGAGGCTGGACCAGCAGAGCTGGCGCGCTCCACGCGCGTCGCGAGACATGCGTACGACCCGAGCGTGTATAAGCAACGGCGCGCGCAGCAGTTGACGTCCGCCGAAGCCTCGGGAGCGACTACAAAGCCGGGGAAGGACGTCAATACCGTGTGTCTGCCTGGACGGAACGAGAAGATCGTGTACGACAATGAGGAGGACGTGATTTTCCTGAGGTTCAGAGACGGCGGCGCGGTGACGGAGCTATCGCAGGGAGTGCTGTTTGGGGAGTATGATGCCTCTGGGGCGAACAGTCTGAGCGAGGTGCTCGAGGGGCCGTGGAGCGCGGAGATGGCGGCGACGTTGCACGGTGGGAGGAAGATTGCGCTGGACGTTGCTGAGACGTGGACGAAGGAGACTGTTGGGGCGGTCTTGTTGGAGGAGGTTGCGTATCTGGGGTGCTGTTTGCAGCAGGGGCTGCGGGTGTTGTATCTGGTTGATCATTGTCCTGGACGGTGTTCACGGTGCGGGAGGAAGGACATGGCTGCGGACAAGTTGCAGGAGAGGGGGGAGCTGTACCGGCAGCTGCATTACGACGAGACCCAAGGCCGGGAACCGGATGTGGTAAAGGGGGTTGGCAAGACGTATCGCGAGGTTTTTGATTTTGAGGGGATGGGGTGGTCCGATAAACACCCAAGTTTTGTGTTCGCGAGAGCCATGGATGAGACCATTCGGAGCCAGCAGGCTGACGCGGATGCGAGGAGATTTCAGGGGGTGAGGGTTTTGGTGGTTGAAGACGAAGCCGTGGATGGGCTGGATACGACAACGTTGATGGACTGTAATCCGGAGGGCGCTCCGGAAAAGAAGATGGACATGGTTTGGGAGATGAGCCTGCGATGGTCGTGCTGAGACCAATCAGAGTGGATTGGATGCAGACTCGGTCTCTGAGAGGGTGTAAGCTTACCCGAGCCCGGATGTTTGGCGCTGACGTGTGTTGACGAAGTGCGAGCGATGGGTAAGAGGATGATGGTCTGGGGTTGGCTGGAACACCTTGTATTACTATTGCCTCGAATGGAGACGGATAACAACGTGGCCACCGTAAACAACGACAAAACGTGCTGCCCTCCAGCTTTTCGACTGGGAATACCCTTTGACGCCGTACTATGCATATACCACAAGCTGAAACTACAATAATTACCCCACTAGAATCTGTCGGCGTGTTAGCTCCGCCCGGGCACGGAATGGAGTTGGCTGCAAAGACTTACCGTATCTCATAGGAACCCGCCCTCGTCATGTACCGCACCCACTTGACACTAGAATAGTTGCTCTTCTCAAATACCTTTAGATATCTAACCAACAGGCCGGAACTTGTAAACATCAACAAGCTAAAGTTGAGGCTCAGGGGCGGCCGCGACCAGGCGCGCTGATTCGTCGTGCTCGACAATATGGCCTCGGCGCTCAGCACGAACTCGCTCTGACCGGTGAAACGGCCAATTTTCCATACGATGTTGTTCTCGCTTGGCTCGTACTTGGCCTTGCCCTGGGTGCAGCGCTCCGTGATCTTAGCAGTGTTGAGCGGTGTCGGGATGCGGACAACGACGTTGGTGGCGAACAGCTTCGACCCAAAGTTGGCCTTGATGCCGATACTGTACTCGACCTTGGTGCGCCCGACCTCGTTCACAATGGCGTGGACCTTGAAGGGCAGGTTGACGTTCTCGGTGGCACGATAGCGCATGAGCTCGAACTCGCCGTCGGGGGGCACGAAGGAGATGATGCGGTCGCTGTCGAACTTGCCGAGCTTCACGCACTGGTGGAACTGGCAGTCCTCCAGGGTGACGCTGCCGGCAGCCGCCTTGGTCGCCTTTGTGCCCATTCTGTTTCCGCTCGGTAGACTCAGGAGGCCGTCGTTGTCGAGGAGGAGGCGGTCGTTGAGGCCGAACTTGCACTCGGGGGTGCCGGAGAGGTAGGCGCGCATGATGATCTGGCCGGTGACGTCGGCGCGGAGGACGGCGCCGGTGGCGGACATGAGGAGGTTCACGTCTTCGATCACGTCGACGAAGGCCTCGTTCTTCCTGTACTTCACATCGGCCTTGCGCCATGACAAGGCGCCAGTGGCCTGCATCGTAATCTTGGCCGAGTCTTCGGCGGCGCGTTCTGACTTGACACCTTCGGTGGTGATGTACATTTTGAGGGTATCGGTCTCGGTGTTTTGGGGGTAGCCAAAGTCAATAATCTCTGGCACGGATCGTTAGACAGAGAGTTTGTAAGCAGGACATGGAGGGAGCGTGTACCATCGAGCAGCTCATAGACAAGCACGAAGTTGTTCTTAACAGCCTCCTCATCAAACTTGCCAAAGTACCCCCTTCCGAGGCCAATCAGGCGGTACAGAAACTCGAAGACGAGAGCGGCATTGGCATTGCTCTTGGTGATGGCGACCAGGTAGATGTTCTCGTGCTTGACATGGCTGAAGGTGGTGCTTCCGAGGGTGAGGATAGGAGACCGGACCTGGGCGTTCGAGATCACTTGAATCCGGAAGACGTCGGCCAGGCGGGGTCTGCAGTCGTTGCGGAAGGCGCGGAAGATGAGGTTCTCGCCCTTTTGGTTGAAAATGAGGATGCCGGACAGCATGTTGGGGGGTGTTATCGGCGCCCACGGACGGCGGCCAGCGATTCGGGACTCGGTGTCGGTGGGAGGATGGGTCTTGTCGAGCCGGGAGGAAGCTTATCGACGCGTAGAAGAAGCTTCGAAGTGCTTGTCGCGGGGAGACGTTGCAGGGCGCAGGGCCGGGTGGGAATTGGGTCGCGACGGGATCTCGGGCGGCTGTCAGGGGACGGAGACGGGAGCGGGAACGGGGAGCTTGATTTCGAGAGTTTCGGGCTTGGGCGCTGGCTGCGGAATTCTGCCGTCCATTGGAGGGTCCGGGCGGTGAAGCTAGGGTGCCCCGTGCAGGGGACGGAGCCTGCATTACGTGATCCACCTGCCAAATGAAGAATGGCACGTGCACGAAACGGTCGGTGGTGGGGCATTCTCATTATGTAATCACAGTCTTCAAGACAGTGCGCTGGCAGAATTGGCACTCCTCTGTCCTCCTTCCCTTCGCTATTCCGTTGTCTGCTCTCCTCGACCACCAACATCGTTGGACGACATGACAATCCCAATTACGATCCGATGCGATACCATTACCTTCTAGAGCTACAGTATAGAATACCACGCACATTTCTCCTACGTTCAGTCTCATTGCCTCTGAGATAACCAAAACAATACAGTGTCATCATCGACTGCCGCACCTGGTCAGCACAGCCAAGATGGCCTCGTCCGCCGGCTGAAGACCACTCCTGTACTCTGTACCTTGAACTGCTTTCGTCTCGCTACACAGTCTGTCTCGGTTCGATATTCAATCTGCACTTGTTCCATCAGACTTCGCATCCGCGTTCCTCGTCAGTCGTGATCGTGACACTGTCGAAACGACATGAAGTCGTTCAACCAAGAGATTGGTCGCAACATCAATATCCATCGTTTCCACAAACCTGGGAGTGCAAGATGCTGATCAAAGCTTGTCAGGCCAAAGCAATCACTATTGATTGCATTTCCTAATGATTTCATCAACTCAAGACAGAGCCGAGTACTACTGCACCACACACAGCCGCTGCCCGACCACCAAGAACCCCAATTTCCCCAATTCGCTTGCCATCCCCTGTCGTCCCTTGCGTGCGGCTCGGTTCCAGCAAGCAGGAGGACAAGAGACACATATCGTCGCTGATGGTACCTGGAGCCAAGCCTCTTTCGCTACGCCTTCCGATCACCCAGCTCGGTTGTTACCTCTGCTGCTGCTACGCCTGGCCACCATCTCTTCCGAGGATGGACTCGCGACGCCTTCATCACGCAAGCTTCCGGTAATTGATTAATCGCGCCCGGCAAGCCTCTCCAACCAGCTCATCTCGGATGGTTCAGCCGGTATTCCAGCTCAAGAATCAGTCCAAATCCCACCCGGCCGGAAAGATTTGAAGCCTTTCCGACCCCTCATGGCACCCTCCTCAACTGTCTCCACATCCGCCGCGCCCCCATGACCTGAACGCTCTTCCGTACACGGCTATCATGGAGCGTCGCCTCCGAAATAACTAAGACTGCGTTACATCCAACCCGAAGTCTGGCCATGCCTTGGTTGGCGGACTTTCCCCAAAAACGCCATCGAATATCACCATCAGCCATATCAAGATGCGCCTTCGACGAACTTTACCTCAATGCCCAGCTTTCGCCCCCCGTCTTGACGTGCCATCGTCCTGGTTCAATCCATGGAACCGATTCCAGCTCGGATGTCTCTTCCACAACCCCATGGGCACGATAGCACGATGGTTCCTTCGGCTTCGCCCGTGCCCTCAGCGCTTGTCTGAAAGGGGCAAACTGGACTCAGAATGCCGAGGCCTCCCTCCGAGATCGTGGGGCAAAGGGCCTCCCTGCCTCGCGGGCCCAGACTTCACTTATCCCGTCGATCCGAAAGCCTAAGTAGTGAGCCCATCGGGAGCTGGTAGACTGCCATGGCTCAAGACATGATAAAAGGGCAGTCGCCCGGTTCCCTTCAAGGTTTTCATCTATCAGCCACGGACAGCATCATCGGATCAGTCAATAACATCCTCTTGAACTTCACCACCAATGGCTGCTCGATCGCTCCTTGCCGCTGCCCTTTTGGGCAGCGTTGCCTTTGCCGTTCCCATCGAGGAGAGGCAATCTTGCGGAGCCGCCTGGTAAGACTGTCTGAAAGATTGCCATGCGCGTAGACTAACACCCTGTAGGACTCAGTGCGGTGGCAACGGTTGGACGGGCGCGACGTGCTGTGCTTCTGGCAGCAGCTGTGTCGTCACCAACGAGTGGTACAGCCAGTGCATTCCTGGTGCTGCCGCTCCGTCTGCCACTTCGACTACCCGCGCAAGCTCCACCACTGTCGCGAGCACATCTCGAGCCTCATCAACCACCGCCGGCGCGACGACCACCCGCGTTACTAGCTCTGGCACCGCCCCCGTCCCTACCGGCGGCGCCACTTACACCGGTAACCCTTTCGCCGGCGTCGACCTCTACGCCAACTCGTACTACGCCTCCGAGATCTCGACCTTGGCTATCCCGTCTCTTACCCCGGCCCAGGCTACCGCGGCCGCAAAGGTTGCCAAGGTCCCTACCTTCATGTGGATGGACACTCGCGCCAAGATTCCCTTGGTTGATTCCACTCTCGCCGACATCCGCAAGGCTAACCAGGCCGGCGCCAACTATGCGGGTCAGTTCGTCGTCTACGATCTCCCAGACCGTGACTGTGCTGCCGCCGCCTCCAACGGCGAGTACTCGATTGCTAACGGCGGCGTTGCCAAGTACAAGGAGTACATTGATGCCATTCGCACCATGATTCTCAAGTACTCCGACATTCGCATTCTTTTGGTCATTGGTTCGTCAATCTATTATCTTGCTGCTGTGTCGTGCTGTGTCTGACATACAATCCAGAGCCCGACTCCCTGGCTAACCTTGTCACCAACTTGAATGTTGCCAAGTGCTCTGGTGCCCAGGTTGCGTACCTTGAGTGCACCAACTACGCCGTTACTCAGCTCAACCTTCCAAACGTAGCCATGTATCTCGATGGTGGGCATGCCGGCTGGCTTGGCTGGCAAGCCAACCTTGGCCCTGCCGCCAACATGTATGCGAAGGTCTACAAGGATGCCGGGTCCCCCAAGGCTCTCCGTGGCATCGTTACCAACGTCGCCAACTGTTCGTATCTGCCTGTCATCTGTTTTGAACTCTTTCTGACACGTTTCACAGACAATGCCTGGAGTCTCAGCTCTCCCCCCTCTTACACTCAAGGTAGGCATCACGCCCTAACTCAACGTTGTCAAATCTAACTTTGCTAGGCAACTCCAACTACGACGAGAAGCATTACGTTGAGGCACTTGCCCCTCTTCTTAGCGCCCAAGGGTGGAACGCCCAGTTCATTGTCGACCAAGGCCGCTCTGGCAAGCAACCCACTGGCCAAGAGGCGTGGGGTGATTGGTGCAATGCTGTCGGCACCGGCTTCGGGCTGCGCCCATCAACCAACACAGGCTCTTCGCTTGTTGACGCCTTCGTCTGGGTGAAGCCCGGTGGCGAGAGTGACGGTACCTCTGACACCAGTGCGGCTCGCTATGACTTCAACTGTGGAAAGAACGATGCCCTCAAGCCCGCTCCCGAGGCCGGCACGTGGTTCCAGGCCTACTTCGTGCAGCTTCTTACCAACGCCAACCCTGCCTTTTAAGAGGCTTGGTCTGGTTCCGATGCACCCTTTCATCTTTCAAAGCGGACACGTACATCTTATTTGTCACTTCTTGTACATACTTAACACCATTTTGGCGAAGGATTGTATATACAGCACAGAAAATATTGCCTGATTCTCATTGGAGCCCGACTCTGCTAGCGTTTCCTGCTTGTGGCATACTTTGAGGCACTACCTTTCTGTCAGCCAACCAAGTCTCTGTACTCTCCTATTGGCCAATAGTGTATGGCCTCAGAGTATCAACGGCGGGGGCTGGCGTTAACACATGAGTTGAACACAAACCCGTTTGACTAACCTTGCTACCTTTTCAACCATCCAATGGCAACTCTATCTAATGGTCGTTCTTCAACTCCAAATTACAATCCACTTGTCACATCAACACCGAATTCGGCATCTTGAGATCACGTCTCGCAACCGCTATCGACGGATTCTGACTCTCATTATTACCCTATGGACGTTTGGACAAAGAACCGGCCGAAGCGCGTTTCCTCTAATTACCTATCGTGTACTCTCTTACAGGTTGGACTATGAAACTTCCTCGACGTTATTCCTTTGAGGTTTCCGACATGCGATGGACCGATACTAAGGCCCCGTGGTCTGATTTTGACCCGCCCTCAATCTTGGACCCATTTCCTTTTCCGTTGAGCTGCGAGCAGGCTAATGTATCGTGCGTACACGGTTAATCCTGCGATGCAACTTTCAAACGACCGACCACATGCTGACACTCAGAATAGAGACCTCGACATGCCTTCGATACCCTCTTGCGACCCGGTCCTTGAATCCTTCGGTTCTTCGTCGTCAAATCCGACAAGGGAAGAGAAGGCGATAAGATACTTTGTACACCGTATTATCCAACACAGATGTCCCACCTGCCGACGGGAAACTATGACGGATGACAGCAGAGTCCTCTTCGCGTACACCCAACGTATGATGCACGAAACCATCATGGCTGCCGCGTCCAAAGGTGACTGATGCTTCTTAGCGCACTTGAGTCACATCTAGTGCTTATTGTCAGTTTTCTAACGGTTGTCAAGATCCTGCGGTATCCCGTCTTCCAATCGTTGTCGATCCTCGTTGGAGTCACAAGATCGCCTGTCCCTACCCTGACTGTAAAACCGAATCGTGTCCTTGCTGCGCTACCCAATCTTCCGCTTCGATGTGTCTTGCACCTGGGTCGGAAACCCACGTATGGTGCTGCAACGGAGGCCGTCTTTTCTTTATCTTCGCACTGCTCTGCGGTCCGTATCAGCATCCCGGAGACAAATCCGCGTCCATCTATCAAGATACCCAGGTGAAGACCAGGTCATCTCGTGCTGGCCCGAAGACAAGAGTCAACACCGCACCCGGTGCTGGAACGGGCTATGGTGGCTCTGATAGTGATGCTCCATTCAAGGGATCTAATCAGAACTCGCTCAAGGACATTTCTCGAAGCCTTGATGTCCTACCCGAGGTGCTCACCGCGCTAGCAAAGGCCTGGCCTTCGACGTCTAGAAATAGGAGCGCCTTTGACAAGAAACCTCCGCGTCTTCTCGCCGCCATGACGCGACGAAGCCCTCTTATTATCAAAATTGCCGAGCTCATGCAAGACGACTGCATCGAAGAGATTATGCGTCGACCCAAGCTATACGATTCATTGTTCAACTTGCTTCTAGTCTGGAATCAACGTCACGTCTCACGCCCGCTTTTCGCTAGACCCCGACCAGAACACCCTTTTGAACAGACGCTTCTGCGGATTGCATTCAGAAACACTGATTTCTCGCTGCATTCCTGTCCAAGGATTCTCAAAATAAAGTACGAGGAAAAGCACAACGGGTCGCAGACACTCAATATGCTGCCGCCACTCGTCAGCTTGTTCTCTGGTCTAGCCGTTCCGGTTCGCTTTGCCTTAAAGCACCACAAGGATAGCGACGAGCACGCAAAGCAGGTACGCGATGCATATGATCGCATTTGCAAATTCGCCGAAAAATACGAAGCTTACCAGAAAGGCCATCTCTCCGGTGACGGTGCCACCGCCGTAGGTAAAGATGATACGCCCATCACCAAGAGCTACAGTGCTGGAGAACAACGTGTAGAAGAGCTCAGGCGAAGCCTTTCTGATAGCCGTGTCGTTGAGGTTGATGAAAAGGCATGGCACCGAGAATACCACTTTACCAATGACCTGAGGCGGACCGAGACGCAAACCTCTCCACCAGGTCGCATGAAGCGCCTCGTGTGGGAACTCTCCATCCTCCGAACGTCAATACCCGAGGGCATCTTCGTCCGGCACCATAGCGACCGACTCGATGCCATGACTTTCTTGATTGTCGGACCTGCCGGGACACCATATGAGAATGGGCTTTTCGAGTTCGATCTCTTTTGCCCCATGGACTATCCCCAGAGCCCGCCACACGTGTTCTTCAGGACTTCTCCGCCCGATCGGAAGTTCAACCCTAATCTTTACAACAACGGTCTTGGTGAGGTTTTCCCACATACTTTAGCAGGTCTTCGCTAACCACTTTCGACGCAGTCTGCTTATCCCTTCTCGGCAGCTGGGAAGGACCCAGCTGGGACCACGAGAACTCGACCCTCCTACAACTCCTCGTCTCCCTGCAAGCGATGGTCTTCACCGAGTCGCCGCTATGGAACGAGCCAGGCTTGGAAAACACCCTGACGCCGCTGCATTCGCGGGTGTACAACGTCGAAGTCCGCGCTGACACGACGCGGTACGCGCTGGCTGAGTGGCTGACGAAGCTCAACAGCGGCGAGCTCAAGTCCAGCCCGTGGCGCGAGGTCGTCGCGGCGCACTTTGAGCTAAGGTGGGAGGAGATCTTGGAGGTTGTCGAGCGGTGGGAGGCGGACCAGCCTGGGGACGAGGTCCGTCTTCCGAATCAGCGGGAGAAAGGCCAGGAAGGCCTGAAGAGGGCTGCGTACACGACTCACTGTGCCCCAGCGCGGTTCAAGGAGGGCATTCGGATGTTGGAGGAGGGGTGTAAGCGCTGGAGTGAACGGCCACGGGTTCGTCTGCCGGTCGTTATTCCAGATCGCCAGGTGAGCACATGAAGGTGGCCTATATTGTGCTAGTTTGGCACAGGAGGGGTCCAGATGTGGTTGTGTCATCGGAGATACTAGTGATCTGAAGGAAGAGGAATCAACCTGCAAGCTTTGGGTTAAGGCTGGACGGGGCTGTGAAGCCACAGCTGTTGTATCGAGTGTAATTCACATACTTGAGAGATGTCGCGACACGTACAGCCGGCTTGCGCAAGATGGAGTGCTAGCTGGTGCTGGTACAATAATGCTTTCTCCATATAGAATGGGTAGCTGCATGATTCACACTTGAGTTCTAGATGGCTTGCTTCATGGAGGTGACTATCAGACCCTGCGGACGGCCGGCCTTAAGGCGTACCGGTGCTGTTAACTTGAGGACGTCGTCGCAATGAGGTCGATGGAAAATCTGTGATTATCCTTTCTCCCACACAGTTAAAGGCGGACGTTCAAAGACGCAAGTTGTTGCATCTTCTACGTCCGAGGCCTACCTCTAGTACGGCAATCAAGAATGCTCCTCGCCAGCTTATTTATACCATGCTCGTACGAAGGATCATCCACAATGACTGACACGGGACGCCAGCATTGACGTCTGCAGGAAGCACCTTGGCTGGGAGGCACAACGGAAGACGAGACGCTTTGGATATGTGGATGATGGGCGCCGCGGAAAGCTGAGCCGTTTGCCTTCCCGCGGCACCCATCGTCCCGGCATCCAAAGCGTCGAGTTCCCTCCTTACAATAGCACCCGATGAGTAATGGGCCACTTCATCGGATCGTTCCAAAAACCTGCGAAATAGTTGGTGGATCAGCCTGCTAGCGAATCATCAACAGCCTTCAAGCCGCGGTTGAGTCTCGCAGTGGCTCTTCCAGAAGATGATGGTATTACTGGTGGGCGGCTCCAAACAGTGCGCTCCTTTCCAGGCCAGGTGGCCAGGTTGAACTTTTGGACAAGTTGATGATGTCAACCCTCGTCCCGTCCCTTCGTCAGGCGGCGATCATCAATGCAGCCGCCCGTGAACAATTCGTTTCATGAGACGACGACAAAGCCCGGGACTTTGACCGTTCGTTTGCCTGCGAACAGGCAACGCACCCCAGAGGAGACGACAAACTTACTTGAGGCACTGGCCTGTCTTTCACTGTGGTCCTACCGCCCCCTCCACGGAAAAAAGAAATCTTGGCTACGCTGCAGTTGGAGCTGGCTCCGTCGAGGGTTCGTCAGTCTCCGCCGCCCCGGCGCTGCAGGGTGGCCAGTGCATCCGTTGACAAGCTGCAGCACGCAGACGGCAGTCGGCAGACGCTTGTCAGGGCCGCAGCTAACAAGCCGGCGGCCCAAGCGGAACTGACGGCGAGCTAAGAAGAAATTGTGCCCTGAGACAGGCCGGTTGAGTCGGGCTCGTTGCGGGCATGGATGCTGAATCAGTCTTGCAGCCCAGCAGTCGGCGCCTTTCTGACTTTGGCCGGAGTTCAGTTTTAGGCCTGACGTGCGCAAATTGTCTCGTTGATATCGTGTTCGGGGGCGATCGTCTGGCGGTCATTACTTTCCCCGGTACGGCTGACACATGTTTGCCAGGAGGTTGATTGAGGGAAAACTCAGACGGCGCCTGCGGGTAGCATTTGTTTTGGTCTGGCAGATCGCCCCCACCAAAGAGCGACGCAGCGTTGCAAGCAAACAGCCAGGCCCCAGGGCTTGCGGTTGGAGCAGGTATCGCGGAGACTGTCCATCGATCTTGACGACACGCGACCCGAGAGACACGCCTCCAAGCCGATGAACACGAGAAAGTTGGCGCTTAGCGGCTGTCGCGGAACCAGACACACAGCTAAGTTTACGGTCATCCAGGATAGCCATCTGTATATCGGCGTGAAATGCCAAATATGTCGGCAGCCACCAGCCTTTTGGAGGTTTCCACCCGACCCGAACGTTGGCGTCGTATGGGGGCTCCCAGGAATCTGTTTCCCATCTGCGGGAAACCACGTGGAAGAGGTGGGCACAGTGACTCGGACCGCGTGTGAGTGGGCAGTATCCGTTTCCCGTCGTAATCAAGTCCGAGCCGAACGATTTCCATGACTCGGGGCTGGCTGGCGATTCTGAGCCGTTCCGAGAAAAGAGCGCCGGTTGCGTTGGACATATTGACACGACGACAAACGGATGAAGTCAAATGAGAGCCATGGCGTGGCCAGGTCCGGAAACGAGGGGGTTTTGGGGGTCAACATGCTTAATGAAACTCAAGAGCTGGAAAGTTTCGACAGACCAGGGCGGGCAGGGGAGAAGAAGGAGTGCCCAAAGCTTCTTGAGCGACGTGAGGGGGACCAAGAATGAGATGAGTTCCGCCTGGTGAGCTTCAAGAACCCTGTCATAGTCCAGGACGTGAATCATGAAATGGGCAATTGCGAGTCTGAGTGATTCGTTCAAAAGGCAATCCGAGATGATGCTATGTTTAAAGGTGGCACAGGCAGCGAAGCATGTTCCACGGCAGGCAGGAAGTAGCCTTCAATTGGACATCCAGCGATGGGAATGTGCCGTCCGTTGAGATCAGAAAACCCATGCAGTCCACGAGGCTAGGTAGTGCCTGACGGCCGGGAATGAGTGCGTTTGCCACGTGCGAAGCATGCCGCGGACGAGGCAGAAGGGAAAAGCGCGAGAGAGGGGAAAGTGAGAAGATGAGGGGAAGCAGCCACTGGCGTGTCGAGATTGACAGAGTGGTATTGAAAGTGGTCTGAGGAGGGCGAGTTGGTCGTATCGATGGGGTGAGAGGACCGAGGGCCACAAAGAGGCATACGATCTGAGACGAGGCCATGTGTGCGTGTAATTATGAGAGTGTGTGCCATTTCCGGCCAAGTGAAGAGGCCGAGATGCTTGATGGACACGAGAATTGCCGGTTGGTGGCTGGTCTCGTCAGATGCCGATCGACAGGTGCAGGCTCAGTGATCGATAATCGTCATTCAATGGCCGTTTTCGAAGAGATGAAGCGCCATTTGGCTTGCCTCACCTGTCTTGACAAGCCCGCCGCGAGCAGTCAGTATGGCACTAACATTGACGACCGTCCCCGTTACCCTCATGGCTTACCTGCCACCCTACCCTGCCCTGCGCTGCGTGGCTGGCACAAAAAGTGCGTGTTTTCCCCTGTCGGAGGAGAACAGAACTGTGATGCGTTGCGGCGTCACAGCGTCGCAGTCAGGGTCTTTTGAGCGTGTTGGAGTGTTGGCCAAGACGAGATCGACAGTGGGCTAAAACGCATTGCGGACTGGTGCTAAGCTGTAACCATCAGTACGCCGAAATGACTTACAAGACACAGCAGCGATGGCCACATCATGTTTGAAAGTGAGCGAGACCTGTCTGGCTGCGAATGCGTCCGCCAGGCGCGTCCGGCAATGTCGGTGTCATCGGCTTGCTTCCGATATCCGAGGGCATATTAGGTCAGAGTGCGAGATCTGTAGGCAGGCGGGGATACGGCGAAGGGCGGAAGGATTGTCGACGGAGTTGATACTCGGAGTTGAGGCGGGTCAGCCGGGGTTGACTGCATCGTGCATGGTGCATCTGAGTCGAAGCAGGGCTACTTGGCGTATACTTTGGTAGGCGCTGGATAGCCGCAGTGGGAAGCGGACCAAACTCAATTGATGCAGGTGACACGTGGATTTGTCGATGTGTTCCTGGGCAAGTGTCTGTGGTTCTTGCGAGTGGGTGTGAAGATGAAGAGGCAGGTTAAACGGTGATTGATTGAAGTGGCTCTCGGACCCCGTAGGCGCATCGAAAGGTGTTGGAGCCGGCGAGGAGACACAATGCAAGGCGTCGCGGATGGGATGGATGTGACTGGCAGCGAGGTACTCTGCAGAGCACCTAGTGTACTCGGTATGCAGTAGGTACTTTGATCTGAGGTGTACCGTATGGCCCCCTATTGCAGATAGTGTTGAAGGACGTCTAAGCGGGCCTCTGTGAGTTCAGCGTAGCGCATCGTATCTCCGTGATAGCGGCCACAGGCGTAAGCCGGGGCACAGGCACGATAGGGGCTAGGCTCTCGTCTCCTGTCTCCCCCTGTCCGTGGTGACTTGAGCGAGAGGGAGGCTGGAAGGGATGGATGGATGGAAACGTATGTGCGTGTGTCTGCATCGGGCTGTAAGCGACGATGGGTGGATGGTAGCGGGCGGTGATGGCTGGTGGTGGCGGGTGTGTGGACTGTATGAAGCCAAGCGGGCTGACTGACGTGTGGACGTGGACCGATATCAGCAGATAGCGGCATTGGCTTGCAAGACTGCGTAAAGTAGAGTCGGCAGCGGCGGCGAAGGCGGTTGTGCAAATATTCCTGAATGTGATATCTGGCAAGGCGTGGGTTTTGAGGAGTCGCGCATGTGTTTCTTCAGCTGGTGAGCTGCAGGTCGGACGCATGCGGCCAACAACGGGAGGCGACAATGGGCGCCGGGGGTCCAGACGCGGTGCAAACTGCAAGGTGCAAACACTGCGGCCGGGGCATGGGCTTCGGGGCATCCAGACTTAGCATCGGGGGATATGCGACATGGGACGGGGGAGCAGGGCGGAAAGAACAAAGATTGGGAGAAACAGATTGGTGGGTGGACGACGTGGTGGTGTGCCAGGGTGAGGGTGATGGATGATGGTTGGGAGATGGGAATGGGAAAGGCAGAGAGGGAAACATGGCATCCACAGGACTGGGTGTCGGGAACGAAACCCAAGGCAGGGCAGGGCAGGAGGCCCGCCGGCATAAGGAAGCTGATATGCCAGACCACACCCGACATCCATGAATGGAAGGCGAGAGGGAGGAAAGAAGCATCCTCCATCATCAGGAACGGCAACAGCGACACGCGATGTCCTTTCTTCCCTTGTTCCTTCCTTTTTTTTTTTTTTTTTTTTTTTTTAAGGTTGGTGAGTCTGTATCAAGGGGAAGGAAGGCACCTCCATCGTCGGGTCGGCCTGGCTGACACTGCACTATTGAACACCAGGCTGTTCCTGCCACAGATTGATTGCTTGCCTGCCTGCCTCGCCTTACAGATAGCCGTGGACAGCAGGAAGGGATGGGAGAGTACGTACCCGGCCCCTCCGTAGGTAGGTACGCGTACCACAGGAAATGTCCGAACGGGAAGGCAGATTTGACGGTGGATGAGGCGGTCAGCGGTCCTATTTCTGGCATCTACGCAGTACCTACGAAGGCTCATGTGGCTTAGATGACTGGTTTACCTACCTACCTTACCACTAGGTACTTTACCCAATGGAAGGTAGAAGCAGCATAGCAGAGCTGCCCCCTTACCAGCTCACCTCAGCTGGAGACCCCTGGGGAAAAGAAAAGGCTGGTCGCAGTCCAGTCGTCCGTCCTAAGACGCAGGAACTGGTCTCTTCTGTTGGTAGGGCGGCTGGGAATGGCGCTGCACTAGACATTAGACACAGAGACACGGAGCTCTAGATCTCTACCTTGGATCTCGCGCCGCCTGTCACTGAGTCTTCTCTCAGTGGGTACGCAGGAGGGGGGGGGAAAACTGGTGCAAGAAAACGGCGGGCATGGATCGGCCCTGAAGATGTGTACATGCCTTCGTACTACTGCATATCAGTAAGGTATGGGAGTGTCTGCCCAGTGGGCGCTGGTCTGGCCCCTGTCCCGGGATCTCTCCAGATCCCTGACCTGCACATGGCTACTGTCTGCGTGCCGTTTTCTGCTTAGCGGACAGCCCGTCTCTGCGAAGTACCCGAACATCGGTCTGCGACAATCGCCTGTGTGCAGCGGTTATTAGGCACGATTAGGTAACTGTGACTGCTGCTGATGCTGATGCTGATGCTGCTGCTGCAAGTCGCTCTTTCCACATCGCAACCTCCCGGAGAAGGGCCCACACAGGGGAGGAAGTTGCCCACTCAGGCGCACCTTCTCCTGATCTCGTTTGAGATTTGGGCCGCCTTTCCCAGACAGGCACTCACTCCCTTCCTTGCTGCGTGCCTGCCATTGCAGCCGGGCTCATTCACTGCAGGCAGCCTACACCCTCTGCACCTTCTGCACCTGCACCTGCCTGATCGTCACTGGCCATAGGTCACTGACTGACCCAACCACTATCTTGCAAGCAGGTACGGTTCCGTGGGCGGAAGGAGGCTACCTTGATCGAACGTGGCTGCCCTCCTTCGTCACCTCCCGCCCTCCGTTCCTGCCTGACTTTTGCTTAGTGCAAGTGAGAGGTACCCGAGCCGACCGGCCTGAGTACCTATTTTACCTCAAGTACCTGCCTTAGGTACCTGAGTGAGATGATTAACAAATCAACCCCGATGGCCACCGGTTCTCATCTCTGCTAGTCTCTCTTCAGCGTAGCCTTAGCCTCTGCACTGTCTGCAGACGGGAAAGGGTGAGGTGAGGTGTGTCTGTCACTGGTGCAGTGAGGTGAGGTACCTACCTGGTGAATGCTGTCCCTGATGCGCTGCTTGCCTGGGCTGCTTGCTTGCTTGAATTAAATTATTATTTGCTCCCTGCCTGCCTGCCTGCCTTCCTTCCCGTGTCGTGTCCCATGCTCCTTCCTGCCGCTCTTGCTCTTGCAATTGTTCCCTCACCTTGTCTCGCTTGACTAAGGCAAGGTACCGCCTGCCTTGCACTTGCACTTGCACTTGCACTTGCACTTGCTCCTGCTTGCTGCTTGCCTTACCTTACGTCTCCGTACCTACCTTACCTTACCTTGCCTTGCTCTGTGCTCTGCCCTGCATTGCACTTGCTGCTCCCCGAGTCGTTCATTCTAACCAGAGTCTCGACTTTCTTCATCTCCATCTCCCTCTCCTCAATTTCTCTCTTCTCCTTTTCCCGGACATCACGCTGCCTTGCTGCCCACCGCATCATCGTGCCCACGACCGTTTTGCACCCGATACGACCCAGTCCCCAGTCGGGACCCATCGATCGTCCCCCCCGAACTTCAATCTCGCCTGCGCTGCCCTCTCTCACCTCCCATTTCGATTCCACTCTGACCGACACACTCTTCGCCAACAATCCACCCGGCACTCCTCTCAACCACTCAACAACCTCAAAACCCTTCTCCAGTCCCCGTCGCTGGTCTCCTCTCGCCTCCATACCTTACCATCAACTGTAGTGTACGGATACACTCCAGAATACGCAATACCGGCCACACCCCCCGAAGCGATCGAATTTCTCCTCTTCTCGCCCACCCCCGGAGCCCCTACCGACACCTGTCGTTGACTCCCGTTGCCGCTGCCGCTGCCGCCTACCTCACGGTCTTCCTACCTACGCTCACGCCGCTCGCTGCTGCAAACCAACCCAACCCAACCCGCAGAGCCCGCTCGCTCTCTTCCGTCATCCCAATTGCGCCCTGCACCTGTCTGCCTTGGTCCGACAGTCGTGAAGCAAGCCCCGGGCTGTGGAAACTCGAACCATTCTCTCGTCAACGAACTGGTCCGGACGGGCACTTTGACGAACCTTTTCAAGCAGGGATCCCGCTAAAGTCAAAAATTACAATGCCCACCTCACTCGATTCCTCTCGTCCCATCATGGCACCCTCAGTACGTTCTTCTGTCTCCTGATGTTGCCTTTCACGCTCTAGCCCTCACCTGCCTTGTCCTCCTCCTTGACATCCCTCCCGTTGGCTGCTTTGCTGGCTGCAAATCCGTCCATCCCTTCTGCTCCCTGCTGCGCCTCGTCCTCGATCCCTTTTTTGGCCTTGTTGGCTCTTTGACGCCGCACCTCCCGACAGCTCATCCCACACGTGGACCTCCTCCGTTCCTGCTGCCGCTGCGCTGCTACTATCTTAATCCTTACTCGTCCCGTTCGATCCCCCCTTCCTTCCATCCCCCTCTTCTCTATCCTACCCAATACCGCCCAAAATGACCGCCGTTCTGACCGAGACTCCCGTTCCACAGGTGCGAGCCTCTGTGCGATACAGTACCTACAGCATGGCGCCCTCCTTTGCGAACACCGTCCAGACCACCGACTCGGCTCACGCTGAGATCGCCGACATCGCGACCGGCCTCGACCGCATGGAGAACAAGGCTCTCAGCTCCCAAAGAGTCACCCTGAGCGAGGAGAAGACGGCCAACATGAGCAAGCTGGCCCTCGGCGCCAAGTTGGAGCGTGCGCTGGACCGGAGAATGAGCAGCCAGGACGCCGTCATGCGCCCCCGCGGCAAGACCTTGACCGAGAAGACCACTGCTGCATAAGCGACGCTGCGCCATTCGTCACTCAGTCAATCATGGCAAATTAAAAGAAACGGCCGCCAGAGTCCACGCTCAACACCAACTCGAATGTCGACGAGGGACCAGGGCCGATGAACAGCGGCCGATAGGATCAAAAGGATGAATGATTATGTTTCCGGTCCTGGTTAGGGAGGAACAGAGGCAGGCCAGACCGGCAGATGAACGAACCGGCCTTGCGAAGCTGTCGAGCCGAATATCAACCTACGGACCTGCGAACGGTAGCAAGGGAGGATAATGGGAATAGCGGCTGCGAACATAAGCACCCCCTCACGCATGTTTTGATTTGGTCTGTTGGGATATCCAGAGGATGTCGGAGCGAAACGCCATGATGACATCCCACGCATAGTGTTTAAATGGTTTACTACGATGCTCCCCCTGTCCACGTTACATACCTTTTTCTTCTTTATTTCTCGCTGCGAGGCATGGCTACCACAAGATGCGACATGAATCACGGCACGGGGTTTTTCTTCCTCTTCCTCCGCAGACTTGGGGTTCATAGTCATGGTATTGGTACATGTGGTATACTACTAGAAATGCTAAACGACCATATCTCCCACGTTGGTCGGATGCTCACGACGGCCATGTGACCACCATATGATGTATGTGTCCACGGAAGTGCTCCTCCAGCAAGCCTCGGTGCGCATGCGACAGCCCCTCGGCAGCGATCTATCAGGATGCGCCCAACTCCCAAGCTCTCTGCCCTCGGCCTGACTGTCCTCCGCTGGCATGCTTGTGTCGCACGTTTGAAGCCCTCGCGACGTCTAGGTGCCTGATCAATCATAAAGAAGTTCCTGCTCCAGCACCTCTCCCTCAGGCACTCTCCTTCTTCTCAATCTTGGCCTCAATCTCCTTCAACTGCGCAACCAGCTCGCCCTCCTCGCCTTCGTACTCGAGCGCCTTGCCAACCCACTCCCTCGCCTCCTCGAGACGGCCCATCTCCATCAGACACCTGCCCCTGCGCCACCATGCCTTTGCGTTGCCAACCTTCCTCGCCTCGACACTCGCCTCGGCGTCGACGGAGCCCTCGGCCCACTGCTGCAGCGCCATGTGCGCCTGCGCGCGGTTGGCGTACAGGCTGGCGACCTCCTCGCGGACGAGCTGCGAGGGCTCCCACAGCGGGCGGGTGAGGGCCATCTGCAGGCCGAGGGTGTAGAACTTGACGGCCTCGGCGTACTTCTTCTTGTGGAACTCGGCGTTGCCGGAGTCGCGGAGCTTGGAGACGTTGGCGGAGCGTTTGGGGTTGACGGGCATCGGCGGGGGCGGGACGCCGTGCTGGGTGGTGGTGTCGGAGGTGACGAGGGAGCGGTGGAGGGCGTTGAGCTGGGCGAGCTCGGCTTGCAGCGCGCGCGAGGAGGAGGTGGAGGAGATTGCTTTGGACTGGGGGTCTATTTGGAGGGGGAGGAGGTCGAAGTGTGTGAGTTCCGACATGTTGGGCGGTTTTTGGTGGTGTGTGATGTGTATTAAGGTGGGTGAGGTGTCTTTCGTCTTCGGGTATCTTTTTTGGGTGGTGAAGGCGACCGTGTTCGTGACGGCGTGAGGGTTCGTTTGCTGTTGTGGTGGCGGTGGTGAAGACAAGAAAGAGAGAGGTTGTTTGTTGCGAGACGAGCGAGCGGACGCCTGGGTGGTTAGTTAGTCGGTCGCTTTGCGCAGGACCTCTTTGGGGGAGAGGACACTTCTCCGAACGTTATCCTTATCGGGCTTAGGCGGTAATTGGGTCACGTGCTGATAGTGGGATTGACCGAGCTGACCGAGGTCGAGCTGCCTCACCTTGATGGCGGCGAAGAAGAGAGACCTTTCGTTCCGGGTGTGAGACAGCTTTGATCTAGCATTCCGATCGCGTCTATTGTTCCATTGGTTTACTCTCGCGGTCGGCTCATATCTCATTACGGTGCTTCAACGTACATCCATCGGGGAGCATGTCCACATCGTGTAGCATCTGTTGGTGTAAGTCGTGAAGCTTGCGCTGTAACAAGTGTACGTCCAGCCAAACTCATCCCTGGCTTACGGTTCTTGCATTAAAATAGTCGCAACTGCATGTTTTGGAGGCCTCACTATGGGGGCGAGTTCAAGCGATAACACTCACATCGTCCTCCCAACGGCTGCCCGCGAGACCCGAGGTGAGCTGCTAGCAGACTTTGTGTAATCATCACCATGTTGCTTGGCCAGCGATTTGAAGTCACTCGATTCAGACCCATCATCACGAACCGTCCATGTTTTTGAACATAATAACTCCTTCGTTCCTTTGGTGACAGTTGATGCACCGGCCCATCAGAATGCTATCCCGCCATCCAACCACGTTGAGCGCCATGTTGAGTACCTTTTCCCCAGACTAAATCCAACAAGCAGATATCCAACCCAATGCTATACCTCATCCCAAACATCCAGGTCTTATGTCTCCTTGTAATAAGACTTGTTCAGGCCCTTCTCGACGGCCGCAATCTGCAGCGCCAACGGCAACGAAAACTGGCGGCAGTACATGAAGCTGCCGGTCATGTACCAGAACCCAGGCACACCTGTTGATCGCCACCACTGCACCAGTCAGCATCGAACTATCATTTCATCGAAATATCAACTTACCCCAGACCGCTCCTGCTCTTCGTCCAACTGCCCAAACTTGCGCAGCCTCTTCGATACCTCTGGGCCCATCAGCTTCTCAATGGTCGTCGTCTCTTTTTGGAACCCGGTAGCAAGCACCACGACGTCTGCCTCAAGCTTCGTTCCGTCAGCGAGGACCAGCCCATCCTCCACAAACTCCCGCACCCCCTCCTCGCATCTCTTGATCTTGATCCGACCGTCAATGATCATCTGGTTTGCCCCTTGGTCAATGTAATACTGGCCCCCCTTGATGAGCTGGTAGTCCGCCAGTCCGTACCCGTCGTCGCCCTCCTTCAGCGCCAGACCGGCCTTCTTCAAGCCGTCGTGGACGACCTTGTCGTGTGCCGCCATCATCTTGGTCAGTCCGATGCTCATCTTCCGGATGACCGCCAGCGGGATCGCGTTGCCGACGATGTCGGCTTCCTCGGTGCTGAGGCCGGGGATTTCCCACAGCGCAAGCATGAAGTTCTCCCAGGACTCGCGAGAGATGGAGTAGATGGCCCGGCGCTGCATCATCGTCACCTCCTTGGCGCCGTGGGCGACAAAGTCTGCGGAAATGTCGTGACCGCTGGTGGCGGAGCCGATCACCACGACCTTTTTGTTGCCCACATCCTGAATGCCGGCGGCGGACCTGTGGTGTTTGGAGTGGTAAATCTGCCCCTTGAAAGACTCTTGGCCCTTGAACTCGGGCACAATCGGTTCATCTCCAAAGAGGCCGGTGGCTAGGACGACGTGCTTCGCGGAGAGCGTGCGTGTTCCCTCTGGCGTCGTGACTTGGACAGTGTACTTTTTGGCAACTTCATCGTAGGCGACCGTTGTTACGTCGGAGTCGTACTGGATGTCGAGACCCATCAGCTGGCCGTAGTGCTCCATGAACTCTGCCACCTTGTCTCCGGTAAGGAACCTGGGCCACGTCTCGGGGATCTTCATGTAGGCCCAGTGATCCGTGTAAGTCGGCGTGTGGAGCGTGACGCTCTGATACCTCTTCCGCCAGGAGTCTCCGAGGCGAGAGCTCCTCTCCAGGAGACGGGTCTTGATGCCCATGTGCTGCAGTCGCGCACCGAGCATCAGTCCAGCTTGCGCTACCATACTGTCAGTCACTAATCTTACCAGAGCTCATGGCAACTCACCTGCGCCAACGATCAACACCTGCAGTTCCTCTCCGTCCGTCCCATTCGTCCCATTGGTGGCCAACGCAGGCGGCACACACGCAGCCCTCTGCTTCTCCAACTCCCTCTGATAATCCAGCCTCTCGAGCTGCGTGAACACAGTCCAGGCTTTCCACTCGCCCACACCCACATTCATCAGCTTCAGCAACCCCTTCCCTTCTCCGTGAGGCGTCCGGAACGTGAACCCAGACTGGATCCAGATCTGCCCGCCAAAGTCGACGAGCAAAGGCTGCAGGCCCCCGAACTTGTTCGGCTCAAGCTCCGAGAGACCGTGATCTGCGGAAGAAAGGTACGCCGCGATGGTCGCCTGGCCCTGTTTGCATGAAAAGTCCCATGACAGCGCGACGATGTCTCTCCACCAGCAGTTCTCGATGAACAGGTCGGAGAGGGTGAAGTTCTTCTCGGCGAAGCGCTGCGAGAGGGTTGTCAGCCAGGATGTTGTTATTTGCACGGCGTCGACGGATTCTTTGGTGACGCCCGGCTGGAGCTGGAGGTCCGGTAGCTCGGGGAGTTTCGTGCCGTCCATGATGTCGGTGATCTAAAAGATGCAAGGGGGACGGGAAGAGGCGCTGAAGAATAACACCGATCGTGCGGTCGAGGGGGCGGGCGCAGCATGACTTACATGGAATTTCCGCGCGGGATGTACATAAACCAGCGCGATAGCGTCCGATAGCTTAAACGGGCCAATGCCGGGCTTCTCGACCGCCGGGCGCCGTCCCCGCAGCACGTCTTCATTGGCGGGGCGTCTTCGTCCCACCCCGAGTTCGGATGGTTCCCGGGGGGCGAGCGTTGAAGGCTTTTAAGGTTGATGCAACGTTGTGGCATGGGATAATCTTATCTGATCATCCCCCACCGATGATCGCGGGAGCAGACCAATTGGACAAGGGAGGAGGATGGCGATGGAGGGCAAGACCGGTGGGATGCGGTGGTAAGCGGCCGAATTATGTAAGAGATGGACGTGGTATTTGGGATCGGAGGGTCTTGGCGAGGGGACGATGGTGTCTGCCCCTCATCTTCCATCTGTGATGTGAGAGATGGGTTCATGAGAGTGTAGTCCGTGGCATGATGTTTCGAGTTGTTCTCGTCTTATTGAGCCGTACGCAGACTTCAAGTAGATCACAAATTTCAGCATGAGGGGAGAAATAAGCACCGAAAATGTCCATGGGGTTCTCTTTCCCAGCGACATCAGTTCCTCTTATACTGAGTCATTTCAATTTAGGAAGCTTTTCCATGTGAATCCAGCCCTCGCCGAAGGAACTTGTAGACCCCCGAATCGCTCTCGGCTATCCGTAGTAAAGCAACGTCCCGCCTCACGTCCTCTGAAGGACACTATCCGCATTGTTCTGGATGGTTATATTGGTGTATCAAAGCCTACTCCAACGTCTTCCCAAGTATCGAGACGGTTCGCAGCCTGATGTATGTGGCATCATGAGATGCCAAGTTGATGTTCTGAATCCGTTTCTTCTGACAGTCGTGCAGTGGCAAATGAGATCCGCCATTCGCCTTCTTTACCCCTAAGTCATGAGACCGCCTATTTTCCTTGTGCTATACCGACTCCTTTTCCTATGGCTATAATCTACCTTACCGTCGTCACTTCTATTATCGTCGTCGTCGTCGCTACTATCGTCTCCGACAGGAGTAGTTCAGTACACAGGAAATATAGCCGCGCACACACTGTACACAGGAAAATTAGCCAGTCTCTAAGTCATAATTTCAACGACTGTTACCAAGCAAGGCCAAGGGGAGAAGAGAGGTAGGACTGATTCGACTCAGCTACATGCAGCTTACAATTCTGTCTTATCGTATTGAATACTTTCGCTTTCCTGATCTGGTCTACTCTCATACATTCCTGAGACACTTGCGACGTAATTTTCAGCACTGAATCCAACCAAGCCTTGGTTCTCGTTCAGCCAGATGCGGGATGCCGTCCCGCTCTTGATTTCACGCAACACTGAAAGTGGCGACAGCATGATGCTAACACAAGCAAGGTTTGCGCAACCAGACACAGCAGAAATACGGGAGTCTGGAGGGATCTGCTTGGCGAAAGGCTGCCTCGGGGCTTATGTGCGACTGTCAGATTGGTCTGTACCACAATAGCGAACTCTTGAAATATGAAAAGCCAACTCCCCAATGCGAGGGGCATAGGTTTCTGCGGTAAACAGCAAGCCCGCAATCGAAATACAGCAGCCACCTGTACTGAGACGCTTCAGTAAACCAAGATGCAGGGTTCTTCTTCACACACGTCACCACAATGCAGACCCTATGGTCGGCAATCTTCCTCTTCCAGCCGCGATCATCCCATCTCAGTGGAATGTCTTCCTACTCGGGATGATTCTAGCCAAGCATCACCCCATAAACGTCCTATTGGACAAGCCGTCTATGGCATAGCAGTAGAGAGCAGCATCTCTTTCGAGTACGATGCTGTCGCCACCGACGAGGACGATGCCGCTTCTGGAGTCAAGGGCCCACGACGCCGTGTGGGAATAGCATCTCTGCCAACCGATTGCGCAGCAGTGCTACTTTCAACGGCAATGATCCTATTTGTCTCCTTGGTTTGGGATCTAGATGGCTCCAGGGTCATCAACAACTCATATGACTCCTGGAAAAATGCCATCACCGTTGTAAGTACCTAGTATTGATGAACATCCCGAAGCTGCAGCTAAAGTTAATTCGGTTCAGCTTGCAACTTTCTTCCCCATCCTTTTCGCCTCAATTGTCGGCCGACTGATGACAGAAGCCACCCGGTGGAATCTAGAGAAGGGTTCCACAATCGGCTGCCTCGAACAGCTCATGGGCAGCCAAACAGTTGGTGGATCTGTTCTCACAATACTACGGCTACGTTCTTTGAGCGTCCTGTCCCCGCTATTGCTCATGATATGGTCCTTTTCCCCGCTTGGGGCACAATCATTGTTACGAATGACGGAGCTGCGATACAGCTATCGCGAGATAGAGACAACTGCAACCTTCTTCGACACTACCGCCAAGAGCCAAACCACTGACTGGTTCAGAAACACTAGTCTTGGTAGTTACAAAACTCAGACCGCCGATCGTAAGCTATTTGGCCTGAAATCACTCCATAGAACGCTTATTACTGCGCCTGAGAAAATAAAAAACGACACAATGGACATTTGGGGTAATGCCAAAATACCGATTCTGAAAGACATGAAAGGTCAGGAATGGCAGAACACATCATTACAAACTGCCACTGTACAATACACCTCTCTGGTGGGAGTGCCCATCAATCATGTTGGCGAGGGCAACACATCATTTCACATCGAATCAACTTACGTACAACTCGAATGTATGAACGCTACGTACACCTTATCTGGGGCAGAGTCAGATCCAGCATCGCTTGTGATCATAGAGATCGAAGATTTACCTCGCACCTCAAATATCATCCTGGTTAACGAGCCAAAATCGTACAGTCTTCCAAATGGCACATGGCATGGATCCAAGCTTATCCCGGACAGGTCTTGGAGCATAGCACTTGATCGTTTCATTGATCCTCTTTGGTCGGGAGATAATGGGACACAAAACTCAGCCAGCTACCAAGGCTTCCTGTCAGGCCGCGAAGATGAAATGGATCGTCCCATTCTTCTTCTCGACGAGGTGGGCGTGGATGCAGGCCCCACGTCACTACTTTTTACCGCAAAATGCCAATCCAACTATACCCTGCGTGATGGTTCTTTCCAGTCATACTGCAGAGTCAAACAAAGATACGTCGAGTCTATCATTCGTTGCTAGGGTGTTACATCTAAGAAGAAATGTGCCGTTGTCCAACAAAGGCCTTCACAAAAGTCGCATCCGTCCGAAAAGATATCCCAACTATCATTTCCGGGAGTCTTTTGGGCTATCCTCCGGGGAATGCCAGATGACATTGACGCCATCAACTATCAATCCGACTCATCTCTCTACTACATCAAAGACCCATCACTCAAAAGCCAACCGGACAAAGAGGTACATTTTCTCCAAAATGTTACTAGAGAAGATGTAAGCATTCGTTTAACGCAGTTGATGAACACGTTTCTCCAACTCAGTCAATTATACCTTAATGTCACGACTGCGGGCGAAATGGATGGAAAGTTTGAACCTAATATCACAGTTCCGGCTTCGGACAGACAAGAGTTTCTCGTCGTTCATGTATCACAGGGTTGGGCAGTGTTATGTTTGATATCTAGTCTTGTTCTGCTTGCAGCCAGCATCATTGGAGTTGTCTTCAAACACATGGCACGGGGGCCAGAGGCCTTAGGCTACGTTTCAACAGCATTACGGGATTCACGACATGTAGAGTTCGATTCAGATTCAGAACGGATGGATAGCATTGATTTATCGCGAAGAATGAGGAATGAGCGAATTTGACTGGGAGTGGTTGCTGTTGGGAATGACAAGCTACCGATTCTGGGTATTGGGCACGAAAAGGACACAGATAAGATGTAGGGTTTTGGCAGATTTCTTCATCAGATTGGTCCAATTATATCTCATCTATGCAATGCGTGTAAATCCAACAGCAAGCGGAGCTGACCTGGAAGCCGGGCCTTTAGATGGGACCGTCATTGTGGGGACAGGAGCGACAGTAGGGCAGGTGAACAGAGGCAGAGAACACAGCAACGTCGTCTATCGTCGCCATCTATCGTCGCCATCTATCGTCGCCATCTATCGTCGCCATCTATCGTCGTCGCCCATGATCGTCGTCTATCGTCGCCATCTATCGTCGTCGCCCATGATTGTCGTCTATCGTCGCCATCTATCGTCGTCGCCCATGATCGTCGCCCATTGTCGTCATCCTCATCGAAGTCACCAAGTACACAGAAATTGCAGCCGCCCAGACACAAGAAAATGAGAGGGTCTCTTGAGTACTGCTGGCAGTCATGTGCGACGCCATCAACGACGTGTGACTTTTGATCACCAACGCGATTCACCGTCGCGTGACGAGGCCTGGACAGAAGGGCAGGCGAAAGATAGCCTCCTCAAAAACGCCAAGGCGTACACACATCATACTTAAGCTACCTCGCACTGAAACTCATCAACCACCCAAGGCCTGCAACCTCTTTCCTAGGCACATCTTGGACAATCTCCAAACCAATCGCCGAGACCAATCTCTTCGGGCCAACGCTTGGGCAGGCATGAAAGTCATCTTACACCGTCGAAGCGGAGCCTCGACAGCAAAGACACCCAGCAAGATCTACAAGCCTTCTAGCCCGAAACCCAAGCGCGCCGAGGAGCTCACCGCATCCGCCAAGGACTTCGTGAAATGCCTCAAGATGAATTCCGCCCAAAGGGTTCAAGAATTCGTCTGCCCCTTTCCATCGCCAAGACATGTCCAGTTCACCAAGGACGAGGCAGTGCCGGCGACAGAGGGAAAGTCGCCCAGATGCCAAGGCTGCTTACCGAGATGAGCAGCGGCGTCACGGCCGCCAAGACATCACACATTGAACGCCACGAGACGGGAGGTCACTTGAGAAATTGGGACACAAAATGAACAAAGAGAAAAAGGGTTCTATTCATCGCACAAAAGACACCTAGAAAACAATACAAGCCTCTTTTCGCGAGGCCAGAGTCATGAAGCAGAGTATAGCTGCTGCCAGCGAGGTCCCAACGCCATGTGATGATGACAATACACAAAAGAGCCTCTCATGCCATAATAAAAATGAGTAATCCTGTCGAGCCGTGACTGTATTATACCAGGGCTGGCAACTGATGCCGCCCTGCTTGGATATCTTACACGCTCGCATAAAAGTACGTCGCCCACATCTTCTCGGGCGCCCGGGTTTGGTCCTCCTCAAATCATCAAGTAATTGGCATCGCTTACAGAGCGACCATGGCGGCACCGACACCGACGGCGGCGACGAGGTAGGTGCCGACGGCAACGGAGCCGAAGGTGAAGAGGGGCTGGTAGACGTTGCCGGGGGCAGCGTTGCCAGAGGCGCTAGAGCTGGGGTTGGCGGTGGAGTCAACGGGGGCGGTGGCGGTGGCAGCGGCAGAGTTGGCGGCCTCGGCGGAGGCGAGGGCAGTCTTGCAGGTATCGTTGGTGGAAGAGGGGGTGATGACCTGGGCCTGGCCGTCGAAGTCGCAGGCGGTGCTGGCCTTCTTCTGGTTCTTGTAGTAGGTGTCGAGGACGAAGGCAAGCTTCTGCTCGGCGTTGCACATGCTGTAGGCACCGTAGACACCGGTGGAGGTGTTGGCGGAGATACCAGAGCAGGCGGAGGCGTCGGCACCGCAGATGAAGCCGAACATCTCACCGATGGCGGAAGCCTTCAGGCCGGACTTGGGAGTGCAAGAAAGGCTGGAAACCATGCAAGAGCAGAGGTCCTTGTTGGGGGTGGGGGGAAGGGCCTTGCCGTTGACCTCCCAGGTAGAGCTGACAGGGGGGCACTCGGCAGGCTCGTTGGTGGGGGAGTAGGAGTCCATCTGGACGGCGGAGGGGGTAGCAGCCAGGACGCGGGAAGCAAGAGCGTCGTAGTTCTTCATGGTGGTGGCCTTGCCGTTGGAAACCTTGACGAGACCGTAGTCGTTGGCCTCCTGGTGGAACATGTAGACGATACCGCCGGAGAAGACCTCGGTCATCTCAGTGTCGTACAGGGCAGTGGTCTCCTGGAAGATACGGCCCTCGGCACCGTCGGGGATGTTGCAGCCGTACTCAGCGAAGAAGACGGGGACGGAGTAGTTCTTGAAGAACTGGACCTGGGTCTCGTAGCCAGAGCCAGCCATGGTGTTCTTACCGCACCAGGAGTAGATGTTGTAGCCCCAGAAGTCGATGGCGGAGTCCTGGTCGCCGCAGTTGAAGTAGTGGGCAGAGTTGTCGCGAATATCAGCGTCATCGTTGGCAGCGTAGCCAACACCCATCCAGCGGTAGCCCTTGTCCTTGATGTACTTCTTGGAGTCGCGGACGGCGGCCTTGACGAAGGCGGAAGCCTCGGTGTTGGTCTTGTTGTTGGAGACCTCGTTACCGGCGAAGAAGCCGATGGTGTTGTCATACTTGGCGAGCTCGTCGATGACGGCGGTGTAGCGGGTGTACAGATCAGTGTTCCACTGAGCGTCGTCACGGTTGATGGAGGTCTTGGGCTCTCCCAAGTCGGAGACAACGTAGATGCCAGCATCGGAGAGGAGCTTCATGCAAGCGGAGTGGTCCGCGGTAGGGTCAATGGCGTAGGTACGGATGGTGTTGGTGCCAGCCTTCGCCAGGATGGGGACGTCGCGCTTGCAGGCGGTCTCGTCGGCGAGGGGGTCCTTGAACTCGCCAGTCTTGGACTCGCCACCGGCGGCGGCGGTGTCCTGCTGGTAGGCGATACCCTTGATGTAGAACTGGGTTCCGTTCTCGTAGAAGAACTTGGTGCCCTGGGAGGTGGGTTAGCTGGCTGCGACTGGAGAGGGATTGGATTCGTGGGTATTGGCATACCTTCATGACGATAGGGTCGAGAGCAGCGGCGTTGCTGGCGAGCAACAGGGCCGCGGAAACGGCAGCAGCGACTTTGCCCATTGTGACGGATTTGTGTTTTTGGTGGATTGGTGAAGCGGTGGAAGTTCGGTCGTCGGGATCGATGTGGAAAGATGTCGTCGGTCGGGTGGATGACGTCGGAGACCTAAATCAAATCGGAGACTGGAGAATTCCTTGGGCGCGACAGAAAGGGTGGTAAAATAACGAGTTCTGGTAATGAGTGTGTGAAGTCGAGTGTTTGGTTGGATTGGTGATGAAATTAAAAGAATAGGGTTCAGAGACACAACATTCGGCAAGATGAATCAAGCGCAATGAATATTTCTCTTCTCTCCTAAAAAGAATAGTTCCCCTAAAAAATGAAAAAGCGACTGTTGAGGGAGTGACGGTTTAGAGGAAACACACGGGGGAGGGAAAAGGAGAAGTAGCAGGAGGAAGGAGGCGATGTGAAGGGAGGGAGCGACGGTAGAAAAGCAGTTGGAAACGGGCCCTGGAATGGAATATCTTGGCGGAGCGGGTCCTGCGCCCATCCGTATCCTCGTACCGTTTCCCTCCCCCGTCGCCCGCCTCCACCGGCAGCCCCAGTGCTCCAGTGCTCCATTGCTCTAGGACTCTCCAGTTAAGAGAGATTGGGGAGGATGCAAGTGCCAAATGGGATCGCCTGGTGTGCCTGGGCAAGCAGCAGGAAAAGCAGGCTAGACCACCAAGGACGTGGAATTAACAGCGGGCAACAAGGTGCAGCAACTGGCCCTCTGCCCTCTGCCAGAGACTGCAAGTGCAGGCTGCAGGGTTGCGGCAGGGAAGGCGCCAGGAACACGGACAGGGGTGTGGGGGCCAGGGGCGCCTTCCTTCCTGGTTAGTGCCACTTTGGGACTAGCTCCTTCCTTGCAGGTAAGCTTGAAGGTTCTTTCCTCGTCTTCTGTGTCTGTTCCTTCTTTCTGTAGCGGTGCACCAGCGGCAGCAGCAGCAGCAGCAGGTGCGATGCGATGGAAGCGCGGAAGGAAGGACAGTGTGTGTGTGATGAGTCTACTTCCTTCCCCTTCTTCATCCCATTCCTCACCTCATCCCATTCCAATTACTTAACCTACCTTAAGGTGCTAAAGGCAGGAAGGAACCCGTATTCAAACGGTCGTCGCACGTTTCGAGGAGGCGCAGCTGTTTAGTCTGTCTTGTTCACTGCTTCAGCCCTTCTCTAGAAACCACCGCATCGCATCAGACACCAGCGACCAATGGCCACAAACCACAAAAACCTGAGGCGGTCGACATGGTACCTGAAGCCGCTGCGAGACATGGCTGGATCACGAGGTACCTGCGTACCCAGTCACGCATCACGCATCACTCTCCCGACCAGACCTACTGCATAGTGGCCCCCCGGGAACCGCCCAGGCCAGGTTCATCTCGTTTCAAGCCTGTGAGAGCCTCCTGCCTGCCACAGTCCATCACAGTACGCCACAGTGTGCAAACGGTCAGCAATGACGGATGACATAACGGCCGACATACCGCTCTATCTGGCTGCCACACCATTTGCGACGGACAATGCTAACGAGCCATCATTTCCTTGCCCTTCCACCACCATCAACACCATGCCATGACCGCTCTCTGCTCCTCTCCCCCAAGGCCGTTAGTCAAAATGGCGAGAAATAGGGGCAATCTCCACACAGGTGAGCTTCGGCCTGGAGTAGCGGCTGATTTTCCCAGACCGGGACCTACGGACGCCGGCCCCCCTACCACCCACCACCACCCCATCCACCCATCCACCCATCATCGCACATCCCTCCGGTCAATGATGCAGGCATCGAGTACCGCCCGTCACGGTCCAACGGTAAATCATCGCCAATAGTACTCTGTATCACTTCCGCCGCCTGCCTTCGCCATACCTGAGTAGCACTCGACAAGCTACCGCAGTATTGCCGCCAAGCACCGACTCGCCATCGACAGATCTAAACATCTACGGTCTACCTACTCAATTGGCGTCAAGACCGCCAAGAGATCAATCCGCTCAAGCATTGGCATTTCTTGTCGTCCATTCTGCGCCTCTTTTTATCCCCCAAGACCCCAACTCACGCTGTCAACCCGCCCCTCCATCTGCCAGACTTCACATCGGGGATCGCTTGGTCGAGGTCAAACTCATTTCAGCTGCCTCTGCCCAGCCCGCCGCCCAGCGCGACACCGTCTCCCCTTCAGGCCGTCCAAGATCTTGGAGAACGCTGCCAATGCGAACTCATCAGCCAAAGGCCGCTCGGCCAAACACACGTCGAATCGGGAAGTCAGTCGCCGACGGCACTCCTTGCAATCGTTATTACAATCAACATACGGCCATCGGATATTGCTCCACATCAGTCCGCCTTCCCTGTGTCCGCTAACTCCCCCCCGGGGGCACTTCATCAGAATGAGCCACATGCAATGGCAATGCAAACATTGGCCGAACCAAGAAAACCAAACATTGCGAAAGACCAACAACACAACACACATTGCCGACGGACGGTCCAGATCTCCCGTAGGCCTGCATCACAGCCACTCCTCGCCATCCACTGAGGAGACCTCGCCTGGGTGCTTGTGAGATTCACAGAGGGGCCGTTGGCGCCAAATTCCAATCTCGGTCCAGTCCACAGGCACTGTCACGGACGTCCCCCTCCAATCATACCACACGTCCAACTGCCACCCATCGTCCATCGCGCATCCATCCATCAACCTCGAACCAACCGGTCCGATGTCTTGCGCTACCTATATCCGTACTTGGTGTCAGTGGTAAGTGGTGACTTGCTATCTCGTTCTTCTATGACGACGCTACTGTGCCAAGCCGCATAGCCCTACTGCACACTCGTCCTTCGTATTTTAGACTTTGGCTTGAGCTTGCGAAAAGTTCAGCGCAATCACGACGAGACCAGACGACCCCAAGTCCAAGTCCAAGTCAGGCAGAATGACGATTATCGATGCAGCAACACATTGAAATTCCATCAACCCCCAAAAGAATACGAGGCACACTGCAGTCTGCAGGACGGCCTCCAAGGTCTCCGACGAAACCACCATCCATCCATCCATCCATCCATGGACCATCCCATCCCACCCAGGCCACCCGAGTCAGAAACATACAGTGCGCAGCAGCAGCCTGTAGAAATAAAATACCGACAAAAATAGTGACGGCGGCGGGAGTCAATTAACTCTCTTTTCTTGGGGCCACCTTAAGTTAATTTACGCGCTTTAGCCCAAACAAGACGTCCAGTGGAGCCGAAATTGGCCCAGCACACCCGATTCGACAAGTCACCCGCCTTCATTGGCACCACCTGGAATTTGATGTTCATGCTCCCAGTCCACTCACTGCCTACAGTCCAGTTCTCAGTGCAAGGCAGAGACGACGACCGTGACTGTGAATCGATAATAATTGTGGTCTTTCAGTGGACCGACCGACACTTGTTCATCTGCCTTGCAGCACCATCATCCAACAATCCTGCTCCAGGCGACATGTTCATCATTGCTTGTTTTTCTTGTTTCTAAATCTATCCTCCGTCTCTGTGCCTTCGCAGGGTAACTATGTAATCATGTCTCCAAAATAAATCCATCGCACATCCCCATCTCTGGCATTGCTTATCAAACTTCCGGCAGTGCCTGTGCTGTGCCCCGTTGATGTTCATCCCAGCCCGCCAAAACTCTGAAGCGAAAAAGTCTCGCGTTTGTCCCTACTGTCTCCCCCTGATTGCCCGGGTTGACGCTGTTATTATTGGCAAACCCGCGTTTCGCCCCTCCATCACCGCGTTTCAATCAATCCAAATCGTCGACAACAACCACAGCTGAGCATTGCCATCGCACTTCAGTCTTTCAGCTCCTCATCCCACCCGTCCCGCTGAACCTCCCTCGGCCAAACGCTCCTCCCGCGGCCTCCTCGCAGCGGAATCCCCGGTCGCCGCCTCGCCTCACCCGACGTCTCGTTCCATGCGCCGACCAGCACCAGCCCCTGGGTCTCCCCCGGTAGCCAGCACGACGGCCGCCCCTCAAGTCCGTGTCAAGTTGATGGGGTCGCGCTCAGTCGCTCGCTCGCTGATCGAGATTTTTTGTCGCTGTCCACTGTGTGCTGTGCTTGCTGTCTGGTGCCCGACGTCATCGGTGGACGCTCCGTCTTGTCAATCTTCATCTGCCCAGCGTAGCGTTCGTCCCGCCGCCGTCATTCGCGTCGTCGCACCGTCCGTCTATCGTATCGTATCGTTCGCGATCGTCAAAGAAGGGGGGGAGGGATGTCCCCTAAAAAAACAAGAAAACCAAAAATGCTTGATCTCGCTCAGCCCTTTTTTCGTGTATCTCGTCTCGGCGAATTAATCTGCGCCTGCGACCTCCCGTAAACCCCCCCGAAAGTATGGCTGTAGAAAAAAGGCGGCGCGCGAATCAATCAATCAATCACCATTTGCCGGTGATCTTGAAGTAGGCCTTGCCCACGCCGTAGCAGACGCCGTCCCAGACCTCGTACGTCTCGCGCCAGACTGTCCTGAGCGGGTTGCGCCCCGAGCGTCCGTGTCGGTATGTCTGGCTAACGGTCGTCATTGTTTTTTTGTGTGTTGTTTCCCGTTTGTTGGTGGTGGTTGTGATGGTTTCTTGATGGTTTGTGGCTTCGACTTTTCTGATGACTGCCTCTCTCGACTCTTTGCGTCCAGATCTTGATAATTTCTTCAACGGCCTTGACCTGTGATTTATATATGTCTAGGCATCATCAAGCGTTGTCAGCCTGCCTACTCTCAACAGTCACACACACATCTGCCCGCCGCATCGCCGCCCCGGCCGCAGCACGGCAGTCAAGTCACGAGCCACGCTCACCTCCCGCTCCCGCGCCGCAGCCACACAGGCACCCGACAAAAGCACACTGCAGGGCAGCCAAAAACTCCGCCGGCCCTCACCCGCCTGACAGCGGGTTCCACTGTAGCGCGAACAGGCAAACCACACGCACCCGCCCGGCGGTGCACCACACCACATGCCCGCACGTCAAGTGGCTGAAGGACCTCGCCGGTCTCTGTCATTCGTTCGTCAGGAGGTAGGTGTAGCTTAGTACGGATACTTCCATTTCTACTTCTACTTCCCCGCGTCTGCGGCCTGTGTGTGTGGTACAGCCCGACTTCAAAGTGCTGAATCAGGCAGGATGGGCGGCAGGCGGATTGGTGAGGCGTCCGCTGCTTGTTTGAATGTCGTTGAAGCCTGGGGATTGGCGGGTAGGATCTCAAGTCTTGTTTGGAGGATTCGCATGCAATGTGCTTTTGAAGATGTGCCTTCCTATCGGTGAGCTTGGTGATCGTCGCTTGACGTCTAAGGCATGTTTGCTGCATGTGAGCTCCCGCAACCCCACAAGCCTCCGAATCTTCTCTTCACTTCGAATCGCAAAATTTAAAGACTGAGGATGGTAATCTGTGTGAGTTTGGCAACGTGGCTGCCGCCTGCGGTGTCAGTGTCGCCTGCCTAGGTTGACCGCATCTGCGCAGAGGGTCTTGAGCGGGCTTGTCTCACCGCACATCACGGGACGGGTGCGAACCCCATTCGCCACATCTACTTTCGACATCACGCAGGTTTGGGGATCTGAGGCTAGGAAGCGAGTGATATTGGAAAGAAGCTATTCGAATGTGTGACTCGACGGATGATTTCCATTTCCTCCCATTTGCCACACATCCTTCAACCACGTGCAATCAAATCCTTCAATATCCTCAACATCTGTCCTGTGGACCGTAGCAAGTGTGTAAGTAGAAAATGTGGTACAGCCTCTTCCTCCGTTTCGAACCACCGGTGTGGGTGTCGTGTGGTTCATTGGAAACAAACCGGGCCACTCCTGAATTTGGTCCTATGGCGTGTGATATCTCAGCAAATATTCTTCCGCAATGTCGTCATATTGCATCGCGTCGCGGGCAAGTGTAAGTGTACTCTTTCTGTTGATCAAAAGTCAGCCTTGCCGTTCTTGCCTTACGAGGTCTTGTGGTGTGACTGACAGTATTTCAGCAAGTGGCGCGGATCTGTCACTGCCCGCCTGATATTCAACGAGGAAATGAGCGAAAGTAGTAGCAGCTTCATCACTTCAGTCGATACGAAGACGCTTGGTGCCTATTTGTACATTTCAGTGATGTGTCGAGTGAGTAATATGTCGGATCAACGTACCTCTGGGGCTGACATCGGTCACCTGGATGGTGAACTTGGTGTCACCAGCGGTAATCGCAATCTCAACGGGTTGCTTGTCGGTGTCTCGGTGGACAGTGTCTTGGGTCTGCTCATTGGTAGGGCAGCTGTCGTAGACTGTGTAGATGGGCGACAGAACCATTCTGCGGCGGTATTGGTATCTTTTGGTGGTGGCCTTGGGCTTGGTCGGGGTCTCGGGGGGCGTGGCAGGCCCGTCCAGGGTGTCAGGGCTGCTCTGCTTGGAGGCCTTCTTGCCCTCCTTCTCCATGAGGAAAAGGTTGTGGCGGTCGTCGAACTGCTGGGTGGTGACGTACTCGCACTTGGGCGAGCCTGTCGAGTGCTCGGTGAAAGGGTCGTCCTTCCTTTTCCACTTCCACGCCTGCATCTGGCACGAGAAGCAGGTAACGCTGTCAGATGTCTTGGTTTCGATACCAGTGTAGTAGAAGCCTGCTCCAGCCATGTCCTCGGGGCGGAGGGTGTTGATGGGCCACTTCATGCCCTCGCCGTCGCCAGACTCTGAGCCCGTGGTGTGGAAGGTGAAGAGGCGCTCGAAATAGGTATCCATTGTGCAGGTTGTAAGGAACGTGAGAATGTCAAAAAAAAATAATGAATGAAGAGCGACGTTGGAAGCTTGAAGATCAAGGAGAGACTGCTTGTGCGAGAAGAGAGGTTGCTTGAAGCTATCGTAGTTGTGGGAGCGACAGACTGGAGAGTGAGAGGTTTGGAAAAGAAAAGAAACGCTTGTGGGGGCAAGGGTTGGATGGGAAAGGGCAAGAGCAAACTTTTGCTTTTAGTCGAACCGCTTGGAGTATCGAAGAGAAGGAGCGACCTAAGTAGGTTGTGAAATAATGTCGAGATGTGCGCTTTCCTGTTTTGCTGATAAGACCTCTGGGGCCTTGCGGAGAAAGATGGGACGAAATGCAGGCAAAGGCAAGCTTCAATACCGGCAACAGGTACCATGGGTTACGGCAGATGCCTTGAGATTCAAAGAACATGTTGATAGACTTTTCAACTGTTATGAGAATTGTTCTTACTCTACTGGTGCTCATGATTTGGGCTTAAACCTGACGTGAATTCCACAGTTCTGCAATCCAGTACAGATGCTGAAGATCGGAAACCTTGCTGATTGATTTCAATAGTTGCGAGTCGCCATGAACATCTGAGAGAACACGACTGGAAAACAAAACTAGAACTCCATGTGTCATCACAACGACGCCCCGAGAAGATCCCCCACTACTGCAATGGTATCTTTCTTCTCCTTAACCCAATACTGAATCGAAGCCAACCCCGTCACAATCACCATGTCCATATCGATACTCTGTGGCGGCACGTACACCTCAAAAGTCGGGCTCGTTCCGTTCCCGTCAGGCTTCCTCTTCCACCTCGCCAACAGCCTCCCATTCGCATCCTCCATGAAAATTGTCCCTGTGGAGCCCGTCCAACTCGACAGCCTCCAGCTGTACCGCACGCCCATGTAATCAAAATCGTGCCCCATGCCCAAATCGTTTCCTTTCATCTTGAACGGCATGCCGCGAAAGACAACATCGATCTTTGAGGAGAGCGAGTGCCGTTGTGCTGTTGCAAGGGCCTGATCTGACATTTGCTGTGCGCGGGGATCGGCGTGGATCACGGCAATGGATTTCTCGTCATTGTTGTGCAGGACGTAGAATGGTGTCGCGAAGCCAGTGACCAGGTCGATGCGGTCGATCGTCGTTTGGGCGCCGCCGAAGCGCTTGTTGATGCGAAGGACTTCGCATGGCGGCCCGGTCGGCTGAGGCTCGTCGCTCTTTTGCAAAAATGGCATGATGCTGGTCGCGTTTGCTACTTATTTGATGTAGAGCCTGTTGGTAATTTAATGAATTGGTGGTGAGTCGTGTCTTGCAAATCGAGAATCTTTTATGGAGGGGTTCGGCAATATTTATCTTCAACCTGGAAGCCACCGATGTCAGCATACCTGCCAGATAAAAGATCTACCGGTATTATTCAGGGTGAGACATCCTGTTTGGCGCCCGCAGTTGCCGCTGAAAGGCACAGCCAGCGATGCTTAGCGATGCTTGAATGCTGACATTCACTAGGCTTGGTGATCTGTAGGGCTGATGACGTGAACTGAAGCGGACTTCAGCCGTCAACAAAATGGAGTTGTTCTGTCGACGAGTTGGAACATGCCTGGCAGCTGAAGACTTGGCATGCGTAATTTGACCTCTGTTCGAAGGCTACCTAGACGGTTCAGTGGCTGAAGAGCCTCGGACTTGTGCTGATTGGACAATGCCACTGTTCAGACGGTAGGAATTATGTGGCTATGGGAAAGGCTTGTTGCCTTTTTGAGATAATGGAGTGCAAGCTGACACCTTAGCGCGACGATCTGGTGGATTGACAGCAACGACTTGCTACTTCCTAAAACGGAAAAAAGTCTGTTCTGCGCTGATTTCAAACCTGATGCTACTGAAGACTCGACGCACAATAGATCATCTTCTCGGGAGCAGCAAAAATCTAGGCTTCGGTGATGGATAAGATAAAGGTCTTCTCGGGCGATCATTCATGAAACCGAAACCGCAGCCGACATTTCGTCTGTCGAAAAGGTTGTGGTCCTTACCTACACTTATGGCTCTATTTCGAACACACAACCCTAAAACTTGGTGAATTCGGTCCAAAGTTATGTTTCTCAGAACGTCTGCAAATTTATACGCCCCATCCATGGATGGCTGAAGATGGTGTTAATGTTGGACATACATCGGGCGAATTTGCGCCGCCCACTTCACGAAGCTGCGAAGCCACACTTGAAATTGCCGCAGAACATCCAGGCCAGCTTTTGTCAAACAGGTGACCGTATGGGTGAATCCGAGCATCTCGGACTGCGTCCCGACATCGATGGATATTTCCGGGTTGAAGTAGCGGTGCGCGGAAATTCGCGAAACTCGGGAATCGGCGCTGACCAATCAGAGGCTGCGGATTCTGGTGTTTAGCACGATTTGGGCATTTTCGCACCCAATTCCGGCTCGACCTTCCCTCCCTCGTCTCCACCTTCAGCTTCGACATCGTCTCGACATTCCCTCCCAGTCACTAACATCAGTTGGGCTTCGCGAGAGACTCGCTCAAGATGCCGTATAAAATGGGTGATTTGGCAGAAATCTTTCGCTCAAGGCCAACAATTGTTGCATTTTCATTTTCGGACCCTTTGAATCATCGGCAATCGCTTGTTTCGTTTGCTCAGGTTGAAACCACCGGCACCAACCAAGATGACCGTCTTGCATACTCTCGACATAACGGAGGCAACCATCGGCCAGTTGCAACATGCACTGTCCACAACAAGATTGACAAGTGTTGACCTCGTGGCGCGCTTCCTACATCGCATTGGAAAATACGACTGCCGGGGCCCTCTCCTCAACTCGATCTGCGTCCTCAACCCCAAGGTCTTTGAAGAAGCTCAAGCATCAGATGCCTACCGAGCCTCGGGGCAGCCGCCGCGACCCCTCGAAGGCATTCCTTTCACCATCAAAGACAGCTTTCAAGCCAAGGGTCTCACAGTAGCCGCAGGCTCACCGGCTTTCGAACACCTCGTCTCGTCATCTGACGCGGCCGTCGTGAACCTTCTCCGCGAGGCTGGCGCCGTGCTCATTGGAAAGACTAATATGCCACCTATGGCTGATGGTGGCAGTCAAAGAGGCCTCTACGGCAGATCTATCAGCCCATACAACCTGGAATTCCTCTGCACTAGCTTCGCTTCCGGCTCATCTTACGGATCTGGCGTGGCTACCACGGCGTCGTTTGCTCCCATCAGCTTTGGCAGCGAAACCGTCTCATCAGGTCGAGCGCCAGCCTCGCACAATGCTCTCGTTGCTTACTCCCCTTCAAGAGGGGTCATACCTTCTCGAGGGCTCTGGCCGTTGTATCCAACGTGTGACGTTGTCGTACCCTACACCAAGTCAGTGGCAGATATGCTCAAAGTTTTGGATGTCATTTTCGTCGGCGACAAGAACCCGAGAGGTGACTTTTGGCGGGAACAAACAACTGTTCCTGTCCCCCAGGTTCCAGACCTTCGCCCTCGTACCTACAGCAGTCTCATGGACCCTGCCTCGTTGAGGGGCAGACGCATCGCCGTTCCAAGGTGCTACATCGGAAAGCAGACGTCGTCTGGCTACTCGGTAGTTTGCACGGAAGCCACACGTCAACTGTGGGAACAGGCTCGAACCGATTTGGAAACGCTAGGAGCAACCATAATTGAGACGGACTTTCCCATGGTCGAAAACTACTCCAAGCAGGATTTCCCAGGACAGGCCGCCAACGTACCGGGAATGCCAGACGCGTGGATGGATACCGAGCGATGCCAAATGATTGCCACCGCATGGGATGATTTTCTCAAGTACAACAACGACCCGGCCATTTTGCGCCTAGAGACCGTGCATAGCCGAAAGGTTAACCCCGGATTTGCGCCAATGGATGACCCTGCAGAGTTCACCGAGCAACAAAATCACGTGCGATACGAGGAGATGATTGACTTTATTCGCAAGCGGCCCGAAAAGATCCAGGACTTGCCCGGATGTGCCGAAGCGTTGGTAGCCTTGGAGGCCGCCCGCAAGAGAGACTTGGAGGCTTGGATGGACGAGAACAAGTTCGACGTCCTCGTCTTCCCTACTAATGGTGACGTCGGAAGGGCTGACTCCGAGGAGAAGCGCGATTCAATGCTGCATACGCTGCAGGATGGCGTGAAGTATTCCAATGGCAATCGCGCGATGAAGCACCTCGGTGTGCCAGCGGTGACGGTGCCAATGGGGACTCTATCTGACAAAAAGATGCCCGTTGGCCTGACTTTTGCTGGAAAGGGCTGGAGTGATAGTGATCTTCTTCGATATGCGTATGCGTATGAGACTGCGACAAGACGCAGAGAAAGCCCCCCAGCCACGCCTCGGCTGCAAACCGACGTTGTGAAACTTTCCGGGGGATCTTTGCGCGGAAGCGTCAGTCCGGACTTGAGGATCGAAATCCTCCACGTAGAGAATGTTTCTGGAATAGGTCTGGAGATCCGAAAGATTTCGATCAGGGGTTCGGTTCGTGCGAGCGATCCTGCTGTGGTTACCGCAAACATCCAAGTATATGCCAATGGCGAGCTGTCTTCCCCGGTTGAGATCGACGAGGACAGGTGGGATTGGCAAGCTGAGTTGGAGCGGGAACCTGTGATAGAGAAATACCCGACTCCTGGAAAGGTCCCAAGGGATCAAATCATGTTGGTGATTGTGGCTAGAACTTCGAATGGGAGATCGGCTGGACAGTTGGTCATGGTTGATTAATGTAGTTATTCTGACACGCCGAGATACCCAACGACTGGCTCCTCGAAAACAGATAGGTGGGAAACATCCCTGCATATATCATTGAATAAGCTTAATTGTGGCTACCTAGCGCTTGCGCTTCCGGTTACCTGCTCGAGTAACTCTCTGACCCTGCTGACCAGGGGCCTACTACTCTCGTCTCCTTGAGAACCCTTATGATCAAGATCTCTGACATCGGCAAGTGGGTAGCACCTGCTAGATCTGGGAACTCCGAGTCGGTTATGCATAAGAGTGGTTCATCCCCTCGGTATCCCACCGGTCGATGCATCATAGTAATCCCAAAGGAGCATCCGATATATCAGTCTTAATGCAGAATGATCGAAGCAGCCAATGACTGCCACATACCACCGGCAACCCCGCTCTGGAGACAGACTCAACATTGGGTTCGGTTCATCTGATAAGATTAGATGAGATGTGATCCACAGGATATCCCACTGGCGGTGAACTTGGAACTGGGAAGCTTTCCGCGAGAAGAAGTTGCTTCACGCCGGTGGGAGCAACAAATTTGCCTATAAAAGATGGACTGTTGCGCCAAGTGATCGAATTTTATCTTCAGGCTCGATCAAGCTTAAGATACTTCATCAAATCCCAATACCGGTCCTCTCCGCTCATCACCACCAACTCACAAAAATGCAGTTCTCTACCCTCACCACTGTTTTGGCCGTCCTGGCTGCCGCTGTTCCTGCCATTGCCGCTCCCGCGGCTGAGATCTTGGAGCAACGCTGCACCGTTGGTGGAAGTGAGTGATTCTTGAATCATACTCGAAGCTCTCCTGTTGTCCCCCAAAACGGCTGGATTTCTGGTCGTAGATGTTCGCGAGAACAAATGCTGATTATCTCTTGAAACAGAGCCCTGCACCAGCAACGGCGACTGCTGCTCTGGACACTGCCAGATCACCATTGCCGCCACCTTCTGCTCCAACTAAGCCACTTGGCTGAAGTATCGGATAATTGAGGGAGCAAGCTGAAGCGAGAACTCGGAGCGTGAACGAAAGCGCCTTCAAAGTGCGGTTGTACAAATTCTACCTGTCAAAGTCAGACGACGCTAGCGTACAATACCCGAGGACAATAATACACAGATTTATGGCATGCCACGTTTCTACACATGACTTTCAACTTGTCTTCGATGAGACAGGATGTCGTGATGAAACTGACCTGAGATGATTCAGCTAACTGAAATGCGAGAAGATCTGTTTATCTCGGAATGAGACTTCCCGTGGTACCGGGAAACGGTAATTTAGCACTATGTAATATTGAATAGGGCCTTTAATAATACCAGATATTCATAACTTAGCGAGCTGAGAAATCGGAAGATCTAGTTACCACGTGATAAGGAGCTTTAGTCCTCGTCTTGATGTTCGTCGCTCAGAGTATTGAGCGGTGTCATCAAACCGAACACCGACTCTGTTATCATTTGCGTATTTAATGATACGAATAATTGTGGGCATATTAAAGTCAATTTTTAGCCAACTCGGTGTGAACAACAAAGACGATGAATATTTCTTCCCTTCGAACTTTTCTTCTTCGCAGTTTGCTGCCTGGAGGCGCACCTTGTTGACTGCCGTATGACTCTCACGGTGAAGAATATTCTAAAGAAGATAAAAATCCATCTATGTATTGACACCCTTACGGCATGGATGCACGTGTCTCTCCCCCACCCGCAGTCTGCTAATAGACGACACCATCTACTTTCCTCAGATAAGTTCCGAACAAATACTTCAGGATTAATGAGAACCCAAAAGAATGAACCTTTCCTGCAATACGGTAAGAATCTGCTGTCGTAATATGATGTGACGGATCACGTGAAGCGTAGTGCACTGAGAACCTGGGCAGTCCGCAGACACAATCCATGCGCCTAAGATCTTGTGGCGTGTGAGTTTAAATTTGTGTCTTGTCCGATTCTCCGTCAATGGCCATAATTATCGTCGTTTGCAACACGTGTAACCACAACTCTTCCCCCCTACATTTATCAGCCATTCTGCATCCACGAATTACTCCACACTACATCTTCCCTCACATCAGTCCTTTGCTGAGGGGGGTCAACAACAACCTGTCACGACTTTTCACCATGCCCAACCCCACCCCCACAAATCAAGCCATGACAGTCGAAAGGGGCCCTTGGATGGGAACGTTTGCAGCATCATTCCCATTCGATCCCAAATGGGATATCATACTTGGCAATCTCCCTGTTTCTATCAGGGACAAAGTCGACATCGTGCGAACAGCACTTCACAAAGATATTGGTACTGAACTGGAAGAAAAGTTTCAAACCAAGTCCCTCCTCATAGCCACAATGGCTCATGGAGACCTGAAGACCGGTTCTAGTATTAATGCGCTTAACGTCGGCGTCTCTTATGATGGCCTGACCGTGGGAAAGGTCGACGGAATTATGCAGCTTTTAGCTGAGATTCTGAAGCGCCACGGCCTAGAGGATGATCTTCAAGTCATGCTAGTACACTCAGTCATGGGTTGGTCTTTGGGTAGTCTGCCTATCTACTGAGGAACCTCTCACATCAGTGTCACGCTCAGCGAAGGCTTCGACCGACTTATGACCAAGGTGAGAAAGACCGCACTCTTTGTTTGATTCTCAGCACTAATCTCATTCAGAGATGGAGCCCACGCATGGCGCAATGGCGATACAGTCATGACCTTGATCCTTCGCATGGTATGTTGCAGGGAACTTGCTGTGGAGGGTTGACTCACAAGTCCCGAAGGCCTCTTCGTCGTGGGTGGTGTGTTGGATTTTACAATTGCAAGCTGGCATGTTTAGGCGAAAGCCCTGTGTCTTATCTCTCCCTTGTATGCTGTGATGCCGCGCTTCAGTCCAGCTGACTGGGACAGAAGACTTTATCTTTGAGACACTCTGCGGTGAAACCTCTGACTCTGGATTTCCGATTGTTGTCATCCCCGCATCCTAACGTCTAAACTTGCAGTGTGTCACTTACAATGCGGTGTCTACTGGATGCGGGGAAATGACATGTTTGCTGTTGTTGACTTGTCCATCAACGCGGGCGTCGCCGCTCGTAGTTGCTGATGTTAAGAGACAGACATGATGTATGTACCACCAGGCTCACTAATAGGATGACATAAGATTCATGAACAAGAACTTATTAAGCATCATCACATGCATCCAGCGGGTGAACAATCTGCCCGATCCAAGATCTTAACTATTGTGACTAATATGCGCTCAAAATCATATTTGCCGACGTCGACTGAATCATGGTGAACAAAAGACCGCACGGCGGAGACATCTCCGCTGCCGGGACGGATCTTGGGAAGCCGAAGCGGCCCAGAGGCTAGAACTCCTCACGGGTCTCGGCAAGTGCCAGTGTCGGGAAAGGTACGGACATAAAATCGCTCAATTTGTAAGATCTTTCGGACTTATTGCGAGCGACTATGAGAAGAAAAACCTGCAGACTGACAATAGACAATGAAATCGCAAAATTCTCGTGAGGGGAATCCAAAAGATCCTGGCGTTTCTACCGGTTGCATACCGGTTGCCGCCTTTGAGCAACGCCACTGTAAGACATTTCTCGTTACATAAAAGTACCGGCCTATCAATTTTTGCTGCGCCCTCTTACAATGCGGCTCATCCCATTGGCGAAGAGCGGCCATCTCCGCTGGATGGATACAGCTGCAAGCACTTTTGGCCAGAACGTCGTGAGACCCATCGCCAGCTGCCGACATGACGCCAACGCGCCGTCACGCATCCATCAGGACCGCTGGGACGAGTGGTTTTCTGCCCGGCTGACGGCGTGGGAAGCTGGCGGCGGGACGGGAGAACTGGGCAGAGGAAGCGGGGAGTACCACGCGACCAAGTCTCTCAGCTGTGCCGTGTGCCCTGTTCTCGGGTACTTGGAAGAGGAAGAGTGACCTGGTATCTTGGTTCCTTGGAAACTTTTGACGAGGAAAAAGCAAAATAACAGCTGGCACAAAAAGGCGCCCAGGCTTGGAGCCTTGTGGGACTTGCCGTGGACCAGTGGGAGCGGTTTCTGAGGAAAAGTCTACTTCCTTTGGTATCAAAGTACGGTTGCACCGCATCTTTCTGAGAAATCCGCCCTGACGATCGCTGCAAAGCTACGTTGTCGTGGCTGCTCCAAGGCTTCTGGATGCGAATTCTCTCGTTCCGACTGGATGGACCAGCATGTCCGGTTCTGCGGGTGGCCCGCCGACTGTTCCGCGCCGAGTCAAGCGTCAGGGCTGGAACCGCGTGGCGTCAGGTTCCCACGCTCACTCCAGGCCTTCTCTGTCGTCCGCGGCTTTTTTCCTTGCTTCTCTGCGTTGTTTCCCGCTGAGCGGTGCGCCGTGTACCTGCATGATCCATCTGTGCCATCGTTGATCCGCCGTCCCGTCAGCCCAAGTAGAGGGGGAAAGCAACATGCAAACGTGTCTGTTGGCGGACGAGCACATGACACATCGCACGCATGTCCGTCCCATCGCCATCCCATGTCCGTCCCATGAATCCTTTGTATCGTCCGTCCACCGACAATTCAGCAAACCCTTCAACAACCCACTACCGTGCGTGCCTAGGGCAAGCTACACACAAGCACCACGCAAACCAACATGACTCCCGTGTGCCGTGCCGTCCACCACCTTTCCTGACTCCCGTAGCCCCCGCTGTGCCGCCTCTTTGGTCCCCCTTTAGCCCGTACTAACAGTAACTAGGCCTTCCCTCGGCTCCTTTGGGGCTTGGGCACTCCCTTGTCCGGCGCCCAAAGAACGTTTGGTTCCTGGCGGTTCCTGTCACTAAACTCTATTCGGTCGTCCGAAGGGGACCCATGAGCGATTTTCACCCCTGACAGCGCGCATCCTCCTTTCCCTCTTGGGCCTTGGCCATGTTTCCTCATGGCTGATTTCCCCGAAACCGTTCACAATGGGCTTGAAAACTCAACCTTCTCGAGGGGCGTTCCCGGCCTAGCGTTGCGCTCTTCCACCCCCTCAATTAGGGCTCTGACAACTCTGTTTGTGACCTTGTTTCTCCATGTTGCGATGGATCACCGCAGCGTCAGGGACGTTTCCAGTGGTTCCACGACTTGCTTGTCAGATTCCTGGCACTTTTTGATTGACCAGCTCGACCCGACTCGCGCCTGCGGGTCGGGAGGCACCCACAGCCTCGGCCCTCGCTGACTCTCTCAATCTCACTTTTTCCCCAAAGGATCATTTCAGCCGACCGTCATCATCGACTGCGGCGTAGCTGTGGAGTCGCCGACGCCTGCTGCGTGGGTTTCCGTAGATGGACCGAGCATTGGACTCTGGTTCGTCGTCCGTGTGGGTGACATCTCATCTCCCCTGGGTACAACGCTGTTATTCAGCTTTGCCATCCGTTCGTTTTGCAGACATGGGACTCTCATATATAAGCTCCCCCAGTTTCATCTTCTCCGGGATGCTTCTGTTCTGATCACCAACCAACCATCCTTACTCTTTCTTCTCTTCCTCCAGTCACTCCCTCGGCCGGCACCGAAAGCTCTACAGATCAGGAACCACTCCTTGATACCAACTACTAGCTTCACTCCTTTGCAAGCATACCACATCCAGTCTTTCTGAGAAAGAATCTCATACCTCGATCTCGAGCTTTCAACCCCGGCAACCGACCCATTTTAGGAACAGATTCAGATTTCATATCTTCCACTTCAACAACAGCCAATATGTTCGCTACCGCTTTCACCACCATCCTCGCTGCTTCGGCCAGCTTGGTCTCCGCCGCTTCCATCCCGATCCGCGACTCCGGCAAGGCCGGTACTGCGGGCATGACCCCCCACGACGCCTTCTCCTCCTCCATCGGCGTTCTTGGCTGCAAGATCAACACCAACCGCGTCGCCTACTGGCCCAACTCCGTCGGCTGCGACGACATCTGCGTCAAGGTCACCAACGGCGAGCGCTACGTCCACCTGCTCCGCATCGACCAGTCCGGCGGTGCCTACGACATCTCCTACGACGCCTGGAACTACCTCAGCACCGGCAAGGGCGCCGCTGAGGCTCCCAGCCAGGGTGGTCCCATCTCCATGGAGTGGGAGGCCGTCCCCGCCAGCGAGTGCGGTTTCCTCCTCAAGGACAACGGCAAATTCCCTCTCTCTGCCGCCAACAGCATGAACTACCTTGCTTCCTGCCTGGCCCAGCCCAACAGCTTCGTCGCCAAGAACTACGCTCTCTACAACATCCAGAACTCTGCCTGCACCTGGGGCGTTGACGAGCTCTGCAACCTCGACCTCGCCGTCAGCAACCAGGCTTCCTGCCCCAGCGGTCTTGGCGTTACGACCGCTCTCAAGGACCAGCCTGTTACCAACATCGCTTACGGCACCGGCGTCGCCGCCGTCGCTATCCAGTAAGCGTATTTGCACGGGATGCACCCAGGATACCACATTATGATGCATACGATCTTATGATACTTGTATATATATTATAGAAAGGCTCCGAGCTGGGCCATTTTTGTTCGCAATCACAGAAGTCTTTCACTTGATCCTTGTGGCTCCGTATCTTTTCCATGTGTTCCATGTGGAAGTGAATGTGGACTTGGTCGATGGTTTCTTGATGTAACGTTGAAAAATGTCACCCTTGTCCATCGCCAGTTCAGTGTACGTATCCGTACAGCGTCGACGTGCCAATGTTGATCCCAATCCAGCGCCCTTGGCGCCAAAGCAAAGCGAATTCGGTTCGCTCAGCATCGGGAAATAAAGTCAAACGTCGTCCCACCCACCCTGGAGGTGCGAGAGATCATCGCCGATGGCCTGATACTTGCTTCTTGTTGGGATTCTAGCCACCCATGCGTCTTAGCCGGCAAGTCTATGAACTAAGGCAGCTTGAAACGAAACTGCCATCTGACTGGTCAGCGTAATGCGACTCCTCATGCAAGTCAGCCGCGGCTGCAGCCCAGTTGAAAAAAGTAGGATATCAAAGCGGTTGCATTCGCGCCAACCCCCAAGATGACGCCATAAAAAGTGCAAGGCCATGTCATATTTCTAAGACATTGAGACAGACTTGCTGAGAATGCGACACGACTGTGGAGCCACAAGCAGAACCATGTTAAAGAGCCAGATTTAGGGACCGCCTGATTTTCCTGTACTAGAGCGACTACTCTTTGCCGCCGCCGCCGTCGTCGTCGTCACTACTATCATCGTCGCTGCCATTGTCTTCGCTGCTATCGTCGTCGCCGTTATGATTATTATCACTTTACCATCGAGGACGATAGGAGTAATTAGATATACGTGATATATCCCATCGACTGCTTCATGACGCCAGTACATTGATATGCGGGGTACATCTAATCAGATGTTATCCCGAGTGATCGATAATTCTTTTTTTGAGCGAACGAGAAATTCATATAAGCCCGGAATTGGAGAAATTACGGGTCCTCTTTGTGCTGGCGTCATGCAGCAGTCGATGGGATACGCAGACACATGAGAATGAGGCGGTCTCTAGAATTAGACTGCTATTGAACAGAGTGAAACGCACGGCATACGGTCTCAGACTTCAGCGTAATGGAGAACAGCTTCTTCATAGACTTGGACAGACTATTAATGATCCGTCGTATAATTGTCTTCGAAGATGCTGGGACAATATCAAGAATATCTTTCCTTCTTTTGAAGACCATCAAACGTTCAATTTACATCAACGAGAATACCTGACAACCTAGCAAACCTTTACCCATGATCCGCCGTCCATGATCTGACTTGGCCTTAGAGATGCCACTCCCACCCTTTCGTACGTGCCCTGACTACGTTCATCCAAGTTTTCTATAAGCTTCCGTATGATCAGACCGTGTGAAATCCGTACCTCCATGCTGTTCTCATCCTTATCACAGCCAATGACAGAAAATAACAGCTCATGAACCTCGAATTCGTCCCGATCGTCAAATATGGCGTTCTTCAAAAGCTCAGCTTTTGAGAGCTTCAAATCCTTGGCCAGGGCGCGTACAACTGGAACACCGCTGGCAGTTCTCACGCCGGTAAAGCCCATGGAACCTCCGGACGCCTCACAGATGAAGGGGCTTTCAAAGTCATCTGTCCACGTCACACTGTCGAACTTAAGATCCATGTACTTGATAGCGCCCATCTTGGAGAACCATGACCAGCTCGGCACGTAGCGGCCTGATGGCTGTGCAATGCTTTTCATTGGCTCGGCTTGATCCCGCATCCAGAGAAGCCCGCGATGCAGGTATATCGCAAACAGTCCATATGTTGCCCGAGTCTCGAAGGCTCTTGCCAACCGCTTTTGAAGACCTAGTATAGCGACTGATCGGTCTGATGCATACGAAAACTCTAGAGCAGAGTAACGCTCGTATAAGTCTTGGATCAGCATCTGTCGGCCATCCTTGTAATGGTTGAGCGCCGAATGGGGGAAATTTGCGTCGCCGAGGAATGCGGCCTTGGAGCTTAACGCATATAGTTAGTAAATTGTCTATTATCTCCACCGATGGAACTCACTTGTAAAGACACCTCAAAGTCTCGCAACGGACGCCTGCTCCGCACTCCCAATACACCTGTGTAGAGGTGTAGTAAATAGTGCGGCGTGAAAGCGCTCTTTCCTGGAACACCCAGCCGCGCTTGCTGATTTCTCCGAGTTCCACATCCCGGTGGAAGTCATCGATGGCTGGGCACACATAAAGAGGCTGCTTACCACCCACCTGAACCTGAACACAGGCCCGGGAGGGTCTTTCTCCCAGGAACCCGTCTAGGGATGATTTGGCGGACACTGCGCTTATAGTCACATATGCGGAGCTGAAGACTTCTTCCATCTTAGAAGACTCCATTTCCCAGTCTTGCGCATCGTCCTGAATGATGCAAATAGAGTCGATCCAGAGATATCTGACCCCAAGGCCTCGAGTGACGGTTACAGCGTCTTTGAAATTCTGGGGGAGCCGCTCAAACTGAATCGATCTCTGCAGTTGGCTGATATTGTCTTTGTAGAGGCAAAACCTTTGATGTTTCTCGAGTTTCCCCCAGCAGTGACTCAGAGCAACGTAATCAGAAACTGGCACTGAATCGGATGGCACAAGGCGAAGTCCATCGCGTACATCAATGAGACGTGTCGGCGAGCTAGTGACATCGCGATACTTGCTGCGGCGGCATACCTCGTGAGACGCATCGGAATCGCATGACCTGATCCACTCGCTCAAAAGGGTGAACTGTTCAGTACTTGCCTGACTGGGGAGTATCGGTAGGCCTTCCTGCGCTTCCCCTTCGGAGATACTTCCTGATTCCATCGTCAACAACTGCACCATTTGATGGACTATGCGGAACATTCAAATACCTGGTGGTTTGTAAATGGAGAGAAGATCCGAGCCATTCTCTGCGTGTATTGTACCGCGCTGAAATTGTAGTCTTGTCGATAGCGGCATATGTGCCCGTTGAAGAGCTTGGCGGACGAGATTGCATAGTCCACATCCCTGTTGAAATGCCCAAGGTACAGCTAAATTGGCCATCTTCATTGCGGTGCATCGATTGCATAACCTCGTATCGCCACCCTGGCGTGGCTGCAACAGAAGCCAAAGAGAAGTCTTGGAAAGTTTCGCTGCAAGGTCCTCATCTGGAGTCGAATCCCATACATCGTTGAACTTGCTTTCTAGCTGGTGCACATTAGCTGGCCGATATCTTGCCTGAACTCTCGGAAAGGCAATGCCTACAATCTAGAGTTGGTTAGAAAGTGTACTTGAGTTCTAAGAGGCAAGCTGGCGCGTTGCTCGGCCATTGGTACTTACCATGTTCTACATGGGAGGAAAGAAAGGGGATAGTTAGCCGTGGTCATTTGCGCGAGCCATCCACTATGACTTTACCTACATACTTCAAGGTCCTTTGTCAGTCTCAAGAAATTTCTGGGGTGTAAGCCAAGGCTAGCTTGCTCTTACTTCTTGATGATCCGCCTTGTTTCGGGATCGCTGATCTGATGGAAAGAGCCCACCATTGCGTTGGAGCCGAGGATACCTGGACGACCGCAATGGAATGTACCTCAGATCTTCCAATCGCTTGTTGATATCGCCAAGGATTGCCTCTGTTTCGTGGGCGGTCAAACGGTGTGTCTCGGACGGAATTTGATCATTTGATGGATTAAAGACTAAAAGTTGATGGCTGATAAGATCGAAAAGGTCTCCATAAACCGTGTTACGTGGAAAATCCTTTCTCATAATATCAATGCATTGTTTCACAACCGGATTTATGCGGTATGTCTTAGTCAAAGTTGTGGAACTGGAGACCCGTTCCCAAAAGAAGTCGGGCGTGCTTCGTTGAAAAGTTTCAACATCGTCGTTACCATATGCCAGCCATATGAGCAACTCGAACATGACACAGCCCATTGACCACATGTCATATGATCTTGAGCGAGGCGGATTGCTACGATGATATTGCTCTCCATCCGTTTCTGGGGCCTGGTAGCGACGTGTGCCGGTTGGTGTTGTGGTTTGAATGACAAGCTCCTCTCTCTTCCTGGTGTCGGCGTCCAGTTGGTGAAATGTGGCCAGGCCAAGATCAGCAATCTGAAGCTCGCCTTTATTTCGTGCATCCTTGAACCACAGTATATTGTCAGGCTTCAAATCGCCATGTCGACAGTTGGAGTCGTGCAGCTGGCCGAGGGCTAAGAAGATACCCCTAAATTGATTGACAATCCACTCCATCCCGGCTGGGTCGAGGGGACCAGCCTTCCAGCATCTCCAGCAATTGCTCAGGCTACCTCCCTCCGCCCAGGGGAAAAGTAAGCACTTGTCTCCGTTGATCTCGTAAGCAGCTATTGGCTTAATCAGATTTGAGGTCGTATTGTTCTTGAGCGCATTGAGATTCTCGGCTTCCTTTCTGAAGAATTTGGCGAGATCTGCGTTGTCATTCGCCTTCTTCACAGCCAGTTTGATTGGAGGCTTTTCGGCATTCTAATACTACTTAGCCTCAATACCAGAAAGTGCTCAAAAGGCTAACCTACCGCACTTGATCCGGGAAAGCGTATGTGCGCGGAGTGCATCTCGTAGCAGGAGACTTCACCAAAGAACCCCCTACCCTGGGGCTTGAGAGGAGCTTTTAAGTACGGCATAATTGTGCCTGGAGGAAAACTGAAGTAGAATTTCGCAGTCGTGTCGAAGAATGGCACTGCAATTTGCCGCTGATATCGTTCAAAGGCGTCGCGCACGGTACGAGTCCATTCTGGTGAGAGGAGACCTGTTGGGTTTTCCGGCGAATTGATCGATAAAAGTGTCCATTGCCGTGACTTTCGATCAACAGCGAATTCAACAGGTAGCCGTTCATCTGTAAACCCATTCGTCATCAGCTCTCTTAACAAGTGTATCTTCTTGTCCTTAACTGTTGACATCAAGACGAGAATGAGGAAGGTCTTTCGAGCAAGCCTGGTGGCAAAATCAAGTAGAACCGGCGCATCCTGAACGGCAGCGTCTCTCAATGCTCCATTAACCTTTTCGTGCACGACCAGTTCATGTAACCTGTTGTAAGGTAGAAACTTCTGTCTCTCATGGTTGAACTCAAAATGGTTGTCGACTTCCTCTCCTAGCTCATCACAGGTATACTGGATTTCACCCATTCTCCAAGTTGCCACTTAAGAATAGCGGTGAATAGCGAATGCCCAATTGGGGGAGACTTTTCTCGATTTCGCGCGAAGTTGGCAGAAGAGTATCAGTATTGTTTGTAGTCTTGGCGCTGAGGAAGCCTGTGATATTCTGTGCGCCCTGGCTTCATGCTTATGGTTAAGTACTCAACCTGCGGCTTTGTATTGAGGCACAAATCGGTGTGGAGAAGGCTCATGTACGTCAGGCGGGGCATACCACCGGTCCCAGTGAAATCGCCAAGCAATGGCTGCCTGCTAGGACAGATATTCACAAAATGCCTTCGATCGACGATCCATCGTCGGAGATGGCGGGATGGTAAGGTCGCCTCCGTAGTTCGCAAGTTCAGAAGGCAACCAGAACAGGCAGTCAGCAGGCAGTCAGCCTACAGGATGCCTAATCTGTCTTGCAGCTGGTTGCAGGTGAGGCATTGTCCTAATTTCGGCAACCTAAGACACGATCAGGCTGTGGAAGGGTGATGCGCCGCCACACTGACACAGCCATCTTCACTCACCGAAAAGTTGCATGCATCCGACCAGTCATACGTCAGTGCCGCTGGCTGAACTAAGGCCAATAAGCCTTATCAACCGCAGCATTGGTATGTCTGAACGACTGACTTTTGTCGTGTTGATTTCGCAAGGTCTTATAATAACTCCGTCGCCGGTGAGTTTTCGCGCATGAAACAGTGTGAGCGCTACGATAAAAAGTATCATTTTATTTTCCTTTGTTTCCACTTGGCATCTTCGACTATGTTCGCGATATCACAGCCAGACCTTGAGTTCGTCCGGCAGGATCAACATGTCAAGGTTTTGACGGAGCATCACGACCGCATACGCCCGCGAGACTTGTCCAGATTTCTTTCCTATTCTTATGGAGACAACAAGTTCAAGATATTTCTGAAAAGAAACATCTACATCATCTATGTCAAGCAAGAGCCGGGGAGCGAGCAAGTTGACCACCTGGTACGACCCTAGAAATGCGTTCTGCAAGCGTTTAACTAATCAGAACCCGCGATAGTCCACAGGACAAACAAACCAATCTGCAGGACCAGGAGAACAGACTTCGAAAATCCTCGCGTCACAAGATTACCGTCAAAGGCTCAAAGATGTCGGCTTGGCTGAGAATATTCTGAAGATGACTAGGGTGGCAAGACTTGAGGCGTAATCCCAACTGCACGGGTCCAAAGGCAGTACGAGCCATCACCATCGTCATTGTCATCGTCGTCGTTGCCATATTCGTTGTTGTCATCGTCGTCGTTGTCGTCGTCGCCGTCGTCGTTGTCATCGTCGTCGTCGTTGTCAAATATCCGTAAAGCCAAATCCCCCAACACAAAAGCAATAATAATCAAAAACAAACGAAACGATTTAATATCAGCAAAGGTATTCTGAGATAACAAGACTTCCGTTGCCCCGGGCGGGCAGAGTTCTACAGGCGGAGTGCACGCGTACGCAGATCACTTTCGTTAAAAGGGGGGCCAGAACGCGGGCGTGGGTTATTCCCGATTGAGCACATCTCAGGCATGGGCACGATTTCATAGTCTGAAGAAGGCCCAAAAGACAAATGCTCGTCGAATTTCTTTCTTCAATGCAAATTCCGACGCAAAATTGAATCCCCGATCGCATTCCTGAACGATGAAGGACCCCTTCCGAATGCGGGATCGAAGCAACGAGGCATCCAAGACAAGGCAACCCTTGACAGTCAGATTTCAATGATATGTAGCTCCACAGACTCGTTCGCCTCGGCTGGTCTCGGAAGAGCGGCAGTGCATTTTATCTCGGCTGATTTGTTGCGCAATGTCGGGCTTAAACCAATCGATGGTGCAGTCGCACATGACCCAGATGACGCGCGAGGTTGTGTCCAAGATCTGTACCAAGCCGCTAGGTCACCAGTAATAAACAAATATTTATTTTTTGAGGTACATTCGGTATTCTTTGAGACACCGAAGATGAGGCTGAAGACGATCAAGTTCAGGGGCTGACACAAGGCTCTCTCTTCATCAACTCGTAACACGTGCTAGGAGGTATGGGGCGAGGTGTATTACTGACAATCAGTTCGGAGCCCCAAGTAACCTCGAACCAGAACCATCCTTCAATTGCCTTCCGGGAATCTAAGCGAAAGTGTTTGTTCGTTCTTGATGATCTTTTAGGAAATCAACGCAGTTTCTCCCAAACTTAACATTCGAATATCCTGGACAAGTCCCCCGTCATCTAACACCGGGTGTCACAACATACTAATTATTCAATGTCGGCCGCGTCGGAGGTTAGTCACATTTTCCGTCAAGTCTTAATTTTCACAGCCTTCTTGCATAACAAGGGAAGGTTCGTCCAGCCCACGATCAAGGCTGACGATGATTATTAGGACAAAATGACCCCGCAATCCAATGATACGCAGGATTACGAAGTACGATATACTGGCGGGAGTTCAGCGACAGAATCTTTGCAAAGACCTTTGTCTATCCGATTTCGCGAAAGAAACTCGTCCATATCCCTGTCGTCTGGGAACCATTCCAGTCCGGCGATAGTCCTGTCTCCAACCGATTCTGCCTACAACACGCCCACAAGGATAAGTCTTCCGTGGCAAAACAACTACTTCACAGGAGACATAGAGGCATCCTACGAGGGTTCAGATACCGCGCTGGAAAGCAGACGCTCCTCGATCACATCAGGCAGTCGTTCCGTCTCACTTGTACGAGATCTGGGTATCAGCGCCACGCAAAGTTCTCAAAGTTCAGTGACCAGCGACGACGGCGAAGATGACGGCATAAGATTTCCGATCGAAAGTTACATCCGCCAAAAGATTAGAGACAGATTGGAGTGGAATCAGATGCATGCGGAGAAGAGAGAGCAGTACTTGCCGATTGACTCTTTTGAGGAGATCTTCACAGTCTTGAACATCACACGATTAATGCAAGAGAAGTTTCCCGATATAGTCGAAGGAGATCTGGAGGAGAAAATCCTACGAATCACTCAATGCGAGCAGAAATGCCCAGCAGAAACAGATGGTAGTCGGATAATCGGACGGCGACGGATCCTCGCAATACTCATTCATATGGGTCAACTAGACCACATCGATGCCTTCATTGAAGAGAACGTATGTGACGGTCATCTACCTATCCAATACACCGAGAAAGACAACAGGGTGTTCGTCGACCGCGCTTCTCAACATAATGAAACGCTGTTCCGCAATTGGGAAAGATTTCATATTGATCAGTTTCACAATTACCAAAGTGTCTTTTTCGTCCCGTTTTTTGACATTGGCACGGGCTTTGGAATCAACTCGTACGATTTCGAGTCTGATATCAGGCTTCCTTGGAAGGAACATGAGCTTAAAACCAATGGCGGAAACGGAGTCATATATCGGTTGCTCATGCACCCCAGTCACCACAATTTTAGGGAAACCAGGGTACGTTCCCAAATTTTCAGGCTCGCGTGCCCTATCATAGGCTAATAATTGCCAGTCATCAGATGGATCTATCTACTTTGCGGTCAAAGAAGTCGATGCCGTTGACCGGTTGAGCTATAAACAGGAACTAAAAGCTCTGGAAAGGTCCGGTGCATACGTGAAGCAAGAGAAGCATCTTATCAAACTTTTGTTCACCTACCAATATCGAGGAAGACTTTATCTTGTATTTGAATGGGCAGATGGCAACCTGATGGAGTTCTGGCAGAATCCATTAGTTCATCTTGAGCCATTCCTAACAAGAGAAAAGTGGGCGATTGAACAATGTTGGGGCATCGCTAACGCAATCGCATTGATCCACGGACTATCTCGCTTACAAAAGAGCGAGAGATGCTCTATGTCAGACTCTGAAAGAGACGCGTACAGTAGCTGGGGTCGCCACGGAGATATAAAGCCAAACAACATTCTCTGGTTCTCATCATACGGAGATGGCCGCAATCTTCTTGTGGTTTCCGATCTTGGACTCACTAGGTATCACTCGGCGGCCACCAAGTCACTTGTGTCGCGCATTGACGGCTGTACCCCTACATACCGAGCCCCAGAGTTCGACTTGCATGAGCCCATAACTCCAAATTACGATGTTTGGAGCCTGGGCTGTGTTTATATCGAGTTCTTCACGTGGTATATCGAAGGAATGGAAGGATTCATGGAGTTCGAAGACGCAAGGACTAATGATTACGATGAGTTCGAGGACGTTTGCTTGCCTGAGGTGCTAGAGGATAATTACTTCGTTATTTTGCAAACCGAATCCGCCGGACGGAGATGGAGGCATGCGAGGCTGAAGTCAAGTGTCACCGAAGTAAGTCTCTCCAAGGTCCAATCCGGATTGTGTGACTAACAGTGTTCTTCTCAGTGGTTGAATAGGCTGAGACGCAACAGCCGTTGCACAACTGCGATCTCTGAGTTCTTGGACATCATTGAGCAAAAGATGCTTGTTACAGACGCCAAAGACCGCTCCCACATGGACATGATTACAAGCAAGATAGCTGGGATATATGAAAAGCTGCGGTGATATCCAGCCAGCCCCGTGGTTGAATTTGGGGCAGACGATAGCGACAACAGGGACGACAGCGACGACATGGGCGATAGTTCGCATAGGGATAAAAGATTATCAATAGATGAAAACTTACTAGACCTAGTACAACAGTTATTCGCCCGGGTAGCCAGAAGTATCCCGCCCGGATAGCAAGACCCACACGTGTACATTATGGAGGAGCAAGTTATTTTAGAATCCGAGTACCCAAGTTCGCCGCGTCTCGGACACATCGCGGGCTATGACAAACTTATTCGTGATGCCATGTGTGGCCAATGCCTTTCTCCTCCCAATCTTTGAACCTCTTCAGCAAGCTGTCCTGTTGATCTTTGCGCAATCCTGTGATTCCGTTGAAGTCCTTGGTTGTAGACGACCAGTATCCTTGCCCACCGGCTAGAGAAATGTGCCACCTTTCCTTCTCCGAGCGTAGCTTATCGTCGTGTTCCCAAGACGATTGAAGACGAGGGAAGAAGGGCTCGATATCGGAGAGTTCATTCGATCGTTCCTGGACGACAGCGGATCTCTGTGGCTTCTCGAGATCCCAAACAAAGCAGGCGCAGTCCCAATGATTCTTGTGAAGTTCCCAATCGACTGTTACCCAGGACACACTCTCTTTACTGTGAACGGCTCGCCACAGTAAATAGGGTGTTGAGGAGATATCGTCCTGCACGCCATCTAAAGGCTGGCACAGCCGTTGAAAGTTTGCTTCTGTGCACTCGTCTAATACGCGCTGCGAAAAGTTGGGATTAAGGGCTTCCATTAGACTGTTCTCTGGTAACATATGAACTAGCGTCTGAAAAGGCAAATTGGACATGTTGTAAGCGCGTGGAGGATGCATAGGTAAAAGCTGGCGTCTTTCTTCGAAATTTGTGGCACGGATGATTGAAAGAAGAACGGGCAGACCGCGACCTAGCTGTTCGAAGCAATTAAGTTAGAACATTGTATTCATGAACTCAGGTTCTCAATCTAAAGTTCAAAAGAAGGCCAAGGGAAAAGACGAGAACTCACATTCCATTGTATCATAGAGCAGACGTTGGCGTCATAGTCCCACTCGACGGGCACTTTGCCCCAGTCCACATCGTGAGCGGCAACATCATCGTAGGCTGTCAACATGATCAGTACAAGTCTGCACCCTTCAAGATCAAGTTGAAGCGGCTGACCCTCAGCGACCTTGCGTTCGAGATACCTGTATACACAGAGGATCTGCTCGTTGACCCAGGGCGAGAAAGGGTGGAAGAAGTATTGTGTTATATATTCGTCAATAAGGCGACTGCCCACGTCATAGGGGGTGCAGAATAGGTTGCACATGATCTGGTATCTCATGAAAGCTCTATTGAGCCGGAAGATTTCCTGCTGCGATGCCCCTGACGCATGGTCTGCCTCGAAGCTACTCATGAACAATGGAAGCGCCTCCGAGACCAAATCCTCTCTCAGGATTTCGACAGCTGCCAAAGCACGGCTGAGAGCAGCATACGCAGTAACGGTGAATCGTTCCAAAGATTTAGGATCGTTCTTGATGCGAGATTGCAGTCGTCGAAGAAGATCTTTGACGGAATCATGGTTGCTTGGGTCGACTACACTTGATTCGAGGAGTGCGTTCGCGTACGGAAACAAGTTGGGTGGTATTTGGCTTGATAGAATGCTGCGACATATTGTCTGAGCGTTGTATTTGAAAGCGTTGTAGAATATGCGGTGGCTTCGAATAGCGATGCCAAGCTCTGCAATGGTGTCTAGCTGGTCTAAGATGCTAGAAACAATGTGCAGTGGTAGTCTGTGGATGAAAGTCATCGCATCTGTGGCCTCTTCCGTTCTTTCTCTGTGATATTGTAGAGTTCAGGCTTCCACCAGGAGTATCAGCTGATGGGAAGAGGGGCAAGGCGACCTCGGAGCCGTTCAATCGTGGTGTGTTGATTGGGTATTCTTAGCTGTGCCGCGCTGACTCATCTGGAAGTCACTAGTTTGCAATATCTCGGAGATTTGTCTTCGCATTCGAAGGAAAATATCATGATGTTCAAGGACCAGACTCTGGAAAAGCTGCCGCGGGCTTGTTGCTGGTGCAGCGAAACTGAAACAGAGGTGAGGTACGTCATGAAAGCCATCGCTGCGATGATAGCAACGACGATATGCAAGCCAAGGATGCACGGGAGAGGCAACATAGCAGCGAAAGTGGATAGAGACAACAGGCCAAGTCATACATGTAACGGAGCAAGTCGGAGAGCATCAGGTTCAGCATACTGCTTTCCTCTGTAGGCTTGCCCCTTCGAAGGCCGGCTTGCACTTGGTATCAATTTCTGATTCCATAATAGTATTGAAACTTTGATGCGCTTAGGAAGGAGATTCGCATAGAGGGGGGAAGCTCTGAAGGCGCCTCTTAGCAGGTCTCAAGCAGACACGACAGCGAGAAGTCCACGGAAATTCTTCTCCAAGGGCGCACCTCATCTCTTTTGATACGCGTATATGGCTTCGCTTCGTCAGGAAATTGGTCGATATGTGTGGAAGACGTGCCAAAAGAGGAATATCTGGAAATTTTCGGTCGGTGAAGTTAGCAGTTGGTTTTTGTTGGTAAGTACTCAACGCCAGGAATCGAGCGAGAAGCCCATGAGTTATCGTCATTTGGTTGCGATCAACTCTACTGGAGACTCATGTGATCATAGAGTCATCTTGGTTAGAAAACAGACAGCACAATACTATTGCCATGAAAAGAACGATAATCTACGACGAAGGGCTATGAATTTCGATGGAACTCTTGGGGACCCTCAGATTGAAGCCATCCAAAACAACCGAGGATGCTCGGGCATTCCAAGCGCTCTGGTTCGTCAGTTTGGATATTTCAGGTACGTATCAGGGCTGATGATCCTTCCTCGGTTGCCTCCAGTCATTCCCTGTTCCTTCAGCGGCAACCTGCGGCGCAGAAATGCAGCCTTGCCCATTCGGTGTCTATTCTACGGCAGAGGTTACACCTAGACACTCAGTCTGAGGCTGGACAGCTCTCCTGAGGCAGGATCACGATGGAGGCTGGGCTGGGCAGAATTATACGTTTTTGGCGTAGCTTGCGAGTCTACTCTGGTTGGTCTTCCGAAGTGGTGGGAAGCCTCTCGAGATCAGAGCTACCAAGACCCGACCGCGTGGCACTGCGGTGAAGATCTCCCCTGTTATTGGAGTTTGTGTCGTTGAAATTAGCTTCGGGCATCGTTCAATCGGATACAGGAGACGGTGATCGTCGCCCAATGACACGCCGTAGAAGGGCTGAAGTTGCCGAGGTTGGGTGAGGGGAAAGGGTTGGTCGGCCAGGTCTAGAGCTGCTGGCTCCTTCTGGCGCGGGATCTGTGATGAGCGGCGGCTGGCTGATGGAGGGTGGTGTGTCTGCATCCTTCTCTAATTCGGAGTGAGGGCAGAATCGTGCATGATCTGAGTTGAGGCGGTGCGGTGGCCAACGACGCCGGGGGTTTTGTTGATGGCTGCACGAAGCGTGGCATGTAATTAGGGCGCAGGCAGCCAGCGGCATGGAGTCTAGACCCGAGTATTGTCAACGTGCCAAAGCAAGGGAGACTGGACACGATGTCTGAACCGCGGGCACGGTAGTGGGAATGTTGTTCGAGTCTTCTCTGTCTGGTATATCCTGGAGGAATGATTGGCGCTAGGGTGTTGCGCATGAGACATGCCTCTCGAAGACCGCTGCGTCGGGAATGGACCGTGATTTTGGTCCGCTGGCGTGCCGTTCGATGCATTCGACGACTCGTTGACGAAGAGCTGCGCGGAAGAGGGTTGCAATTGGGTCTGCCAAGGGTAATAGGGCCATCTTGGCGCCATTGGCAGGCGAGGGTCGATGGTTGAAGAGACGGACTGGTTTGATGAGGTCTCGGTTGGTCTTCTGAACTCGGATAAAAAGTGTAATTGACGCGAAGTTGGATAGAGGACGGAGAAGTAGCCTCGGGGTCCGACGCGGAATCCATTTCCACACATCGTTGCTGCTGTTCTTCCGGTCATTCCAGCCCGGGCCAGATCTGCCATCTGAAGAGATGGGCAAAAAGATACGGTCAAGATGCACGGTGACAGATGTTCCATCTTGGCCATGTGTCTCCATAAGTTATGTCACTGCTGCAAGAGACCCTCAGATTTTGTCATTTGAATGGAGAACCAGGCAAATCATTGCTGGATGCTATGCGTAATCCGGGTGTCACTCATTCAGTGCCCTGTCTGCCCCGTCGATCTTCTTCCCTCCCACCCCTTCCTCCCGCAACTCCTGCAACCTGTTCTTCCACTCCGCCCGGGGGTCGTATGTAGCGTCGAAGCAGGCAAGAAAGCCAAGCAGAAAGGCAAGACAGATATCCAGGTGTCACGTCGACATTGCTGGGCAGCTTAGTACGTTCTCGGGTCTCATCGCGTGGGCTTGCATGCCTTAGCCTGAGCTTCGCGTCTAACACCGAAACGGGCAATCGACCGGCGGGCCGTCCAATCGCATACCCGCCAAGCCGTCCCGGCGCAAAGTACCGAGTCGACCGGCCGAATCATGACTTTGCTGTTCGGACCATTCGAACTGCTTTGGGCTGTTGGTAGGTCCCGTTACCCCGGCTTTTGCGAATGTGTGGTTCTTTTCTTGGGCTTGGCCGCGTAGTCCATTTCTCTCCGCCATCTAATGATCCTTGATACGGGAAGAGAAAGCAGTGGTTGCGTGGGCTGAAGAGAGAGGGAAAGGGGGGAGAACCCAGGTAAGACGAAGGGGAGTCGACAAGGGAGGCTCCAGGCTGTCCACCTTGACCCCATGGCGAACCCCATCCATCTCCATCATTTCCCCCCTCCCCCATCCCATCGTGCGTTTTACCCCGCAGCCAGCGACCGGGACGAACCCACTCCCTCCTCGTACCCCGGATTTGACACTGGGCTGTTCTGTGTTTGCAGGTGGTCCGGGTTGACGGGGGTTTTCCACATTGGTAATTGTCAACTGACTGATTGATTGATTGTTGTTGAAGAGCAGGGGACAGGAAGACATGGGATTGTGGATTGTGGACGTGGGAGATTGCCAATTGACTTCTGCGAACGTGGGCAGTGTCTCTCTGCCGGGAGAACATCGCCCGCCTGTCTCTGTCTGTGTCTTGCTTTTCTTCGTGCTCTAATCCTGCGTCTTTCTCTGGGCCCTGAATGTCTTTGCCAGTTTGTGTGCTGTACGTACTTCGCCGTATGCCCTACATCCTCTTCTGCCTCCTTGTCCTCCTGCCCATCCTTCCTTATGCCCTAATGCGGCCACACCTCGCCGTGCATCGTGACATGCCTCCATCCTCCGGGGTCGGTCGCCGGTGCCGCCACCCTCGGTATCTTCTTGTCTTGTTTTGAGTTTGATTGGTTCCCCCGCAGCCAGCAACACACCCCAGAGCTAGCATCCAGGGTGGGTTCCCCCTCTCCCACCCCGGACGAAGGCGGGGATCTCGCGACTCAAACTGCGGTCCAAGTGTCTTGTCGTACGCACGCCGGAGGGCTGGCTTCGGAGGGCGGTATCCTCTTCTTTTTCCTGGGGAAGAGACGAGAAACAAGGGGACGCCAGCGTTTTGGGATGGCTTCGTGGGGATTTCGTTAGCCTCAAAAGGGAGGTCGGGAGTTGTGGACGGGGGTCGTGTTCACTCTGCCGTCGTCTTTGATGGAGGAGTATATATCTCCTTATCAACGTCGTGTCGTCTGATGCTACCCTCTCTTGTCTCCTCTCCTCTCTGTGCACCCTCCAAGATTTTGTCTTTTGGGTTGAATAACCTTCTGGCCTTTCCCGCCTTCCGAACCACGATTGTCCCTCCTCCTCGTGCCTCCTCCCTGTCCCACGTACGGCCCCAACACACAAAAACGAGCGGGATTCCAGCTGAGCCCCAAGCTCTGTTGTGCAACACCCACGACACGTACAGACAAACCCAGGTTCCAGACTCTTTGCCTGACCAGAGCCTCCCCCCCTCCATCCCTTGGGTTGGGTAGACGCTCAACTCGCAGCTGCACGTCTGCGTCTTCTCCGTCGACGACTTATTCGTGGCCGCCCACTCCCGGTCCTGATCTTCCTTTCCCAGACCACCAACTCAATTCGTCCACGGGAAAGCGCCGCCAACATGAGTCACAAGCACTCCGACCCGTACGCCGGCTCGGACCCCGAGAAGGTCGGCTTCGAGCACGCCGACAACCTTGCCAACTCCGTCACCGGCTCGCACGACGTCGACGACATCGATGGCGGCTTCACCAAGGAGGAGCAGCGCGCCATCATCCGCCGCGTGGACCGACGTCTCGTCGTGACCGTCGGCGCCATGTACTGCGTCTCGCTGATGGACCGCACGAACTTGTCTGCGGCCGCCATTGCGGGCATGACGGTGGAGCTGAAGCTCATGCTCGAGAACCGATACGTGAGTTGACATTGAGGCCGGCGGTGCTGATTGGCGTGGGGTTGGCTAACGGACATGGCTGCGCAGAACATTGCCTCGCTTCTCTTCTTCATTCCGTACATCATCTTCCAGCCGCCCTCGACCATCATCGTCCGCAAGATCGGCCCGAGACTTCATCTTGGCGGACTCACTCTGCTCTGGGGTGCAGTGATGATCGGAATGGGTTTCGCGCGTACTTACTCTCACCTTTATGCGTGCAGAATCCTGCTCGGTGTCTTGGAGGCTGGCTTCTTCCCGTCCTGTGTCTATCTTCTCAGCACATGGTACACGAGATGTGAGTGCCCCCACCCCCTCATCTAGACTGGAGATGAGAATGAACTGACAAAACCAGACGAGGTCGGCAAGCGATACTCCGTCTTCTACCTGCTCGGCTGCGTCGCCTCCGCCTTCGCCGGCATTCTCGCCTACGGCCTCATGCAGCTCAACGGCCGCGAGGGTCTCACGGGCTGGCGCTGGATCTTCATCATCGAGGGTGTCTTGACCTGCGCACTCGGAATTGCCGGATACTGGCTGCTGGTCGACTTCCCCGACTCCAAGCGCAAGTCGTGGAACTTCCTCGGCGAGCGCGAGCGTGCCTGGGTTGTTGCCCGTGTGAACCGCGACCGTGGCGATGCGCACATGCCTGCGTTCAACTTGAAGAGATTCCTCAGCGCTGGCACCGACTGGAAGATTTGGGCCTACGCCATGATCTTCTTCAACACCACCACCGTGTCGTATGCGCTGGCGTACTTCCTGCCCATCATCCTCCAGGTCAATATGGGATTCAGCGTTGCCAAGGCGCAGTGTCTCAGTAAGTCCCTCCCCCCCCCCCCCTCCCAAAACGTCGGGTAGATGGAGCCTAACGTGGAGCAGTCGCACCCCCGTACGCCTTCGCCGGCATCGTCATGTACGCCACCGCCTGGCTCGGCGACAAGTACAAGTTCCGCGGCCCCGTGATCCTCATCAACATGCTCTTCCTCATCGTCGGCCTCCCGATTATGGGCTTCCATCCGAGCTCCGGGGTGCGCTACTTTGGCGTCTTCCTCACCACCGCCGGCGCCAACTCCAACATCCCCGCCGTCATGGCGTACCAGGCCAACAACATCCGCGGCCAGTGGAAGCGCGCCTTCTGCTCCGCGACACTCGTCTCCTTTGGTGGTATCGGCGGTATCGCGGGCAGTTTGCTGTTCCGCGAGCAGGACAAGCCGCACTACCGCCCCGGCATGTACGCCTGCATTGCGTGCAGCTTGTTGACGATGATTCTCGTGGGGTTGCTGAGCCTCGACTTTAAGCGCCAGAACGGCAAGGCGGACCGGGGTGAGAAGGAGCTTGAAGCGTCTGATGTGAGTATCTCCGCGAAATCTGAGGTAATGAGTTTTGTGCTGACTACTGTGTTGCAGGAGGGTGCCCAGCCCGGATTCCGGTATACCTACTAGTCGATGTGCGAGGAGGATGTCATGAATATTTGATAATGAGAGGGAATCGTGAATGTTGCAAGATATCCATATTCTGAGGGCTGAGTCTGAGATAGCATACCCGAGTGAGACGCGCCAATGAGTAATGAGAGAAAGCTGAAATGACATGCCGTGTCGTGCCTCCTCCCTTGTGATTATAAGCTTGTACCATAGTAGAGTAATCGTTTAGTGATCGCCCGTCAAAGCCGAGGCATGCGACGGTTCTTGGTCCTCCCAGACGATCGGTGCATGGTGGCAGCTGCAGGGTTCGTGTAGCCACCCCGCGCTAGGCGTTTCCGGCGTCGTGGTTGGATGGATCGCTCCGTTGCCGTGGGGGTTTCGGCGCCGGCGCCGGCCGGTGGGCTCCGGAGGACAGGGAGGTAAGCACTATGGCGCCGTTGAGCTTAACGTCACGCAAAGTTGTTTAGAGTTGGCCGTTGCATTCGTTGACACAAGACAGGCAAAGACTGCTGCCGACTTGAGGAATTCACGGTGATTACGAATACATCTCAAGAGATTCCCAAGCTATACTGCTTGTCATCTAGTTGGTTGGACTTTGGGGCATCTCGGAGAGTAAGCCGAGGCTTCTGTCTGCTCTCCTCGATGGCATAACAGTATTGCACTCGAGAAATGATGGAAGCAAAGATCTCCGGCGTAACATATATTGGCTTTGAGCCAAAGCTGCTGTTTCCCTCTAATTTCCTTGCGGCAGCTGTGCTACGGGACATTCGGAAGGGGACATGAATGACGTGGCTGTGGCATGAAGCGGACTCTGATGACCTTACCATGGCAATATTGCAGCTCAATGGAGGTGCCACTGGGTCGACTCTCGATTGATTGTGATTTTCAACATCGCAAAGCACACAATGTCTCTCCAGCAAGCCTCTCGGACATGGTCTGGGTGGAAGGTTGGCCATCGCGGAATCATGCAATATCACGCAAACCGGTGATTTCCAAATTCGATCAGCAGTAACACAATGAACCACGAAGCAGGATGCCATCTGCCATCTGATCGTGGGTGACGTTTTCCCCAGTGAGGGCATGAACATCCGTCGCTCCCGAGAGAAGGTGATTCGATGGTTGAGACCAGGTGTTCGTGGACCCTATCATGCTGTGGTCTGTCACACTCGCTTGGCCGTCATCGTGTGAAATTAGGTCTCTTGGGGCAGGAACCGCTGGTCCATAACCCAGTCCGAGTCTGACGGCAGAGTTCTCGAAATCGAGGCAGCATTAATGGCACGTCCAGGTATTCGTGAGGGTTCACACTTGCGTTGGCTCAGGTGCAGCCTCAAGGCATGCTCAGCAAAGCACGCTCGAGCCCTGTTCATTCGATGCAGACGACGATTACAGATGCCGCGAGACGAGCGGTTTATGATTGCATGAGATCCCCTACGTTCTGTGCATGTCGTCAAAAATGCAAGCAGATGGGATGAGGACCGTTGACCAAGACGGTATGACAGGCGGGAGGCGCTCAGAAGGTTGGTGGCAGGCGGTGCGGGTAATGCAAGCTATGGAGCGTCAGGGGGTCGAGTGACAGTGGGACCGTTTATTGACGTTTGCTCGTAAAGTCACGATGGGCAAGAAAAGGCAAGCTTGGCTCCCTTGGGCCAAGGCGCTGTTTTTCTTGAGTTGCTCGGCTTGCCACTAGGGATGGGGATGCCGTCTTGGGAGTCTTGGGGAATAATAAGGGAGTGGACAGAACGGGGCGGCGAGCGGGTTTCTTTCGGGGCGGTTAGCGTGTTGTGATTGAGTTTGCAATATCCGCAGGCAATGTAGAATAATAATGAGGGTTCTTGGCAGGGGTTGGTGAGAACGGAGGCGGTGTTTCTGTGTTTTTCGTTCAACGTACGCGTTCCCGACCTCGACACGTACAGCAGAATGGGAGACGGAGAATTGGGCAAACAGTTTTTGCCGGTGACGACCGTCTGGATCTGGGACGGGATTGGGCGATGACGGCATTACTCAGCGCCCCCGCTTAAAAGACGGAGAACGGACAGCTGTGGCCAATGGAAACGGACTCAATGCGGTTATGGTTATGCCACGAAGGGAAGGCAGCGTGGGCCAGGGGGTACGTACCGATGCAGCCGGTCCGAGAGGGTCAAACCGGGGGGACACTGCTCGGTGTTTTGGCTGGCGAATGGGGGGCCTCCTGGATGGATCGTTGCGAAGTGCTACCTGGAGGTAAGGTAAACTGGGGGATTGTTATGTATGGTCAGCAGCTTTCAACTGGTAGAAAGGTGCAGGATGCAGGATGCCTGCATTGAATGATACTTTGTGTGGTTTACTGAGAAGAACACCGAGTTACAGAGAGTTGCTGCAGAGACTCACCTACCTATAATTCTGCAGTGAGAAAAAGTCTAGAAAGGCGTCGCTTGTACCTCCCCTGCCAGATCTGGCGGGGAGAATACATCAGCTCTGCGTAATCGCCCCCGGCATCAGGCCTCCCCTCCCCCTCCAGCGATCCGCCCCTTCCACCGCACACACACACGCGCTCACTCAGCAGCAATGTACTGCGCCATACAAAAGTGTATGCAAAGTGACCTTGCACCCGCTAGTTCCACAGGCAATATGGGCGTTACCGAAGCCTCCGGGTGTCGCCCAGCAAAGCCACTCTGGTTTGATTTGAGCCAGCACTAGGAACAGAAGGAGCACCAGGACACCTCAGAAAGAGAGAGCGGCACTCCCGTCCTGCTGTCTCTCTCTCTCCTTGCTGTCTTCCGTTCTGCGGCGAGCCTCACTGCTTCCTTTGTCTTTTTTTCTTTTCTCCTCCGCCTCGCCGTTTTTCTTTCTTCCTCCTTCGCATCGCAAAACCCAACGACCAACAACACCGACAACAACAACAACACGGTTCCCGCGACCAACGAGCGAGCCAAAGATAGCGACTCCGGCCCCCCCGGGTCAGCGCGACCGAAGAGTCTTCCCCACGTACCATCCATCCATTACATTACAGATACCGTGGTAGGCATTCGCTTGTTCTACCGGACGGATACAGTCTTCAACTCGACTCGCCTCGCTTCTTGCTTGGCTTCCATCCCGCTCTCTGCGCGGTGCGGCACTCGAACCACCTCCTCGCCCGTACGATACTTTCACCACAGAGTCGAGACGACCGCCCGACACCACCCCTAAACACCCACCACTCGTCCGAACCTCGCCAATTGCGTTGCGACGCCGTGACGCCGCCCCGCTCACCAAGCCCAAGTCTGTGACACGTCTGGCTCCAGCCGCCTCCAGGGCCTCGCACTTGCACAGGGGAGCCTCTGCCTTTCGAAACGCCCTTCCGCACCAGCAACACCCTCTGTGCCTACCAAACAAGCTTGGTCTGGTCTGGTCGTGCTGGTAGCAGCCAGCCGCCGCCGTACGGGAGTAGTCATGGCGCTCAACCACTTTTCTACGGCCTCGTCGCCGCCTTCCAGAATCCCATCCTCGATCCGTCTCTCCGCAGCAGCTGCAGTCATCCTCACATCCCTCCCCATGGCTCTCGGTCACGAACACGGCGTCAGCCACATCCAGGAGGGCGAAACAGTCTCCCAAGAGCCCATCGACACGATACTATGGATTCACATCTTCATCATGATGCTGGCCTTCGGGGTCATCTTCCCCGTGGGCATGGTGCTAGGAGTAAGCCATTTCACCTCAATATCCGACACTTCCGCCAAAAGAATGCGCGATTGCTAAACATGACCTCTTCTCCCTACCTAGCTCACCAAGAATCGCTGGCATGTTCCTACACAGGTCCTCGGCACCGCTCTCGCCATCCTCGGTTACTTCCTCGGCCACATGCACGGCGGTAGAGAATTCGTCCACGGCAACGTTCACTCGGGCTTCGCCGGATGGTTGATGTTGATGCTCGCCGTCCAGGTCGGCGTCGGAATCTACTTGAAATTGCATCTCGAGAAGGGCTTCAACGGAAAGATTCGCAGGGTCATCAAGCCCATCCACGGAGTTCTCGGAAAGGCGTTCCCCGTCCTCGGCTGGGTCCAATTCTTGTTTGGAGGCATCACTTCGCTGGGTTTCTGCCAGGGCGACCATCTGGGACAGTGTCTGGCTCACTTCATCATGGGAAGCGCTTTCATCGCTTACGGCATCATCCTGACCCTGCTGCTTGTCGTGGGGCAGCTGTGGCTCCGACGATCCGGACGATCCCAGGAGTTCTTCGACAGCGTTGTCATTGCCGCGTGGGGCTGCGTCAACACCTTCACCGAGCACCGCTGGGGTACCGAATGGGTTAGGAACGACTGGCAGCACACGACCATGGGCATCATCTGGTGGTGCGCCGGCCTGGCAGGCGTTTGGCTTAGCCGCGATCGCGATGGCAACCCCCAGCGCAACTTCATCCCCGGCTTCGTCCTCTTCATGACTGGCTGGGCCATGTCGGCGCATCCCCAGGAGCTGCCCATCAGCGCCATGACCCACGCCATGTTCGGCAAGACGCTGATGGCCGCCGGCATCACTCGCATCATTGAGATTGCCTTTGTCGTCAAGGACGCCAGCGGCATGTCCGCCGATGGCCGCAAGACCAACAGCTTCCAGTACATTCCCGTATTCGTAAGTGCTAACCCCCCAAGGCCCTCTTTGAACGTTTCTGACAAGCCTGTCGCAGCTGTTGTACGCCTCTGGATTCCTCTTCATGGGTGCGACCGAGGAGCAGATGGTACTCGTCGCCAACTCCGGACTGGATCACGTTTCCTACATCTTGATTCTCTACTCCTTTGCCTTCCTGGTGTTCCTCTTCGCCAACATGCTCATCCACCTCTTCGACCGTAACTCCAACGTGGATGGCAAAGTCAACCTGGACGCACCGGTGGCGAATGGGCGTGCGGAGAACCGCCAAGTACGAGACGCCGAGGAGTTTGAGCTGGAGGGCCTCATGAGCGATGACGAGGACGACGCGCAGAAGGGCCTGCGCGAGGATACCGACGACGACCAAGGCCTGGGCAGCCCAAGCACGGTGGGCAAGAACAGCGACCGAGTGGCGCGGTGATAAGAGCGGAAAGCGAAAGCTCGGTGGTAGTGGGACTATAGACAGGGATGGCATCATGCATTGAAGGCTGGCGTTTGGATCCGGTTGCCGCATACTTTTTAATGGGCTGGAAAGCGTCTGGACAAACAAGAATCCTCCTGGTTACGTCGACCTAGAAATGAAACCCTTTTTGGTTAAAGATCTAATTCGCTTATCAAGACGCAAACTCTATCGATAGCTAGGAATCTTTTGTCATATGAGAAATGCATTAATCGCAATGTCAAATCTTGGATTCAGGATCCAGAGACTTTGGATATGCTCCGGGTGATTCCCTGTGCATGCCTCACCTCGGTGAAGACAAGGTGTGGTCGGTGTGCGCTGTGTACTGTGGAGTAGCTCGGTGAGGGGCGCGGGGCGAACGGTGCCTGGACCCCGACCGCCCGGCGCATCCCACCAAGCTCCTCAAGCCCCACTAAAAAAAATCCCAATCGCTAAATCCAATCCGCTATCAATCGCATTCTCGCCCTCACATCCTCCCATCTTCACCTCCGACACCGCACCCGTAAAACACACCACACACAGCTCCGCCACGATGCCGTCCGTCAAGAACCCGAACCACCGCTCCAAGAACCGTCTCGCGGCGCAGGCGAACAAGGCCAAGAAGGTGCGCCAGAAGCGGTCCGAGGAGAACAAGCACAAGATCGCCAAGAGCGACGCGCAGAGGGGCGCGCGGCCGGGGCTGATGCCCAACAGCGGGCCGAACGCGCCGCTGAGCAAGAAGAAGGCCAAGAAGCTCGAGAAGAAGATTGCGCATGCGATTAGGAGGAAGATGGCGGAGGATGGGGAGGTGGAGATGGCGGGTGAGTGCTCGGTCTTGGGGTAGTGGTCGTGGTTGGGGATACTGACGTGGTGTAGATCTCGAGGAAGACGAGGATGCGGAGGAAGAGAAGCCTGTTAATGAGGTGGAGATGGATAACATTGCGTGAGGAGGGAATGGACCGGAGTTGCTTCAATGTGAGAGGACGTGGAACACGGGGGGCGGATGTGGACATGCTTTGTGAGTTTCGTGGCTTTTCTTTCTATGGATGATGTATGAAAAGCTAACCCTACCCCAGTCTAGACATTGCACAAAAAGGCGAACGAATTCAGTCCGAATACAACACACACGATTTGATACCCCAATAACAAGATTGTTTGCGTTTAAGAGAGAGTTTTGCTAGCCGCGCAGTGAACCCTCAAACCCAGCGTACCCGATACTTACCACAAGGACGACAGTAGTAGAGACAGGGGTGAAGATAAGGATAACGACAAGGGTTACGAGGATAGACAACGGCGATGGACACTGCCTGGCTAACAAACTCTTTAGAAGAGAACTTGCGCTTTGGCGATTACAGGTCATCTTTCTCCTCTGTAGACTTGGGAGATGAGTTTGCCGTGCTGGTGTTGTACGGCACCTCTGAGCCGAACATGCTGGACGGAACTTGCTGGGACGGCGCCAGACTGGTACCAAAGAGACCACCTCCGCCATGAGGCCTACGAGTCGATTCCCCAAAGAGGTTGCCAACCCGGCCGGGAGCAGGGGCGGCGGCCTTCGGGATGGAGACGCTGTCTGTGGGGTTGCTCCGGGCTGGTGCTGGGTTGTAGAGAGCTTCCCCGAAGACGCCACCACGGCCGGCAGTGGTGGGAATCGACGAGTTGTATTTGAGGCTCTGGACTGGTGCTGGATTGTAGTGCTCCGGAGCGAGACTGTTCCTGAAGATGGAAGAGCGGCTGGGAGGTGCGGGTGCAGCAGCGCTTGGGCCAAGCTCCGTGCCGAATGCGTCGAGCTCTGCGGGCTCCGTGGAGCTAGACGTCGGCGACGGCGACGGCGCTGTCATGACGGGATCGCTGTCTTCGGGGGTGTATGTCTGCGCCTGCTCCCTTGCCCTGCGAGCACGCACGCGGGCGCGGAGGTCCCGGGCGGCTTGGTGGGGGAGCTCAGCCTGGCTTCGGCGGGTGGACCTGTCGGACGTTGCGCCGGTGGCGTCGAGGTCGAGCAGGCGGTCGCCTTCGCGGTACATTGCTTCCATCTCGCGTTCGGTGGCATCTTGGGACAGGGCCGTGGAAGAAGCGGAGGAAGCTGGCTGCTGGCGAGGTGCATGGGAAAGCGTACTCTGGGCTGAGGTGGGAATAGTCGAGGGCGTGGGAGAGCCGACTATGTGGAATATGCTGCTGCGCGCTTCACGGCGGGGCTGACGCTGGCCACCATTAGATATAGCGCAGGACCCCAGGCGCCTCCCAAAGGTCTGGGGCGGGCCTGAGGATCCGACGGACTTGGAAGATCCAGCAGAGGGCGTTGCGTCAGGGGGAGGGAGGAGGACCCCGTTACGCTCGATGAAGGAGGGGCCTGGCTGGTACGACTGCCACAGCTCCTTCAGGTCGTGTGTGTCATTCCGATCCTGCAGAAGCTGGTCGAGCTGCCTGTCTAGGAGCGGGGCAGCCGCTGTTGGGTTGGGCTGGCTTCTCGAAGGGGTGGACTGCATCGAGGCGTAGTTGAAGAGGGATGGCTGACTCCGAGGGCCAGCTTGGCTGGTATTGTTGGACTGAGACGAACTCAAAAAGGAAGGGCCCCCACATGTTCCCGCATTGCCGGGCGACTGAGGCACTGCCGGTCTGTTGCTCTGCAGATTGCGCAATGCTCCTCCAAAGAGATCGAGATTTCTGACGGCTGGCAGCGCGTGAGAAGGTCGGGTTGTCGGAGGGGCCTGGCCAGCTCTCCAGCTGCGGAAGATCTGATTGACGGCGTCAACGGCGCGGTCCTGCTGCTGCTTGTTGACAAAGCCGCCGTTGTCTAGGAGTGAGGGCACCTCGCCGAAGAAGCGGTCCTTGAAGATGGCCTGGCGCATCAGGCTCATCTTCGCCATCTCAGTGGCGATTCTTTGCTCCGACTCGCGGGCCTCCCGCTCGTAGTTCAGGAGGATAGTCTTGGTGTCTATGCCAGCGAGGATGCTAGAGGTTTGGAGTTGGGAGTCTCGGGCGGTGGGCGCAGATGAGGAGTTCTGGAGGAAAGAGCTTGTCGTGGGCGTGTTGAAGGGGGTGGCGGACGAGGAGCTCACGACAATGAAGCCGTCATCAGCCTGCTTCTCGGCTCCGCTGGGGGAAAAGAGCGGGACTTCGGGGATGTTGAAGACCGACGCGGTGCCCCGGCTGGCGACCAGAAACGCGGCCTCCGGAATAGTTGCCGTGAGCGGGAACGACATGCACATGGGAACGCCGTGGATGTGCGTGTTCTTGTCCATGTGGAGGTCTCTCCGGGCGAGGATGAAGTTTCGGAGAGAGTGGATCGCGTCGTGCCAGCCGACGAGGTACGTCGCCTGGTCGAGGGTTTGCGAGCTCGTGTCACGGCTCGCGTGAACCTTGGCCTCGCAGCTGAGGATGCGGCAGACGGCTTCGAGGGCTTCGCCTGCATCGTCGATCTTGACTGCGTTGCAAATGAAATCTGTGGTGAAGGCTAGGGAGTGTCTTGGGTGGAAGACGAGGCGCTGTTCGGACATGTTGGCGGCTTTGGTGAGAGTGGGAATGATTGGGTCAAGTCAGGAAGGCTGAGTTGCGGATGGTGATGGATGAGTGACCTGCGGGAGAAGACTGCTTTTGTACGCATAACAACCGGTCTCTCTGGGGAAGAATATGACATCTACACGCTTCTGGAGCTGCGTGGAGGGAGGCTGAAGGCCCGTTTGTCTGTGTTGAGACAAGATCCCGCACGACGGGTAAGTGCGGTTTCTGAGGCTTTCATCACTATCTGGCAGAGTGACAGGTCTCGAACCTGAGACTTTTGATCGGGGCATTTCTGTCTTTGTCGGAACTTTTGATTTGAAGAAGATGAGGAGGGATTTCTTGTTCTCACAAACACCCGCAGAAAGCATGGGCGTCCTCAAACGACCAACAATCAACTGCTGAAGGAAGCTTCGTCACCCCACCATTCAGACTCCCCCCATGGGCCAACCCCCGGTCCTTTGAAGATCTTCCCGCCCTTCCACACCCAACCGATGTTATCAATCTTCTGGAGCACCTTGACATCTTCCACTGGGTTCTCCAACACGCCAATCACGTCCGCCTCATACCCGACCCTCAACTGCCCCGTCTTGGGTACCTGGCTCCCGACGCTCAAAGGCCCGTTCGCTGTGGCCGCCTTGATGGCCTCCAGGTTGCTCATCCCGGCCTTCACAGCCGACTCAAGCTCCATGGCCATGTTGAACCCTGGTCCTGTATCCGTGCCCAAAGCGATGGGGAGGCCCTGCTCGATGGCCATCTTGTACGCCACCAGGTGATTCTCGGCGCAAATCTTGGCTTTCTCATAGGCGTACTTCGGGATCCCCTCGCCGCCGCTATCAATGATCATGTCCATGATGAGACGCGTGGCAATGTAGATGGTCCCCTTCTCCTTGATGAGATCGATGCACTCCTGGTCTGCAAACGAGACGTGTTCCACTGTGGTCACGCCGGCTTTGACCGCCGCCATAATGCCAGGCTTGCCGTGCACATGCGCCGCAACAGCTCTCCCCTGCCTCGTCGCCTCCTCTACGATGGTCTGCAGCTCCTCGGGACTAAACTGCGCATACAACGGGTTATCGTCGCGGGACATTACACCGCCCGACGCAAGGATCTTGATGCATTTGGCCCCGCGCCGGATCTGCAGCCGGACCGCCTTCCGACACTCGTCCACCCCATCCACAAGCATGGTCGAGAAGGTTCCAAAATGACCAGGGGAGATCTGTGAAACGCCGAGGTTGAGGAGGACATCCCCGGCCGGCAGCGAAAAGATATCGCCGTGTCCTGCCGTCTGGCTCAGGCACGACCCGGAGCTGTAGACGTTCGGTCCCACGATGGTGCCCTCTTCAATGACTTTGCTGATCTCGCAGCCTAGACCGGCGACGTCGCGCATGGAGGTGTAGCCGCGCTGAATGGCCAGCCAGCAGCCGCGGGTGAGGCGCGCCCCCATGGCGGAGGGGTGCTCGGTGAGGATACCCAGGTACGCGTCGCCGTTGCCAGCGTCGTTGGGGCTGCCCATCATGAAGTGCGCGTGGCAGTCCCATAGTCCCGGCATGAGGTAGGGCACGGTGTAAGATCTGTGGGGGGCGTCGGTATACTTTGACGGGATGTCGGATTGCGGGCCGATCCAGGCGATGAACTTGTCTGCGATGACGAGGGCGGAGTCTTTGACGGGCTCGCCGTCGCCTGGGATCAGGAGGCCGGCTTTGATGACGGTGATGATCACCTTCTTCTGGGGTTGAATGTCTTCATTTTGGAAGGGGACGGATGGGTATTTGGGGCGAAAGGTGCCGCCGAGGGATGTTGAGTACATTGGCGGCTGCTGAACTAGACGTCTGGTCATCTTGAGGAGATGCTGGGTTGTTGAGTGTGATGACACGTTGTATGTGAAGAGTAGTTGATTTAGAGATCTGTTTAAAAGCATCACAGAGCATTTTATGGGTGAATCTCAGCATTCCCCTTGGAGCTGTACCGCATTGGGATCGAGGGGGCTGACTGTGCGGTTGAGCTGACCTGAACAGGAAGGTGAGGTTGCTGAAGGATCGGTGGCGGGCCAATCGGGAACAAATGTTACACCAGGATTCAGGCCGCTTATCCGCTCGCCAGTATCACTGGGAACACCTAGAAAGGATGAACGACAAGTTGATTTTTGATTATGATTGGGAAGCTGGGATTTCGACGAGACCGCCTATTTTCCTGTATCTGCGCTGCTATATTGACTGTTGCTTTACTCTTCGTGGTTGCTTCTATCGTCGTCATCGTCGTCGTCGCCGTCATCGCTGTTTGTCGTCCGGGAAAGTAGTCCTGAAGCACGCAGGATATAGCCTCGCAGCCACAGAGTAAATAGGCAGTCTCACTTTGAATGGAGTGAGAGACAAGTCTGAAGACCTCTAGCTTGTCAGTTATAGTACTAGGTAGTAGAGGCAGAAGATATGGCCCGAGGCATTCGGTAGGATGGTTTCCAATCTGCCTAGTCCCCACCGTAACTTTCCTTAACGAGACACCGTATGAAAAATGTTCTCCCGTTGATCCTCGATCATTTTTCTCCTGGCTCTCGATATGAAGTCGGGTTCACTCAGCCCTACGGGGCCCCATCAAGGACCCTCTGTGGATGCCTTCCCCATCCTTCACGATGCCCTCATCTCCACCCCAGCGCACAACTCGACTTGAAATACCGCAACCCTGCCTGGCTCCAGCATCGAATTGCGATCATTACGACTGCGCCGATGGTTTAGTGGTAAAATTCTCCGTTGCCATCCAGCAGCGTCGGGGAGCCGGGGGTTCGATTCCCCCTCGGCGCATCTTTTTGCTTCTGCTGGTCAAGCAAGAGCTACCTTTTTGATATGTGGGCACCCAGGTCCCTCAGCTCGATTATTCCAACGGGCTCCAAAGACTTCAACGCACTTTGTGCGGCATAGTGGCGTGAATACAACTAACTGAGTTGCCCGGATCTGGTGTCCGGAAGCCGTCGCCGGATGACCCACCTTTGCCGGACCCGGCCCGGCCCCCTCCCGTTCTTGCCCTTGGTCAATGTCCCAGCTGAGCGCCCTCCCACTCGTATATATATGACACAGCGCATGGTCTATTTAAACTTTGTCGACTTCGGACGGTCGTCACCTCTTATGCCTCACTGCGGGGGACGCTCACTTGGTTCCTCTGGCAGGCAACTCGGCTCCGAAGTCCTGAGCCATCTTAACCTGCCACTTCCTCCTGCTGTCTATCGAAGATCTAAGTGAGACCCAAATACACGAGTATGGTGATTCTGGATATATACCGAGACACGAAGAAATACATGATGGACGGCTAGACGGGACTCAATGGAACACGGATCTTGGTGGTGCATCGGGCAGGAGGTTTGGTGTCATCGTCTACCCAAGTCAGCTTCACATAGGCGGACTCGGAGGCAGAAATCTGACTGCGTCTCTTGTGCTCATCTCAAACACCAATCATCGACGCATTGATGTGCAGGATTCAATATTGATGTGCTTAAGTCTTCAGACCACGTCAACATGACTGCCTAGGCAAGACATTACCCCGGAACAGTTCAAATTCTTCCAGAATGTGCGACAAGTGCCTCGAAACATCAAGTCACATGGGGACAAGTGATAGTACGTTATGTGTGAATTGGTCCACAGGAACTAAAAGTAAATCTAGCAAGCGAGTGCCATAGTGGTATCAAAGCAAGATATGAACAAGAGTATTATAGACGATATCCCCCCTTTTTGATTGTCAATGTGACAGTCTATGAACATTCCACAGTAACCTCCATATTGATATTAGCGAGCTTCTTCCAAGAAGACTCTAAACGGTCTTCTCAGGGAGAGAGCTGTGGGCAGAGCCTCCAACGGTCTGGTCGTGGCTGCTTCCGCTGCCGACGAGGTCGGAGACGTGGCGGGTGACCTCGACATAGTCGTAGGCGAACTCGCCGAGCTGGGTGTCATCGAGACCGAGGTCCTCGTCATCGACGTGGACACGGAGGCTGAGACCGGGGATGAGGTTCATGAGGAAGAGGATCAGGCAGGTCAGGACGAAAGACCAGGCGAAACCGGCGACGGAACCAGCAAGCTGGTAGCCGAGCTGGACGTAGTTGTGCTCGATCCAGCCACCATCGATGACCAAGGCACCATCGAGAGCAGCAATGTAGGAACTGCATTTTGTTAGCAGTGTTCCCCACGAAGAGGTGCAAGGGACTTACGCAGCAAAGATACCGGTCATGATGTTGCCGAGGATACCACCGACGCCGTGAACAGCGAAGACATCCAGGCCATCGTCAATGCCAAGGAGGAACTTGAGCTTGGTCGCAAAGTTGCAGCCAATTCCACCAACGATTCCGAAGATGACGGAAGCCCAGGGAGTGACGAAACCAGCACCGGGGGTAATAGCCACAAGGCCAGAAATGGCACCAGAGCAGAATCCGATCGTCGACCACTTCTTCTCGAGGCGGTAGTCGAGCAGCATCCAGGTCACACCGCCAACACCAGCAGCGAGGTTGGTGTTGAAGCAGGCCATGACAGCACGGATGTTGGATGCAAGGGCAGAACCGCCGTTGAAGCCGAACCAACCGACCCAGAGGAACACGGTGCCAAGCACAACATGGGTGACATTGTGGGGACGGTAGGGGAGACCGTGAACCTTGTTGTAACCGGTGCGCTTGCCGAGCATGAGGGAGTAGGCGAGAGCGGCGGAACCGGAGGAAATGTGGACGGGAGTACCTCCGGCAAAGTCGAGGGAGCCGAGGGTGAACAGCCAGCCGTTGCCGTTCCAGGTCCAGTAAGCAATCGGGTCGTAGACGATGGTGGCCCAGATGAAGGCGAACACCATGGCGGGGAGGATGCGACCGCGGTCGGCGATGGCACCAAGAGCGAGGGCAGGACTTTTTTTTCGTGTTAGTTCCTGGTGTGTCCGGCAAATCTTGAGACCTGCGTCGCAGCGGGCGCTCTCATGCACATGTGCGGCGTCGACCAAAATCTCACCACAGATACGCGATGATACGACGGAGAGGGGGGAGGTCTACTCACGTAATGGCAGCGAACATGCCCTGGTAGAGGCAGAACAGAATATCCGGGAGCTTAGTCGAGCCGACGGAGGGCTGGGCGACGACATCCTTCAGACCAAAGTTCGACATGTCGCCGAGGAAGACGGAGCCGGTGTGAGAGAAGGTCAAGGTGTAACCCCAGAAGAACCATTGGAAGCCCACCACTCCAACACATATCATCGATATCAGAATTAGGGACAGCGCCGACTTGCGGCGAGCCAGACCCGAGTAGAAGAAACCGACACCGGGAATCATGAGCAGCACGAGTGCTGAGCAGACCATGATCCAGGCCATATCACCAGACTATCAAAGTCAGACATGCTCGAAGATCCCCTTCTCAACGGTAAACTGACCTCGTAGAAGACATTGAAGTCGGTGACGTTGGTCGAGTAGCCGGCGTCGGCCTCGCCCTCGGTTCCATTGTAAGGAAGGGCGTAGAGAGACATCTTGGTGGTTGTGCGCCGGCGCGAGTGCGGTCAATGGATATTAGTTGGCGAGATAGAACCTAAGAATTGTCTCTTCTTTCGCCGGGCCACTCGTCCTCGTGAACGGCGAGCAGACGTCGAAGAGGGTGGAATGGAAATGGGGTGCGGCAGGGAGGAAAGCAACGGAGGGAAGGGGGAGACCACGGTTATGAAGTCTTGCCGCCGGGTCTAGGCTAGATAAATAATACGGAGCAAAATTATCAGGCAGGCCGGGGCGTGGGCGTCGCCTTGGACCTTCGGTCCTCGTGGTAAGCTGGCCGACATTGTGCATACAGTATCTCTTGATATGGAACTCCCCCGAACAGGGTAGGGATGGGCAGCCCATGGAACTGGTGCAGAAGAGATGATGAAGGGGAGCTCAGAGACCGAAGAGATGGGACGGGGAGCAAGCTGATTGCTCAGTCCTCTATGCCGGGAACACCAATAGCGCAGGGCCAAGGGGTGGGGAGGAAAGCATAAAAAAGGGCGAGATGGATTCGAGGTGCATGCTGAGAAGGGCATCTTGGGACGAGCTTCCCAAATCCTTCTCTGTCTCCGAGAGACGAGACTAGGCCGCGCCGTGTTCCTCTGCCGGGTAGCAGTGGTACGAGGTCCGTCTGGCTACGAGAGAGCTTCATCGAGAACGCCCTACCCACGCTGATAGATACGTACCTGTACACCACATGCTTGCGAACCCATGCTCGTGGCCCATGTCTCCAGGTCTTGTGTGGGTCGGGAAACATGTGGGAACTGATAAGGGATTTGGAGTGAGAGAGACCGGGGTGTGGACGGTCGTGAGGTGAGTCGTCTAGGATCGGGGGACTCGGATGGAAGCTAATTCAGGCCCTTCGACGGTGCCGTGGTTCTTGGCAAGCTGGGCCATTGAACGTTCTTCTGTCCGTTGACCACAGTCAAACAACCTGGCGCTGAAGAGATCTTCAAAGGCCTGTAAATACGATGAAGTGTTTGCCCCCAACATCTCTGATGGCTTGTGCTCAGTTGATCAGATCCCCGTATGCGGAGAGAATCAACAACCCCCAGGGCTATCCACAGGCCCAGCAGCCCGCAGGTCTGAATGCCCCATCGTCCGGTGTTGCTGTTCGTTTGTTTATCGGACGGCACGGAAAACTCGTAGGGAAACGGTAGGTAACTTCGGGGTCTTGCACCGCGGCGCAAGGTAGTCCCTCGGGCTCGAGAGTATGTCGACATTGAATGCAACACTGAAAACCAGGACAAAGTTTTCCTCGTCTAGCGCCCAGATTGCGACACGATCCAGACTGTGCTGGCGCAAGCAACAGCCTGACCCGAGACAGCCAAGGCTGCAAGAAGTAGGCGATCAGAACACTTTGAGATTGAAGGAAAACCGATGAGGAGGCATGCTGTGCCTCAGCAACGCGAGCCGCAACGGTAAAGACGTATTTGTGAGGCGCGCGGCCAATTGAAAGTGTTTCATTTCCCTTCCCTGCGAGATGCTTAAGGCACCTCGTAAGCCCGCGCTCGCCGGCTCTTCCTGGCCACGGCCGAGTGGGGGTGAGTTCGGGCCAGCAGCAGGCATCGCCGTGGATTGGATTGCCTTTTTTCAGTTGACTTGCGTATTGATTTGATGCAAGAACACCTCTGTGGTGCCATCCGATAGAACGTCCAAGCATTGAATCTTGAGCAAAGATGTTATTTGTTGCTATCCCTAGCCGCCGCCTGCTGTCTGGGAAGCAATGACAACACATAGCGGCACTGGTCCAAGATTAGAGCCATGCGCCAAACGAATCCTGCGCGTTGCCGCATTCCAGAAGACTTCCGATCGGAGACGCGGACGGGACTTGGTTTGAAGCGGGCCGCTTGATGGGAGGATGCCTGTCATCGCACCGACTCAAATCTTCGCACGAGCGATTGTGTGCGAAGGGATGCATGCGACCGTGCCTGTCGACAGGGCTGGGGCATGGTTTGCAGCTTGCGCGACGCCACAACCTCGTTGAATGTTGACATCAAACATGGGAAGCTGTGTCAGAGTTTCACGACTTGTTCTGGCGGACGTTGTATCTCATCCTTCCGGCTTCTACAAATATCAACCAATGGAGCATTGACAGACGACGCTGCCGGCAGGATCACCAGTTCCGAATCCTAGATACATTGACGCAGCCACAAGCTTCTGTGCGCGGCGAGAAGGCTTGGATCGTCAGCAAACCGCCGTTAAGGTTTGACAAGACTAGCTTCGCGCCATCTGCTGAGCTATCGAGACGTTCGGGACGGAAAAGCAATAAGGTGGGAGCGTTCTGACATTGGAGAAGATTGCTTCCGGTCCCGTTTGTGCGGGAAGAAGCAACGATACCGGAGAGCCTCTTCATCACACCCCGAGGGAAAGGCTTCACAAGAAGAAAGCCCTATGTCGCAGACCGCGCTGGATCGCGGACTGCGACTTGGGTGCCAAACCTCTACGAAGCTGGGCCAGGTCTCAGATGTCCAAGGTGCACTCAGCGAGACGGTCTGGGAGGCCCCAGGGCCGGTGGACAGAGACCGAATCGCTAATCTGAGCTTACATCGGAGCGAGCTGGACGGGGATATGTCGGGCCCCAGAAGCGGAAAGGTGGGTTGGTTAGGCGAGCGTGGCCGGGGCTGGTTCCGTGGATGGCTTTGATTGCAGCGGCTGGCCACGTTGATTCGCGCAGGACCGTTGGAAGGATCCTGCAAGACGCAAGACTTTTGCTTTTGTTGGTCTGGCTTCTGCTGCTGCGCCGTAGGCTGAAATGTCGGGAATCCTTCAGGTCCACCAATAGATAAGACACTGGCACATGTGCAATAGGCAGGCCGCGGGTGCTCAAAGGACGTTGAGCGGTAAGTAATTGGAATGTCTAAGAGACGCCATTGAGTGTGGCCTGATATGGTGTATCTATTCAACTATGGGGTGGCTGTTGGATATCGATGGTTGACTGATGCAGCCAAGCGACTCGTGGATGACGGGGCTGACTGGTGGCCATTGGCAGGTGACGGCGGACAACTTGAGGGCAAGATAGTATGGGAGTCGCAGGCTTGAGGATATCCATTGATATTCAGAATGACTTTGCTTGATTTCACTTATCGAGCTGAAAAAACAGCCGTGGTTGTGGCGTCGTAGATTGCCCACGATGCGGGTGACGAGAACGCCCAGTGGACGACTTCACAAGCCAAAAGTGTGAGGTGGTGTCTTGGAAGAAGCCAAAGTGTCGTCATAGTTGCCCGGATGGAGCACGGAGATGTTAAAGCCAAGACATTGAATTGCCTTCGAGACCTCTCATTTGATGGCAAAGTCTCATGGTTGTTCAATATGATCCATCAAGAGGGAATGTTGTCGATGGTGGTGGCACGCAGTATGGATCATGGACGGGCTGAATGATTTGAAGTGGATGAACCAAGGCCAGTGCTCACCTCTTTTTCTCCGGATGCCCAGACCGAGGCTTCTCCAATAGCAGCACCGGGAAAGCGTCTTGTACTCACCATGTATCCAGAGGAAGGGTACGCTAATAGGAAGCTGCTGCGTCTGGCTCCATTTCTGCTGCCTTGTGGACAGTGGATAATCTCTTAAGTGACAGGACATGAACCACCACCCTCCCTCCACCCACCCGCCGCGAAAGACTCTCTCCACTGCCACGAAGCCTTTAAGAGAAGCTGCTTCACAGGTGCTTCCCCATTCGTCAAAGCTTCTTATCTCTCGGCATGGTGGAGGCTTCTGTCTAGCGTCATCTTGGCACTGATAAGGCCAGCCAGGGTCCGCTGGAACCAACCGAACCCATGCCCGTCATGCAAGGGTCCCCCCATGTCCCCCTTTCTCTTCCCACCTCGACCGGTTGAAATGGACTGGACCGTTGAATGTCAGACTGACGGTCGACCAACTTTGACCGAAAGAAGCCTGAGGGAAGCATTGCAGGTGGCCTGTTGGGTGACATTGCACATCTATCCTGCTGCTGCATTTTACGGAGCCCTCGTCCAGCTCACAACCCAGGCCGTCGGGTTCAACCAAACATGGACCACCTGGAAATGCCCCTCATCGTCTAATTCATGCGCTCAACGTCACCAGCTCATCTCTATTCAATGGAATTCACTCGTCTTATCTAGACATGAGGAAATCAATGTTTTCCATCGTCGATTGAGCACTTGTGAAGTCTTGTAAGAGACGGGCCGCGAGACTGGCCGTCTTGCTGCACATTTACGGTCGACCGCCACACCCCTACCGTCTCATATCCGCGTCCCCATTCGCGTCCTGGTTCGACTTCCATCCCCGCCCAGCCTGGACTGCATCGGCTCAGAGAAGCCGGATAGCGCTTTTCTGCTCTTGTGATGCAGATAGTCTGATACCGCAGATATCGCAGCAATCTCTGATAGCTGTTCACCGATTGTCTGACACGTCTTTGCCCCTCCTGCTGGCCGTGCGCTGGCGCATTTTGATTCAGCTGTCACTCGCTTTCTGTCCTCGGGGTCAATCTCATCCCCCGCCATTCCCATGGACTTGTGGCCATCATTATTGCCAAGCATGCCTCTAAGTGAAGATAAACTCAACGCCATATCTAGACTCTGTACCCAGCAGCCCCTCGCAAACGCGAACAAAACTGTCAATATCGGAGGTCTATCATAGTTTCGAGAAGTGAAGTCGAAATAGACCATCTTGAACTACTAGAACACTCTTCATCACGTCACACAGCGGCCGCACGGAGCTTTTAGAGTTCTTAGACCACACCTGTTCCTGCTCCTGCCGTCCCGTCAATCTGGTATCGTCCCACTGACTTGCGTTCTTGCGGGCGTTCTCACCCATCCATGTCTTGGCCGAGCACCCGACCAGAACCACTCAAACCATCTCTTCGCCATCTGAGCGCTTGCTGTAGCCATTCACGTGTCTGCGGGCGCAAGACTCGCGGGTTACTTATACCGGCTTCACCCCTCTCTCCAAATGTTTGGTGATTGCGCCGCGAGGGTTCATCTCCCAAGATATTCCAGTGATACTCGAACGATGCTCGATGACGGCATTCGCTCACACTCCCTACCCGCAACTGTAACAAACCGAGCCATGCTATGTTTCAAAGAAGTCCATCTAACATGCTGATTACGATCTTGAATTGAGAATGAATTATGCAACAGGCTCACGCCGTGAGAGCGTTCTCTATGTTTGACGGTGAAGGGATACGATCAGCAACAGGTTTTTTCTAACCTTGGTCTACTGTGGTAACCAGACTTCGTCTCACGAAACAGGCAAAACGAGCTTCAAATCGAAGTGTCTGATGCCGATGCCAACCGGCGAACACGAGGTTTCATTTCAGTGGGAACACCGACTCGAGATGAATTTCGGAAGTGCCACAAGACGGATAAATCAGACTTTCGAATGAGCGCAGAAGTGTATGACGAGCAGATTGATCGCTGAGGCAAGTGAAGAGACTTGCAACTTGGCAGTCGCTGTCATTTCCGAGACAGAAGACATGACTGTGTGCAACAAATCCCAGTAGAGGATTCATTCACGCACAAATTCATCTCTGGCTCTTAGGTAGATCTAACTTCCTTCGAGTCCTTCTTGGCATTGGAGAGAGCGTCTAGAGCATATGAACCATAGTTGGCACGGCGTTGATGAGGAGGTTCTGGGCAGCAGTCTCGTCGGCATGGAGCATCCCATGCAATCAAAGAGTTACCATTGTTCTCCATCCCCAGCATTTGTAATCGGGTCCGAGAGCCATTTGTAGGGTCAAGAATCTGAGAAAAGTTTTGTCATTCATTGATTGATACTAGGTTGTGTTGGTTATGGTGGCGATTTCATCAACGGCGTTTAAACAAGTTGCCGCTTGCTTCGCAGGTTCTTGCATAACACCACAACTGTGGATGTGAACGGCGTCAAAACAACACCGCGGGATACAATAGCCGTCCGCAGCTCTTTTAGTGTCAAACTGACTCATAATGAGTAAACCAAATTGACATAATAGCGACAGTATTTAGTTTGCAAGCTTCTTCGATTATAGCATGTATGGTTTCTGAAACATAAGCAACATCTTACACACCTCTTTTTGACTCTACTTGCTGCAAAAGCCTTCTCAAACATGTATTTTCCCTCAAAGACCCAGGCCTGGAAGGTCACCGACATTCGAAGCGACAACTTTGACGGATTTCAGCTGATCGAAGACGTTCCCGTAAGCACCCTAGGTGATGATGACGTTCTCGTCCAGATTGAGGCCGTTTCCCTCAACTACCGAGACCTGGCCATCCCCAGAGTACGTGCTTCCGAAGTTGACTCTAATCGGCCTCCGTTACCCAAGTGCTGATAAACCCAGGGCTTATACCCGTTCGCGATGAAGACACCTGTTATTGCGGGTTCCGACGGCGCAGGCACAGTTTTGGCTGTTGGGCCCAAGGTGACAGACTTCACTGCTGGTGATAAGGTCTGCACCTTGTTCAACGAACTGCATCAAACCAACCCTATCACACCTGAGGCCGTGGGCAGTGGCTTGGGCGGGGCTGTTGATGGCACTCTGCGCAAGTACGCCGTGTTCCCAAATCACGGCCTTGTCACTGCTCCGTCGACTCTGAGCTCCATCGAAGCTAGCACTTTGACTTGTGCGGCTTTGACAGCTTGGAATGCCCTTTTCGGGTTGAAGAAGCTGAAGCCGGACGATTGGGTTCTGGTTCAAGGCACCGGCGGCGTCAGCCTGGCCGCAATCCAATTCGCCGTCGCAACAGGGGCAACGGTCGTGGCAACTACATCTTCGAACGACAAGGCTGACACCCTGAAGAAGATGGGTGTTTCTCATGTCATCAACTATCGAGAGGTTGCCGAATGGGGAAATGCCGCCAGAGCCCTTACTCCGAAGGGACTTGGCTTCGATCATATCCTCGAGATTGGCGGAGCAGCCACTGTGGCACAGTCTTTGAAGGCTATCAAACTCGAAGGCATTATCACGATCATTGGCTTCTTGACCTCCACCGAGAATGACAAGCAGCCGAGTTTGATGGAAGCCCTGAACCATATTTGCACTGTTCGGGGCATCTTTGTCGGGTCTCGGGAGCAATTTGTGGAAATGAATCGTGCTATCGATGATTGGAAGATCAAGCCTGTCGTCGACGCCAAGGTTTTCTGTTTCGGAGAGGCAAAGGCGGCTTATGATTGTCTTTGGGATAGGATGAACTTCGGAAAAGTGGTTATCAGGATCTAAACACATTTAGAAAAAGAAAAGAGAAGGCTACCAAGGGAAGGGCAAATGTTTACTGTTCTACGTACAGAGTCGAGATCTTAGTCTCTTGAAGCTTGGTCTATATGCTGCCCTCTTGTGAGCTCAATCCTACTTCTATTGAGTTTCCTATCGTTTGACTGACCGCTCCTAGTCCGACTAGGCTTGTAGCATGGGGTAGTTACTATGTTATGCCATGCGAGCAGCGACTGCCGTTCACGAGTTTTCTCTGATCTGCAGACTTCGGGTGGACGTATTCCCTGTGATTATAAGTTTAGACATCTCATATCTCGAGGGTTGTTAAGAGCATACAGGATATGTACAATTTACATTGTCGAAAGAATCATACTTTCATGCGTAGCAACTCGGTTATGGGATATCGATCCCATGAGTGCTCATCTGCATAAAAGAGCGGTGTCCGTCCGCGCTTATCTACCGAACTAGGACTAGCCTTTCCTGTGTCTAGGAGTAGTGTCACAATTTTAGCCGAGCCTGTACCTGCAGCATATGAGAGTGGTGTGCGGCCTGAGTTATCCTTCAAGTCCACCTCGACCCTGTCAGTGCTCAGCAAAAGCTCAACACTTTCCGAAGAACCACCAAAGACGGCTGCAGCATATGAGAGTGGCGTCCGACCTAAGTAATCCTTCGAGTCCACCTCAACCCTACCAGTGTCCAGCAAAAGCTTAACATTTTCTGGGTGACCAAATTCAGCGTATGAGAGTGGTGTTCGGCCCGTGTTATCCTTCGAGTCCACCTCAACCCTGCCAGTGTTCAGCAGAAGATTAAGACTTTTTGGAAAAGTACGACCTGCAGCATATGATAGCGGCGTCCGGCCTGAGGTGTCCTTCAAGTCCACCTTAACCCTACCAGTGCTCAGTAAAAGATTAACAATTTCCGGAGATCTACCACCTGCAGCATATGATAGCGGCGTTCGGCCGAATGTATCCTTGGAGTTCACGTCGGCTTTGCCCCTCTCAAGAAGAAGCATTACGACGACTGAAGTTTGCTGGCTGAACGCGGCGTATGATAGTGGGGTTCGACCCTCGTTGCATCTAGAGTCTACCTGGACTGCACCTGATCCAAGGAGTAGCTTTACAACGGCAGAATGGCCGTTTTGGGAGGCATGAGAGAATGCCGTTCGACCATTTATGTCCTTGTTCTCAACGCAGATTCGGCCAGTTCCTATGAGCAACCTTACAATAGCTTCATGCCCGTGCTTAGAAGCATGAAGAAATGGTGTCACACCTTTGTTGTCTTTTTGGTCGATGTTTAATTGGTCAATATCCAGTAAGAACTTGCACATGGCCAGATTTTCGGTTTTAGCGGCGTTTGACGTCGCCTCTCTGATTCGAGGGTCTGCAACATTAAGGCGGGCCTCTCCTAGCTCGAGCAGAAGAGCAACGACCGTTGGATTGCCAAGCTCAAAGGCATGAAACAAGATGCCTTTTTTTGCGGCGAAGGTGAAATCCCTTGATGGCTTGTCCAACATGGTCCTGCGCTGATGGCTTGAAGTTTGGAAGTCCTTGAGTGCTAGGCTGCTGGGGTTGCGCTCCTTGTGGGCCATCAAGAATGCATGTAGAGCATCAGAACTCCCAGTGGCCAGAGCCGCAAGTATTGGAGCCCCGTACCTCTCTTCTTCAACCTTGAAACATGCCAGTTTTGAGCGCTCGATGCTGATTAGGTTGGCTTTGTTGTGCTCAGCTAGGATGTACAAGAGGCTGGTGTTAGGGGTGTGTCGACGTATTCTGTGCTTTTCGAGGAGGTTGTCCAAGATGATCCAACCCGCAAGATCAAATGATTGAAGAAGGTCAATTTGGCTTACTCCTGCTCCTTCCGCTGCGTCAGAATGATACAAGACTTGTTGCGTCGCATATCGAAGAAAGGGCAATCTCATCTCTGCCGATTCTCGGAGCTCATCGGTTTCCCGGGATGATGCATCGGGGAGAGTCTTGCCAATTTCCATTACCTTGGCAACATTTAAATAGTTGATGCAGCAAAGTTTCAATGTTTCATGGCATTGTCCGCTGAAGCTACTCCCAAACTCAGCCCAAATCTGGCCCAGTCCACCGTGCTTGAGAATGAAATCTCTCACTGACTCGTGAATGAACTGGACTGTCGGCGTCTTTGATTTGGTCACTTCAGTAAGGCCCTTGGAGGAATCAAGGATGAATCGTCTCATCGTATCGGTTGTTATATCCTCAGAGTCCCAGTCGGATAAAGCTTCGGTTGAATCGATCTCAACCCCGGACAATATCGCAAAGTACAGTTGCTCTGGTCTTAGCGGCTCCTTCGCGAAGAGCACCCATTGGACACAGAGAAGCAGTTCATCCCTGTGATGACAATCGCGGATCAAGATATCCCGAAACAGAGTATTAAGGTCGCTAGGAATTTCTCGAAGTCTTTGTCGGAGTCGATGCATACGACCGCCATCGTATTTTTATTGAGAATGTCCACAACCAGAACAACCCACATGAAAACTCCAGCCGCCTTTTCCTGAAGATCATGGCGGATCTTCTGAGCAATCTTGCCGTCCCCTATCTTCAACTCGCTGCTTACATAGTTGACAATGTCATCCTGGTGCCCTGGCTGGCCTTCAAGAATAAGGCTGACTGCCTTTGAAACTGTGATGTAAGGGTAATGTCTACTTGAGAAGCAGACCTGGAAGCTAACAGTCTTGTGCGTGGTAGCTTCGGAAATGTGCTCAAAGAAAGACACCATGTTTCGGATCTCATCTTCGTCGCACTCATCCAGTGCGTCTATGAAGCAAGTCACTGATAGATCCTCAAGGTTTAGGACTGCCTCTTCGAAAAGATCTTTGAGACACTCAAGAGTCCACTCACGACGTCCCTTGGTTGACGTCATTACAGCCGGAAGGTCTAGGATCGTCCGAAGCTGAGGAAAGCCTTCGAAGAGCTGACAGAGCAGCGATCGGTACATCCCAATTGTGGACTTCTCCAGTTGCTCGCCTCGCGCGTTGAAGAAGAAGGTGATTAAAGTGCTTTGCTGCATTGTCTTACGGTAATTTGTGGAGATGAACTTCATCAACGTCGATTTTCCCGTTCCTGGTTTTCCTTTGATCCATAGGAAACCATGATGTGTGTCGCGTTTGGTATGATCCAACCAGTCAAGATACTGAGAACTTCTAAGCACCCATTTGCACGTTTTGGCGTGTGCTCTCTTTATGGTCATTTGCCGAGCATCAATTTGGCCGAAGGTCAGTGATTCCAGCAGTTGCTCTCTCCGCTCGTCAATCAGGTGTTCCCCATCAAACGCAACCTCCAGGTTGCCCAACTGGGTTGATGTCGGAGCTGGTGTGGAAGAAGCCAGCGGACTTAGCTCATACAAGAGATCTTTCGCATACGCAGCAGCAGCAATGGCTGCGTATCCTTGCCATGCCTTATTCTTGTGGGAGTCCGAGTAGTCGCATATGCCGCGAATGACCAAGCAAGGAAGGGTGTTGCCCAGGCCCGCAGCCTCCATCTCGAAGCATAAGAAGTTGTTTTCGATGGCAAGCTTGTCGCGAGTTAAGGCGTCTTTCATCACCTGGTTGGCTGAGCCAATTGCTCCGTAGTGAACAACAAGCTTGTCCGCAGCCCGCGCAGGTCTGTCCACGAGCTTCGAAGGGTCATTCCCACAAACTTCGGCACAAGTCCCCTCAGATATTGAAGGGTGGACCACACTGCTTCGATAAAGCTTGTCGGTATCGTAACTTGGACGAGCATATTCACTTTTCAAGTTTGGGTATGCATCAAGAATATCGTTGATTGTCTCTTGGATTTGGTGCCCGTTTCTCCTGTGCCGGGCTTGGAGTCCGTTGACTGCGGTGCTCAAGCGCCATGGCGGCTGGTTCAACAAACCGGTGTGCTGAAAGCTTTGACCTTGCACGGCCTTTCCGAAGTCGTACTGAACCACACTGCTCTGTCCATTACGAGGAGTACCGACCACGATATCTCCGAGACGGATATCGTTCTTGCGTGTCGGAGCGCCGCCACCAATGCCCACCATCAGACCGATGCGGACGTGGGGAAAGCTGTGCAGCATATCCCTAGCAACGGCTGTCGCAGCCGATGTGCCATATTCTGGCAACACGGCCATGACAATGTTGTGCTGCCCAATTCTGCCCAGTGTATAGTGGCTCGCATCATGCAAGGGGGGGTCGTGATGGCGTTCGTGCTCTTCGTCCAACAGCGCCTGCCCAGCGACGTACTCCGTAACTATGGCGCAGATCCAGCCCACAGTGTATTCGTGGCGCGCGAGTCTGGGTTTTGCCTCTCGTACCACGTGGCGTCGCTTGTCGAGATGCGCATGTGGTGCATGGTCGGGATTCTCGTGTAAAACTTTTCGTTTAGGCTCCATTCGAACAGGGACACGGGGGTGCCGACTTCGTCACAAAGGAAAGAGACGCGAATTGCATAGCTGGGGTAAGACACGTCAGGCTCGTCAGGCTGTGCGGGAAGTCAGCGTCATTCGGCTTGTTAAGCATTCTGTTAGTTCCCTACCTTGCACATAGAGGCGTTGGGCTTCCAGGCTGGGTTCAATGGAATTATTGTCGAGGGCTCAGCAACTTTGGCGATGAAGGCCAACGACGTGTTTTCGCAGCAACCACGAGAATACGCGTGAGCGACGGAAATGGCGACGAGAATGGAAGGAGAAAATGGATGTTGCCGTGCCGTTCAGTCTAATTCAACCCGGTGTGTCTCACTACAGCGACTGTGCCACCTTCACATCTGCTGCAGCAAGGTATTATTGGTGGAGGGTCCCACTGTTATCCCCTGAATTTTGCATTGCAACCTGCCCGCTGACTCTTCGCCCGATAACTTGCCTTGGGTAGATGGCAGTGCTGCCAAGGTGGCAGGATGTGGTGCTTTTAGGTTATCGCCGACTGGCGTTGTCCCACGAAACGATTGAGCCATCTCGACCAGACTTTCACAATGTCACGGGGAATGAGAGGCATCGTCGCGTCGATCAGTTGGTTGGGAATTGGA